GGCTGGAGCGCCCGACCCCTTTGGCCTCTGAAGCGGCGGTAGAAGACGCACAGAGAGAGCGAGAAAGAGAAAACAGAGAGAGTGAGGTTTTTAGGGTTTCTTGATTTCGCTCTCCCCCACCGCTCGATCTTTTTCCTCCCCCCCTTTTCCCGTGACGCGTTGCGGTCTCCTGGGCAGCCGACTTATTTTTGGCATGACATGTTTACCCCCTGGGTTGGTTTGGGTCTTCGGCAATTTGAGGGGCGATTCCGGGGTTTCCAAGTAGGAAAAGAGAACCAATAATTTTGATGGTGCTACACTACTACTCCTTAGACCCGATCACATGTCCGGGTATCCGATCCGTTCACAAAAGTCCGCATGTGAAATAGTGGGTTTGAACTTTGAACTTAATATACCTCTTCTATTCCGAAGTATTTGTTTATTTTTTATTTTTTTAGTCAAAATTAGTAAATTTTAACTAAAATTAAATAAAAATAGTATTAGATGTTGATACAAAAATAATTTTATTAGATTTAATAATTATGTGTAAAGATTATTGGGCCATCATCATAGCCTCATAAAAAGAAGAAAGAAAGATGTATTTTTTTTAAATTGTGTGGCGGCTAGGAAGAATAGGAAGAAGCTATAGATAATGATATAGGGTTTCGGGTTATGATTTAATAATTATGTGCAAGGATAATTTAGTAAATGATGGGTGTTATTTTGGTGTTATTAATTAATTAAAGAATTAAATGGATCCTATAAATACAATTAAAAGATTTTGGTCTTATTTAGAGAAACAATATGTGTTTTAGTATTATATATAATTGAGCCACGACATTCTCTCTATTGGGCAGGCCAACTGAGCAAATCTTCGTTTGTTCAATGTTTATCAAACACTCTTCATCTCGTGTCATATGCTCATTTAATCCATTGTCTATAATTCAGCAAGTAACACAATTACTTGAGAATTTATTTTCAAGAGGTGTATCTTTTTCTTTTAGCATTTCCATCGCCTTTTATTGTTCAGAAATAAAAAGCTTCATTCCTTTACCTGATTCTCCCATTCTTGTTATGAAGGCAGTCATCCCACCATGGGTACCGCCACCACTGGACACCTAACTGCCATCGGTACATCAATTTACCCATGTGTTGCTGTGGTTTTCCCGACCAGCTGAACCTCCTCGACCCCCTTGACAGCCACCAGGACTCATCCCATCGCGGCCTCCTCGGTTTTGGACCCGGGATCGATCACCCCACCATTCGAGATAACCTGCAGGTAAACACAAGGCTGTCCCCGAGAACTCGATGGCCTGGGCCGAGACAGAAAAAGAGGCCTTAAAGGTCTTATTCCTAATATCTTAACGAATTAAAGTGTATAAGCTAATTATATTTAAATAAACATTAACATAATAGTATAATACTATGTAACAAAATAAATAAATCACATACAAAATTATAGCAAATGGTTTATTTCTTCTTACTTTCCCAAACCAATATCTTGAAAATTGGATCAGACATCGAATCGGGCGAGCTAGTAGGTCAAGATTTAACCGGTCAATTCGAGGGTCAATGGTTTGGTTAACTATAATTAAAAGAATAATATTCTATACTAAAATTTGCACTAAACAGGACTAAAACATAATGATTTTCCTAATCTAGGACTTAAACTTTTTTATTCCCTAAATAGGACTTAATAATGTCTTAGTGGGAGAAATAATGTCCAGTAATGATGGACATTTACTTGAATAATGACTAATTAATAATGACCAAAGGTCCTACATTGGGAAATAAAAACATATGGTCCTATATTGGGAAAGTCATTATGTTTTATTCCTATTTAGGTAAATTACTCTATTTTATATTATAGTATTAGATATTATATTTTGTTTTTTCACTCTTCCATTTAATATTCGATATCATTTTACATATGTCGTCATAGTTTTTCAATTACTATTTGTATTATTTTTTATTACTATCAAATATAGTTAATGAGTATCTAACAAAACTAAAATAGTAAGGCAATAGTCATATTTTAGAAAAAAGTAAAGACTAGGGAATGTATTTTTATATACTCCGTAATATTTTTGCAATGTGTATGTAGAACTTTACATTTAAATGTAGTTGATTGGGATGAGAAAAAGAAGAAGAAAATAATTGTTTTAATATATTAAGGTATAATTGCTAAATATTCTTAATTTTTATTGATGATGAAATTTTAGTTTTTTTTTTGAAAAAATATTGTTTAGGTATAAGTATTCATATTAATCCAAAATAAAACATAAATAATTTTATTTGTTTATTTTTAAAACTTGTTTTATAAGTTTACTAAATAAGAGGCCGGTTCTAGAGCCACTGGAATCCAGTAGCTACGGAAGCCACTACCCCCCCTACGGAGCTCTGTTCATGAAACTGATGATTCCTACCCCCTCTAACCCCCCCCGGTGACGTAGGTGGGAGGAGTAGTTTGGGTCGAGACTTGGCGGGGGGTTTACCGGGGGGGTTAGAGGAGGTAGGAATCATCAGTTTCATGAACGGAGCTCCGTAGGGGGGCAGTGGCTTCCGTAGCCACTAGATTCCAGTGGCTCTAGAACCGGCCTCAACAAATATATTAGATACTAGTGTTTCTTTTTCTAATTAATTGGAAGTTTTGTTATAATCAATAAAATAAATATATATTTTATTGCGTGAGTTATGTACCAACATATTTGGTAGCTTAAGTGGATGGAATATCTCGTTACAACTCACTCTACCCAATTTGGGTATTCTATTTTTATATAAGAGTAGTACGAAATTTGTATATATATATTATGCAAAATATGAAAAAACTATGCCCCTTACAACATTGGGCCCGGAACGGGTGGCCTGCTCGGCCCACCCTTGGGCCGGCCCTGGGTAAACACACTCATTGATCTCATGTCCAGTAATCCCGCAGTGTTTCCACTTCAGTTCCTTGTTGGCATATCAATGATAACAATCAATCTCACAATATTTTTCACATCATCTTCAGTAATTTTTAAAACACTCTCTATTTGAATAATTGTGGAATAAACACGATTAAAAGGCGCCAAAGGCTCCACGTGCAAGATGTTTGCTCTCAAGTCTCCATATCTTTCATTATCTATCCCTGTCAGAAATTGGTGAACCTTATCATTTTCCTTTTGCTGCTCAATTGTTTTGGTGATCCCGCACTTGCAACCATGGCACTTACACATCGGTGTCTTCTTAATATTATTCAGTTCATCCCATATACTTTTCAATCAAGAAAAATATGAGACAACTGATTGTCCGTTCTGTTTGCAGTTTGCCAACTCCTTTTTCAGTTGGTTTACTCGTGGTCCATTCGCAATAGATAAACGATCTTTGATGTCCTTCAATCATTCGACCGCCTCCTCTACTTGCATTATGGGGTTTCGCAGGGAGGCATCAATCGTGTTTAAGATACAAGACACGAGCATGGTGTTCACAACCCACCATTCTTCATTTTTTTCTTTGGGTGTTTCGTGTTGGGGTATGGATCCATCAATGAATCTAATTTTTCTTTTACACGGGGGGCAATTCAAATAGCTGGTGTTCATTCTTCATAATTACCACTAGTCAATTTGATTTAAGTGATGTGTCTACAGATCAACTTATAAGGACTGACTTTGGTGAATTGTTTATCGTTGCTGTCCAAACCACCGCGGAGGTGGCTACTTTAGAGAATGGATTGTCCTCTCGTTTGTCGGTCATCTCCAAAGACGGCGACTATTTGTCGTCGGCAATGAGATCAAAAAAGTCTCAGAATTTCAGCTCTGATACCATGTTAGAATATTATATCGAGAAAGATTTCTATATTTTTGTGGTTTTGTCCATTACAAGAGAAAAAGCCCTCTTAATATAAGAAGAGAGAATGACAAAAAAGTAAATTTTTATTTTTACCAAAACTCACTATAACCAAAAATAAATAAATTAAATAAAGCAGAATCCAAAAAGGATTTGCTTTCGTGTATGTCTCGCCAATCCCTTGCCAATAGATATGAATTGACATTTTGGCAATTTGAGGGGGTGTAGATCACGTGTTAAGATCCACCATCCATCCTAAAACTCTATTTCTATTTGTATCTTTGACTTTTGTAGTTTTGATTGAATATACTTTACTCGGTAATATATGAATGTTAAAAAATTAAAATTATTTATTTAAACATTATATAAATATTTTATACATAAAAGATAATACGGAGTATAACTATACAATTTTATCAAATGAAAAATAAAAAAAGAAGAAAATAAAATTTGATTATATAAATAATAAGTAGGAAAAAGGTTTTAAGAGAAGTGCGAAATTTAGAATTGGGGTGATAGATTGATAGTCACACTCCACCAAAAGACTAACCTCACCACATACTAATTTTACTCCACTCTATTCTAAATTAATTAATCTCGTGAGAAGTTTATTTTGGCAAATGACATATTACTTTACTGTGTACAAAATAACTTTTGGAAAACTAAACACTATCATTAAATAATGTTTTGAAAACACTATACTTAAATGCTCGAGTTGATGACAACCAAGTACATGGTGACAAAAATATTTTATTTTATCAAATATTCAATCACAACGTATAAATAAACAAAAGTTAACTTTGTGAAGAGTGTAATTCTTTTTGGGACAAATGGAGTAACAAGTTACACGACGACGCCTTTATCAAAATAAAATATAAATAAACATGGAAACCAAGTGCCACATTAAAGTGGCAAAGTCATTTTTTCAAATACTCTTCATCCTCTTCTTAAAGAGAAAAAAAGGCCCTAAGAGGATTATCAATCAATCATCATTTAACAAAACAATTACACAATGGATACAATTAATATACAAACACAAAACCAATCTCTGGTCTAAACAAATACACTGCAGCCAACAACAACAAAAATTGACCTAAGCATTCAGCTCTTAGCCTCTTAATACCCATGGTTCACAAATATATACCAAAGATATATATATATATATATATATATATATATATATATATATATATATATAATCGACCCGAGCTTTATTTTCATCACTAAGGCAGACCCTTCGTCGGGTTATGCAAAGAATATGAGAAATCCTCTGGGGGATGAACATGGCAATCCGAGGAACAAAACCAGGCTCTTGATTGCCAAATGCCAACAGAGTGATTTTTTTGTCATGCACAAGCCTCTATCAGGTGTCTTCTTCTTGATGATTCTTCCTCGGAGTTTTCGCTGTAGTAGAAGTACAACCCCAACTGCAGGACCCCGAGAACTAGTCCAATCCCATTTGGGACCTGATCATGCCACCCCAAAATACACATTCTTTAAGAAAGCAATTTAAAAAAAAAACGCTCATCTTAGTGTCGACCCAGTAAAATCACACAAAAAGTAGGAAGATATGGAGAGGATGTGTGCGCAGGCTAGACCTTATCCTTGCTACAAGGGGTAGTGGAGAGGTAAAAATACAAACCAAACATATAAGACTTCCGATAACTCCTACGAGGGCATGAGAGCATCAAGTTTTAATGGGCATGAGGGCATCCCTTCATGTGAGAGGACACCCAATGAATAGGGGTTGATTAGGGGTAACATATGCGTGCACACACTTCCGGGCCCTGTTTTTTGTGTGATTTTACTAGGTTTGTTGTACCACATAATGTTTTACTAGGAAGCAAAGAGAAGATCATTTTGGAACGAACGAAAAAAAGCAGTAATACTTACAGAAATGAATATATCACACTCGAACAGCCCATATACAAAGAAAGAAAGGCTCATCAGAAACGTAGCAAGTGAGAGATAAAACGGCATGTATTCAACACTCTTCGTCTTGATCACCAAATTCTGCAAAGCAAAATAAATAAATAAAATAAATAAATAAAGATATCATCACAAAATAGGCCTAAAGAGAGGATAGAATCTGCATAAAACACGGTGTTAAGGAACCAATTCAACCAAAAGTTAAACTTGTACTTGTCGGCACATGTGCATGCAGGATTATTTTCTTGTTCTAGATCAGCAAGACTTTGATACCATGTTAAGGAACCAACTCAACCAAAAGCCTCAGGCTTGTAGTTGTAAGTCTGGAAAAGGTCTTATGCTCTAACAAACGCTCGCGTTGCTATGGGCTAACTTACAATGACAAATAGTGGAGCAGCAAACATGGAGATAAGAGAAAGGACCGACAAATATCCAATGAAAATCTGTCGCTCCGGAGGCTCAAATGCACACAAGCTGGTAGAAGCTATAGCTCCAAACACACCAAAAATGCCCAGCAACAATCCCAACATTTTTAACTGCAAGAAACAGTTAATGTTTTTTAAGTCATACATAATTTTACACACCATTAAGGGTCCGTTTGGAGCTTGGAAAATGCTAGGGAAATAACTTCCCTCTACCATTTCCCCTAGCAGTCTGTGGGATCCAAACATACCCTAAGATGCATCAAAATAAGAAACAAGACTAACCTTTTTTGTTTGATCTGCGTATAGAATGAAGATAGTGATATATACTAACTGGAAAATGGCTCCAATGAAGTTGACAGAGAAAACCAATATGATGCCGGGAGAAACGATTGGCGTGCCATACCAAAGACATATTAAGCAATTCAAGAGCGCATACATATAAGGTGATCCAGAAAACTGCTCTGTTGATTGGCTTCTGATTATTCTCTTGAACGTTGGTCTGAAATGAGGGAAGATTAAGTCAGAGGTTGGGTTTACTTCACACTTATATACTGAACTCATCAGACAAACCCTGGTCTTAGAGGGTGTTTGGGGTTGCGTTTGAAAAATGTTTTTGAACTTTTGGTTTTTCAAAATGTAGTTTAACATGTTTGGCAATGAACTTATTTTTATAGTAGTTTATAGCTTGCTTCAGGAGTGTAAAATATGCTCCAAAAGTACTTTTTAGCAAAGCTAAGAATAAGTACTTTGTGCTTCTACTTATGATTTTTGCCTTTTCAAGAATCTACCACAAACTCAAACACCCTCTAAGGGTATATAAATGGGGCCAAACTGGTCCCAAAGGGGATGCCCCATCGAGTGGGGGGGGGGGGGGCATTCTNGGACCAAGTGGATCTTCAAGATGTGAAGTTTATCTCACACTTACACTCAAAACCAATAAACAACCGATGCAAAATACTCAACATCAACTACACACAAATACGATTAAAGCTTCGTTTGGGAACAATGTCTGTGATTAAAGTTAGGGTTTTGGATAACCGAAAATGCTAATGCTAAAAGATACTGTAGGATGGCATTTTCAAAATCTTGAAGCTAAATGCTAAAGCTAATGTCAAATAGAGAACAACAATCTAGCTTCTATTTCAGGGTTATAGAGTACTTACATGGGTGAGACAAACAACACAAATGCACAGACATTCCCTGCATTTGACAAATGCAAAATGTATAAGCACTTTATAATGCTCCCTCTGCCTCATATTCACCTCCTAATTTGAAATTCATAGCGATTGTTATTTGTTTAGAAAAGAGAGATACAATACCAAACACACAAATATATTCCTCCTAAGAAAAAAAATATTAGTATTATGTCTAAGTATCAAAAGTTAGAGAAAAAAAAGAGATAATAAAGTGTCCATTGGAATTAGATAATGAATGCCAAAGACCTTGTAGTCCAAAGGCGACTCTCCTAACTAGGAGATTGGGAGGTCACGTGTTCGAACTCCTGTGGAGGAGTAACTATATGTACTTCAATAGGTTGAGAATGTACGAGCAGATACTATACATTGTAATAGAGTTATTAGTGTTAAAAAAAGAATTAGATAATGAATTAAATTCAATTGACATACTCAAACTATTTTCAATTAAATTTATATGAAAATTATGTAGAATTTTAAAATAAATTTATATATCTAAAAATTACACCAAATATTCTATTCCGTGTAAGACATGTGGTGACATGATTATTTAATTTTATCAAACAATTGTAAGATCCTCATTTAATTTGGGAAGGAGTATTAAAAAAAGGACAAAGAGGGGAGATAGTCACCTGCTCCCTCCACCAAAACATTTTCCATGAGTGAAAAGTGTAAACAACAAGCAAAATGTTGTTTCACAAACAAATGGTCACAAATTTCACAAACTTTCCATTTCGGGCTTAAATTCTCATTTTAAATTTATTTTAGACTACTTCACTTTTTTTTATTAAAGTTCACGAATAATAAGCTTGTGAAATTTGTAAAAATTTAGTTTGTGAATCTAGCATTTCTCAATGTTAAAAGGTGAGAAATGCATTGGGATATGGGAATATCCATTTCAAGAAGATGCTAAAAGTTAAAAGGCCCAAAAATTTAAATAAATAAATAAATCTACCCCGAGATTAGCTTTGAAAAAAAAATCCTTCTTTTTAAAATTTCCAATCAACAAAGCACACGAAAATGAACCCAATTTTTTTTTTAAATTTATCCATCAGATTGGTGTAAATATGAAATGAAAGAAATGAAGTCGAAGTCTGGGGAAATTCATAAATTTAGAGAGGGGTAAAACCGGGAAATTGATGAATTTACCTGCAACTCCTGCTGCAGCACTGCAAATTGAATAAGCAGAGGGAAGATGAGCTCCTCCTGGAGACAACAATAATAATGATAATAATAAACTACTCATCCCTCAAACTAATCTAAAATCTCTAAAAAAAAAAAATCTCTTCTTCTTCTTCTTCTTCTTCTTCTTCCTCTCTCTCTCTCTCTGTGTCTCTCTCCCAAAGTCTATATATCTATGGGTTGTATCTATGTTTTTGGTGGCATGTAATGAAATGGAGAAAGATGGGCGTGCAGGATTATATGTACTGTAGATACTACTCCGTATATGTATTTGGCCATAGACACATCAATTGTCTCCCCAAGGTGGGCCTCACTTTCTCCCGTGCTTGAAACGGGCCTTTGGCGCACATGCAAGTTGACCATAAATAAAAAGAAAGACTTTGAAAATCTCCGAGGAATCAGGGGCCCTGACCGACATAGAAAAAATGACTTAATGTATTATAATGAAATAATAAAATATCAAATTTCTCCATAGTCTATTAGATTTAGGACTCTTTTTTTTTAAAAAAAAATATAAATCAGGGATGCTTACATATATATACAACAAAAATGATTCCCCCCTCCAAGAATGGGCCCTGGCGATCGTCCTCCCCACGACTGTTAAAAAGGAGAAAGAATTCTTTAAATAGAAGTAAATGAATACAAAAATACCAAAATATGAATGCTAGTCTTTAAAAATTTAATATGAATGGACTCTTATCTTTAAAAAGAAACTACCACAATGTTATCTGCCACTATCGTGGGTCGCTCGAGTGCCTCCGGCCGTCACCCAACGTCGTGGGTTGCTAAGGCGCTGCTGATCGCCAATGTTGACCGGTGATCCACCACATGTAACCAACCAATTTTATTTTTTTCTATTACACTACCATCACACTTCTATACCATAGTGGCATCACACTTGTTATTTAGTAGATTAAAGCATATATGTTCCCATCCTATTATTTTTCTTGTATTTTACTTCTATTTAAGAAGGCTTTTTTAAAAAAGAATGGATGTATTAAAGATACTTAAATTACCTCTTATCAACTCTGACCATCCTCATTTATCCATTGTAGTTATCCATTTACTCCCTCCATCTAGGGTATTTGTTTAGTTTTTCATATTATAGTCAATTAAAATTGATATTTCACCTATAAATAAATATAAACATTACGTTATATATTGATTAGATAAAAGCATATTTTGAAAATATTTTATGCAATAAATGTAATGACACTATTTCTGTATCAATATATAATATGAATTTTATGTAATTAATGGTCAAAGTTTATCAATTTTGACTAAAGAAGTCTAAATCGGATAAATATTCTAGGACGGAAGTATTATTTAATAGGAATCGTCAATTTTACGAACGGGCACCGGAGCACCCCCAGGTCATCCCATGATATTGGTTTCCAGTGTTATGAGAACCAAGGGGTAATAGCAAAAAGTACTACATAATAACAACTTACAATGTCAAATTACCATAGGACAAAAGTCATATTTTAAGTTAATAACATGAAAATTTTATTTTGATACTTTCTATATATTTTACCTTATAGAGTAGGTTTCTTTGTGTATTATTGTATATTTTACATCATGTAGTATTTTACATCATGTAATATTTGTATATTTAACTTCAATATTTGCAGGTATCTTTGTATATTTAACTTCATTCATTATTCTTGATGATACAATGAACTTTGGCTTGAGTAGTGGGAAGCCTACTTCTCATGATTCGTGAAGAAGTTCACCCAAGTTCTAGGCCCAACAGAGGCGGAGGCATTGACTCTTTGTGTATCATTAGATTGTTCAACGTATGAATAGATACTAAATTGCAATAGAGTCCATAACATTCAAAAAAGGATACAATTAATTTTTTTAAAGTACTCCCCTATAAATTTTATGGAGTGAAACATAACTAAGAGTTTGTTCTCTTCACCTGATTTGATTGGAATAAATTCTTAAATTATCTAATGTAGTCTGATTTGATTGTAGTTATATTTAAAGATGTTTCCAATCTGATCTGATATAACTTGATCTGATATGATATAATTTGAGTTCAATAAGTAGTTGGAAGGAACTAAAAGAAGTTGGAAACAGTTGGAAGAAACTAAAAAATACGGAGTAATTGGAAGAAGTTAGAAGTTAATTTTTCTAACTCAAAGGAACATGACCTTAGTCTTTTTTCATTTCACAACCAAAGTTCAATTCATCATATCATGAGAAATAGTAGTGTTCACGAGATGTGTGGAACAACATGACGAGACACAGAACTAGTTTCCCTAGCTACAAATTGGACAATATAATTCTTAGATCTCTTAATAAAAGTGAAGCTCAAATTATTAAAACGAACAACAATTTCTTTAATATGAGATACAATAAAACCAAATGAAGAATTAAAGAGTAAAGATTTAGACTTTTCATACAGATATCTTCACAAGAAGAAAGAATACCATTATATATACAATAAAGTTTGGTGTACACCAAAACTTTTAAATATGTACACCAAGTATATCATAGACACAAATAGACAACACATGTCTCTACAATACACAGACAATTAATATCTATGTGTGTCTGTGAATCTGTGATACACTTAATACACAAATTAAATACAAATCTTGGTAAACCCCTAGCATAACCTTGTTTTTAACAAAAAAAGCTAGAGGTATGGTGTACCCTAATTGTACCCTAATGTTATTAACCAAGCAATATTAGTGTTGCTACAAAATATTAATGAATGAATAATAAAGAATAATTCCTCCGTCACCATTTGTATTACAATTTTATTTTCTTTTTTTCTGATATTTTTTGTTTGTTTGTTTGTTTATTTTCATTGATTATTTGATAAAATAAAATATTTTTGTTTTGTAGAACTTTTGTATAATTTTTTAAGATATAATTTTTATTTTTTATTGATGGATCAATTTGTAAATAAAATAATTTTTAAAATTATAAAATTTTACTTCGTAATTCTTGTTTTGTAATCAAAATAAGAGCAAAGAAAATATACTTTGAAAGTTAATAGTGTACAGATAAGACATAAATTGGTGTATCTCGGGCATTATTTTATTTCTAATAGTCCCACAAATATGGGTGGACTTGCATTGGATATATACGCAATTTAACGGGACAGGTACAACAAATTAAGATGTGTGTCTAACACATCTCTTATTTTAGGATAAACCTTAAATTAATTCCAATTAGGGTATTCCAACGATCTTTAGGTCATGCGGTTTAATGAGTTTGGTTGTGATTTTGTTTTGCTCCTCAACTTTGTCTGAAAGACTGAAATAATATCTGATAGTATTTTAGATAAATTTCATGGTGTTGATTAAAGTAACAAAAATGCTAAAATCAGATGCAACTACCATTAAAATAGTGTCACACAGCGTGTTCAGGCATGTTTGGGAATAACGTCAGGCGTCAGCGTTTTGAAAAAGCTATCTACGAGTAGCGTTTAGCGTTACTGTTTTCAAAATTAATCTGCACCTTTAAAATCTTATCCAAAACGCTGACGCTAACTGAAAATGCTATACCAAAACAAGCCCTTCATATTTCAAAATCGCAAAGGTGTTACCAAACAGTCCACTATGTCTTTCTCATCTCATGCATATTACGGAGTATTAAACTTGTGCTCCATATCTCCTGAAAAAAGAATCTTAACCTAAAATGGTAACGTGATTCATTGGTGTCTTTTGATTATTAGCTAGGTATATTTTACAAATCAAAATCAAACAAAAGTGACATAATAGTTTCACGTTATATGCGAGTTTAGCTTGGGAAGGAGGAATTCTAGGTTCAACATATTTTGGGAGGTAGGTGTGAGCCAAATTTTGTTTTCTTTTTCTATTCCTATGATTCTATCTTTTTTTTACTCTTTTTAGTCTTCAAATAAAATTTATATTTTCCATTTTAAATATCTAAACAAAAAGATACTCGTATTACATTTCATGATTTCAAAGAAATGTGTGAAAAATAAACTTACCATTTGTTACCCATTTAATTGGGATGGAGGGAGTATATGTTATCCCTTTTTTGTTGGTGAGATGGAATATTTGAACCAGATATGATGAGCGAATAAATTGTGTGGATTTCTTCGTTGCATTTATTTGAGAACGGGGGATACTAAATAGAGGCTTCATAGATATTTTTTGCATCGATTTGGTAATTGTTTTATTTTTTAGAACTAGTAACTCTATTACAATTGTAATAGTATTTGTTTATACATATTTTTTTAATTTATTGAAACACTGAGAGTTATTACCTTCACTGAAAATTGAACATGTGACGTGGAAAGGTACCCTAAGTACCATTAGACCACAACCTCATTGGCAATTTGGTGTCAGTAGATTTAGTAAACATGATCTCTTGAAGGTTTTTATTTATATAGCAAAATCTTTAACGAAGAACACTAACAAATCCGACCTTAGCTCAGTTGGTAGAGCGGAGGACTGTAGTCGGTTTGTGATCAGCAGATAATCCTTAGGTCGCTGGTTCGAATCCGGCAGGTCGGAGTTGTTTTTGTTATTCTCTTTTTTAATAAATCTTTTTTTTAATTGGTTTTTTCCCACTCACCAAAGAGACAATTCACTAAATAAAATAAAATAAAAAAGTCTTTAAAATTTCAAATGTGAGTTATATTTAATTAATAATATACTTATGCGCGTATTTAAAAGTTTTATACAAAACTCTATCAATAATTTAAAAAAATAAATAAAAATTACAGCTTAGAGTCCTTAATGTACCTATAGCATCACATACAATGTTACTCACAATCTGTCTAAGTGATATATGGACAGAGATCTTTTAACGATCATCGACGTCATGTATAATGTAACACTAAATCATTTGAGAATCTTATGATGTTCTGTTGGACAAGATACTGGGTCCTACTTCGATCCTCCCCTCCCGCCACCGCCTCCTCACCCCACACATGCTACATTATCCCTAACATTTCGGCAAAATAGTTAAGGAGTGAGAAGGATGGGGTAGGGGTTGGATTTGTGGGGTTGGTCAGCGAGAGTGGTAACGAGCTTAATGAAAAGTAGTGGGATCGTGATGTTTTATTATGACATCCAAAATGAGTATCCAGTGAACTTTATCAATGTAACATATAGATATATCAAATTTTAAATGTTGATTTCATGTGCAACACTCATAGTTAGTAATGTTTTACACGTATCTTTTAATTTTTTGGGTGTTTATCTAAGCTTATAGATGATCAAAACAGCTTATAAGTTTACTTAATTTATAAGTCCTTGATTACTTATTTTTAAGTGCGTATAACCTAAATGTTTTTATGTTTTCTCGTTTTGACCAAATCTTTTACAAAATTATCGCTAACATTTTATGAATACTCTCAAAAGATTCATCTCTTATTTAAGTCACTTTACAAAAAATATTCCAATAAATAATTTATAAGTTAAAAATAATTTATGAAAAATAAGTTAATAAACACAAGTACAAGGAATGAGGGAAACACTTCCTTTATTAGAGCATGAACAATGGTGAGGCAAAAATGGAATGCCACACGCTAACGTGGAGCATTTCAACCAATAAAAAAACAGTCCAGTCAACGAGTGGCACGTGAGTGGAGTGAAATGCCTTGCAGTGGCAAGTCATTGTTTTCATCACTTTTTTTTCATATTTTTTCCATATTTGAATAATTAAAAATTATTTTACTTATATATTTTATCATGAAAATATTTCTATTTTCTCAAATAAATAATCTTTTATATATATTTTAATTATTAAAAATGTTTTTATAATCTACTCCATATTTTTATTTATTCCCTCATCTCAGCTTTGATTTTTATTTTAGAATTACAATGCAAAAACTCTCTATTTTTAAAAATCATTTCATTTAAAAATTAGTATAAGAATTAAAAATAAAACTTATAAATTAAAAAATTACATCAAAAGTTTTATAAAAAAAGATGTGACAAAATTTTTTTAATTAAATAATCAATGAAAACATATAAATAAACAAAAGATATCGAGAGGTGATGGAAAAAAGTATAATCTATTGCGAGATGGAGATAGTAAATAATAGTTCTATTACTTTACAAAAAAAATTCTTTCTCAAATAAAAATTGAAAAGTAAAAAAAAAAGGATTAGATGCCTCGCCCAAGCCTTGCACTCCATGGAAGAATGCTGCTTCCACGCAAGGAAAGAGAATCTTTTATCCTAGGTGGCATGGCATGACATGGGATTGGAACGCCGCTAGGTGTCATGGCATGACATGGGCTTGGAACGCCGCTGCCAGGGCTCTTAAAGTAAGAGGCTGTTTGTTTCAGCCTCTTAATGGTTCAGATGTCTGAATGGTTCAGCACTTAATGGTTCAGACTGTTTGTTTCAGCTTCTTAATGGTTCAGATGTCTGAATGGTTAAGAGATTTGCCTCTGAATGGTTAAGTATTATACAGAGTCTGAATGGTTAAGATCTCTTATCTGAATTGATCAGACATTTGCTTCTGAATAGTTAAGCAATATACTAGCTCTTAATGGTTCAGACCTCTTACTGGTTCAGCACTTAATGGTTCAGACCTCTTACTGGTTCAGCACTTACATATTCAGAAATTGCCAAACAGCCCCTAACTCAACTTAAACAATAAACTTCATCTAGGCCCTAGGCCACCCTTGGGCCATCCCCATTAATCGCTTCTATGTCCAAGTATAACTTCACCTAGAATAGAATGTATTTGAAGTTGTGTTTAAAAGCTACTTTTAAAGTAATGACAATTTTGGAAAGTTAACACCATTTTTTTCCTTCTTTAATTATGTCTCAAATTCAAAACGGTCAATATAAAATGGGACGGAGGGAGTAGTATCCAAGATAACACAATAACTATTAATATTTACAATTATACATAAATAAACAAAATAAAAACAACATATTCAAAAACTACATTCTAAAATAAATATAATGATTCGGAGTACCAAACATGCAAAAAAAATGATGTTTACAAATTGCACATACTCCCTCCGTCTCAGAGTATTTGTCTATTTTCATTTTTACACACCATCCAATACACTTCTTTAATCCATTTTATCTTGTAATTTGTATATTAAAAAATCATAGAAATTATATATTAATAATCTATATGTTAAGACGAATCAAACAAGATCACACATGACTATATTTAGGCATACACAGTGAGAGAATTTGATGAGTCAAAATGCTTAGATGAACAATTCCAAAAGTCAAAAGTGGACGAATATAGTGGGACGGAGGGAGTAGATTGGAAAACTGCACAAGTATAGACATTGTGTATAGTAAGAATGCATGTTAGCATTCTACATTAAAAAATAAACATAGTACAAGACATATTTGCAAGCCAATTTGAGCTATAAATCACATCCAGTGGGAAACACTGGTGAAATTATTGGGGGTGAAAAATAAAAAAGAATGGAAAAAAAAAAAGAAGACTTTATGCACAATCGAATCGACCAAACGAAATATCCAAAACCGGTTAAATGCTGCGGGTAGAACGAGATGACCTTGTTCCACTGCCCAAGCTAGAAGACCCGTCTTTCTTCCACATCGCCTCAAAGTTATTGAAGCATTTCAACGGTTTCACCTGCGTTTGTATGTGCCAATAAGAGAATGTAATATAATCACTTGAGAAAATGCAGAAACCGCGGCATAGAACTACAAAGAGACATTATGGGAAGAAGAGATGAGAGGGATTTTACCTTCCAGTGCCTCTTGTGGCCAAATTTGTTGTATATAGACTCCAGCCTTGGTATTATTTGCTTGAAAGTAGGCCGTTCGGATGGCTTATCATTCCAACATTCCTCAATTAACCTGAAGAGTTGTTACAGATATGATCACAAGGTGTTCCCTGACAAACATTGAGCAACAATAGCAAATAGGGATGGCAATCCCATCCTTACCCGATGGATATCCGACCCACCCGACTCGATTAAATGGGCGAAAATCCAAAAAAAAAAGAGAACGGAGGAACAAAAAAGAGAATGCAGTAAAGATCATGAAATTCAAGTGTTGGGGAAATTTTGATATAATACCGAGTATCAATTAAAAGAAATCAATGGCACTTACTCTTTAAGCCCATGAGCATAAAACTTCGCAGGTGCTTTAAAAGGTGGGCGTTGCTTTGCCGCATATGATTTAGGCACTTCGTTGTCTTTCTTGGCACGAAAAGGAGGACAGCCTTCAATCATCTAAAGCAAAACATAGGACAAAGATCAACTTATCAAGCAATCTGTCAAAAGGGAGTCCTAGAATTACCAAACGTTCATCCAACATTGTTACAATATAAAGTTGGGATTACCTCTTGTAAGATTAACGCAAAGGAAAAAACATCCACTTTGGTATCATATTCTTCATTCTTGAAAACCTCCGGAGCTACATAGCGGCCTACTCATTTGAACCGAGCAAATGGTTAGAGAAAATTTCAGAAGGATCATTCTGGAAAAATGGAAATGCCAACCATCAAATATAAAATAATTACAAGTCCTCAAACACAAAAGCTTGTCATAGTCTTTTTACATAAAAGAAGAAATCAATTCATCTTTGTGAAGATTTTTTAGAAAGGGGCATAATCATCTCTAGAAAGAGACTAGCACTCACAAGAAGCCTCGTCGCATGCCAAGGGCCGGTCCTCTCTGACTCTGTTTGTTACTTTTACTAACTTACTAATTCCAAAGTCAGCAACTTTCAGATGCCCAGTAACATCTCGCAAAATGTTTCTGTCATGACAGAGACAAACACCAGCTTACAGAAACATACTTGTGGAAACTAATGTAGAAGTGTACAATTTTGAGTAAAAGGATACAATTATTATGGAAAAACCATACGAGGGCTCCAAATCACGGTGAATGATTGCCTCGGGTTTGTTTTCATGCAAATAGTTCATCCCCCTGAAAGCCACAAATAGTAAAATATATTAATGAACTATGTTATAAAAATATAGGAAATGAGAAGTGCTTATAATGTACCGATACAAAATACATGGGTGTCTATGTATATGTGTCCATTTAGATGTGCATGCACACACACTTCACGTGTTTTTATGTTAATTGGGACTAAGGTGAAAACTGATGACAAAGAATGTTTTTACACTTTTCTTGAATGAGATTCAATAGCAACCCAAAACAAGAATGTTACTTGCAGTTATAGACATAAAATTATATTTCATGCCAAACTTGTGATATTTTAAGTAAAGCCCAATGAAAGAAAATAATGGAATGATGGGTCCATACATTAATTACATTTACATGAAGAACTGTGCACTATGTCAATAGAGCAATATAAATGTGAATTAAGGAGAAAATATATTTTTCTGATATAAATGGAGAACACAAGGTATATTTAAAACTATGTACCAATGTCTTCTAAGCCTTTCCTAATGACATCATGGGTGACTTCACATGCTTCTAAAACTCCTACCTTACTGCAACAATTACAGCACTATATTTTCCCTAGTATCCAGAAATATATAGTCCACAGTAACCATCAATTGATATTTGATAATAGAAGTACAGGACAGAGTCATGACGAACCTTGCAATGTCCATTGCAAATCTAAGAGCTTTTGTAGGCTTAAGCGGTCCATTTTTATCTAGATAGGCACGTAGATCTCCCTGAATAAAAACAATAAGTGCATGAGCATAGGAAACATATGTGAAGAACATTATTAATTCCAAATTACAGTTAAGCAAATCAAGCCGAGAGTAAATGCAATCCATCAACATGGGGGCATTGATTTCAAATGATAGTCAAGCTAATGCTCTTTCTTTCAGATGGTATCAAAGCAACCCAAGAATGGCGAATACCTTTGGTAAATATTCCACCACTATCATCATCGGACTACTCTGTGTTACAGCACCAAGAAATTGAACCACATTTGGATGTCTAATTTTCTGAAGAAGTGTTAGCTCATCTATAAATGCCCTCCTACATTCATCCAAGAATTGAACATATGAATCCAACACTCTAACCAATAAGCAACAGAAGGGATGGAGAACATGATGTAATGTGACTTACACTTTCTCCTCATCAGCAATCACTTCTTCTCCAAACTTTTTTACAGCAACTTGTGTTCCACGCCACGAGGCTATGTGAAATGTTCCCTACAACACCACCAACACTGTTTAGCAAAAAAAGTTAATAAATGAGATATTCTAAAGAAATACTCCCTCTGTCCCAAAAGAGAGAGTCATGTTTCAATATATGATGTTTGAGCGAAGTTCTTTTTAATTCAATATATTTGAAAATTGGTGTAGAATTCTAAAAATAAAAACATTATATTTAAAAACTACATCAAAAGTTCTACAAAACAAGTGGTGACATAGACAATTTAAATTGTCAAAATGCATAAAAATTTATAGTTTGATCCTAGAGGAGGACTCTTTTTTTGGGACAAAGGGAATATGAGAATGTATAAATAATAAATGTGTGTGTGAGTATATATATATATATATATATATATATATATAAAGTACCTTGGCCAATTCAATACTATTAGTGAAGTCAAGCTCTTCTGGGCAAATCTCATATTCTGGAACTTGACGAGCATTTTTGACATGTGTGGGAGCTACCTACACAAGAACATCATTTTGACAAAAAACCCAAAAGGAAAACCAGGCAGAACCTGCCTTTTGACCAAAAGCATTTCCAAAATGCATATACTCCCTCGTCTCATTTCATGTGCCCTCATCGTGCAACGAAGCAAGATTGAAGATTTTTTTCAGTTTGAATTTTGTAATGCTTTAATTAATATTAGCCAATAAATCTCTCATAATTAAAAGCTACATCAAAAGTTCTATAAAACAAATAGAGACGTGGCTTTATTTTTAAAAAAATGTTAAGGTAAGCAAGCTAAGAATGATGATACAATTTAACAGGTGAAGAGTAACGAAACTACATCTGATAAAATGCGACAGAGAAGTAAGTGTACCATAAGCCTACGGTCCATATAAAAACCTATGAACCTTCTAGCATGTGAGATATAATAAGAGCAAAGAAAAGAGAACAAAAACAGAGACCCAGTCCAAACTTAGAGAAGGCCCATATATGAATTCATTGTGACAGAGGGAGTTCAAGTCTTTAAAAAGATAGAAAGAAAATAAATCTCACCGGATGCCTTGCCCCATATTTTTCCAGTAGCTTAATCATGTCATGATTTTTATAATGTATTGCATCTGCCAGAGGCTGTTCAAACAAAACTAAAAGGTGAAAAAACGTATCCAAAAACTTATTGAAGATACAAGTGAAATAAAAGCTAATGAAACACATATTCAGGCAGTTTTCTACTCACTCCATACTCCGTATAAGAAAAAGAGTCAATCACAAGAAGCAAATTTTCATCATTTTTAGAGTGTTGCTAAAGCCACACCCCATTTGACTATATCCACCCCATTTATAAGACATTGACAAGATTATCCTTAAAAGTTTTTTAAAAAGAAAGGAAATATATATTGGCAAACATGTCCATTTCTAATGAACGGGGTGTGTATTTAGCACTACCATTTTTTTTATTTTTTAATTAAGAAAGTGTCCTAAAAAGTTGGGTGTTAAACCAAGGAATGAATTTTGAACTATAGCTATATATATTTGATTATACCCAAGAGTTGTATATTACTAAACCTAAAAAGCTGTAACTGTACCTTTTTAAAATAAGACCCTTTTATGGGAGGGAGGGAATAATACTTTAGAAAACGCTTCATGAATAGATAACAAAACAGCAACAAACTTGCCTTTTGTAGAATATCAACTGCACCTCCATCATACCTCCATTATAATCATTAATCAAGAGCAAAGCTGGGGTTCAAAAAATGCCATATAGGATTATGTTGTGTGGTAAAGTTCTTTTTGTTTCCTTCTATAAACCAGAACTGGACTTTACAGACTATTGAGCCATGTTTTACACTAGTAACTGAAAAAGAAATGGAGAGAAAATTCAAAATTGTTCTCCCTCTTCATTTGGTCCCATTTTCCCTCCCCCTCCAACTAAACACACATACAGGAAACCTGTACTTATGAAGGACAAGACAAGGCACAGAAATCAAAGCCAGTCCACACAGTCAATAATAAGAGTAAAATCAAACCAAACCAACTATGAAGAAGCAGTTTTAGCTTTTGAAAGCAATTTACCGTACTACCCCAGCGGTCCTTGGGATCAACTTCAGCGCCATTGTCAAGCAAGAGCTGAGCAACATCAGTGAAACCCTGGCAGGCAGCCACATGGAGAGCAGTCCGGTGATCAATGTCAGGCGAATTCACGTCGACCCCGGACTCCAAAATCTCCTTAATCCCCTCCAAATCGCCTTCATTTGCCAAGTACATCAGCCTCACCCTCGGATCAATGTCCAACACTCCACCTTCACCCTCCTCTTTCGCATCTACTAACGATTCAATCACGGCCATATCTGGTGCAAGAGAGGATTGCTTTCCCAGGGTGAACCTCACCGGATTGTTTTGGTCCATCTAAAGAGAACGAAAGAGAGATAAAAACCCAGAAATCTTGAAGAATTTTGAACACAGAAGTTGGAAATGGTGTGGGTTCAAGTATTCAACCCAGGACTGGATCTTGAAACTCTGTAGAAAAGGTTGAAGTTGAAACTTACTTCTTTTTCGGAATGAGAAGGAGAAAAAAGAAAGAGAGACTCGAGACTTGATCTGGGTGCTTTCTGTATATTGCAGAAAGGGGAGGCGATAATGATTAATGAATGAAGGCGTGCAAAAATCTTGTTGATGAATTTCACGAAAGAGAGAAAGAAGGTTTTAGGAAAAAGTTTGATGAGAAAGCCACTGAAAAGCCATTGACATTTGAATCAACAAAAATTGGGATTATCTTCTCAGTTTAGTTTGGATTACTTTTGGGCTAGTGAATTTAGGATGAACTTGCTATAACAATTTAAAATTATTTTTAAAAGATTTCTTAAATATCAATTTTGAAATCATAAAAATTAAAAATGTTTTTTTGGAAAAGTAATTTTCTTCCTACCAAATAATCGATTGAAAAATATTCTTTTTTGAAAATACTTTTTTCTCTAACCAAACACACAAATTAGTTACAACTTGATACTTTGTGCAAAATAAAGTACTCCAAAATGGGTAGTTTTTCCGTTACTCTTCTTAAAATGTCCATAAGAAAACGAGGAAAGAATAAATAAAGCAAAAGTAAAAGGGAGCATCAGGATGTTTCAAATCGTATCAAAAGATCAAGAAAAAACTTACGCCCACAAAATAATGCACATAAACTGCTTACCAACATGGTATTAAACAAAGTACCTCAAAATCGGTCTTTATTTGAACACTTTTCCTAAAATATGCATAAAGAATCTTGAGATATTTTTCTTGTTTTATCCCCTAATTATTTTAGTACTACATTTTATACCATGTTGGTAAGAGTACATTTTCAGAGTAAAATCTATTTTTAATACGTGCAAGGACTATATACTACTTATTATCATCCTTCATTATTAGGAGCCGAACTGGAACGGCGTTACTTTCTTTTGCACATCTTCTTTGGCATTTAAGTTAAGCCCTCGATTCATAATAACTAGGAGAGATTATAGTTGGAGGAGATTTTGGTTGGCATACATGCACATTAGTAAAAGTAATGTTGTCTTTCAATCTTTCATATTATAGAGGCACAATGAATTTTTATTTAGTAAAAGTAATGCTGCCAAACTAATGAGATAATCTAGGGAATACAACAGGGGTATTAGAATTCAAACAAGGATAAAGCTATTTGTATCCCTTATTTTGTACCCCATTTTGTATCCTGTAGCTTTGCACCAACACTTTATGTTGGTGTAAAACTAATTTTTGTTAATGCATCAATACTTTGTGTCCGTGTAAATTTTTGTTAACGCACCAATACTTGTGTCGGTGTAAAGCATCAAAATGTTTGTGTATAACTGTGGTGTACAAATGGTGTACAATTTGTGGTGTAAGTGTAGCATAACCCTTCAAACAAACATGATAATAAGGATAAATTACTATTCATTCAAGACTTTAATGATGGACTCCTTCATTTTTCATTATTACAATCTCTGCCATATTTCTTCAATCAGAAAAGTGCATCCCATTTGTCTAAAAAGTGTAGAAAATCAATTCCAAACACGACAAAACACAAGCTGCACATATAATGGTGCTCATGAACAGTGTTATGATTTGTTATCATTCTTTTTTTAGCATATTTTTTAGTCACATGAATATCTAAAGCCATGATACGGATCTTAAAAGTATTATGAGGGGATAGATTTTATTTTATTTTTTATTTAGGTTGAAAGAATGGATAAAGAACATAATCCTTAAGTTTATTTTGGCAAATAAAAGAAATAAAATCAAAAGTGCAAGAATGAAAGTTCTGGGCAGTTTAAGAGATCCAATCCAAAACGTATAATAGCACTTTGAAAATTAGGTCCTTATTCTCTAACCATACTCGAGACTAAGACTAAGAAGGTTATTCTCATATATATCAATATGATGATAAGTATTACTCTTTAAAATTGAACATCCACAAATGAAACAAGTAGAAACTCCGAACCCTTAAGTTGAAATTCTTTTTAAATCTATATGCACTTGCTCCTTTTAGGTGCCGCTTTATTAGGGCGTTCATTAGGATATATCCGATCCGATTCAATTTTCCAGATATCCAAAATTTTTGGATCAGTAAATATCTATTCTATGTCTGATCCGAAAATCACCGGATACCCAAATTTCGGATGTTCGAAATTTCGGATTGGATCAATGGAATATCCAAAAAAAATTATTTGTTTATTTTTGAATTTTTATTTTTTCCAATAATTCTAAAAAAGTATTTAGAATGATTTTTCTTTATTAAAATAGTAGAGGTCATAAATTGGACATGAATTTGAAGTGAACTCTATTTTAAATTTCATAGTTACCTTGATAGTGTAATCATAAGTCATAATTTTATAAATGTATGAAAAAAGAACATCAACATAATTGATAAATAAAACATAGACAAACAGGCTAAAGTAAAAAAACTTGAATTAAGCTTAGATTTAAATATTTATGGTGATGAAAATGAATTGAGTTTAAGTTGTCTAAGCTTTATTTTTATATTTATATTTTTTTAAAATATGAACTTCGGATATCCACGGATACCCGAAATCTTAATATGTCATTCCATATCCGATCCGAACTTCTTTGGATATCCGATCCAAAATATCTGAAAGCAAAAATATCGGATCGGATATCTATTTTTCAAATCAGATTGGTCCGGATCGTGGACAGATATTTTTGAACACCCCTACGCTTTATTGGAAAGAAATTATATATCTCTATTTGGAAAATTCTAAATTGAAACTAACTAAAATTTATACTAGGTTAAAAAAAGACAAAAAAATGCTACATTAAATAAGTAGAATGCTTGTTTGGCAACAAGTTTAGCGTTTAACTTTAGCCTTTCACAAAGACATTATTTCTTTTTAGCATTTCGAAATTTAACGGTGGCAGATGTAGTATATATGAGTTGGAGGCATATGCCCCCTACTAAATTTTTGTAATAAGATAATATAAAAAAATTACATTTATGTGCCCCAACAAAGATTAATGTGACCCCATCTAATTAGGTATAATAAGTAGTTCAAAAAAAATTTGGGGAGCGCAACCCCCGAGTTCCCGAGTTCCCGACCAATGGCGCCCCCATCTAACAGAATTCCTGGATCCGCTACCTAAAGTTAATCTACGCTATTAGAAATATTCCAAAATACCATGTAATTAATTATCAGAAGGATCTGAATTGAGCGACTCAAGCTATACTAACATATACAACTTGTATCATCAAATTTAGGAAAGGGCATCAATTATAAATAAATCCAATCCCCTAAACAAAGTTATTCTACTTTGAAGCCAATACAATTAAATAGATATCATAACCAAAAGGCGGCATTTTTTTTAAAGCAGTGATCATAACAATACACTATACTAAACGGCGAATTCCATTTCATTTACATTTACAACAAGTCTACACCAACCTTCTCCCAAGTGCTTTGATCAGTCATAAGAGCAGACTAAGATTTGTTCTCCATAATACATCTGGCTCATAGATCTCAGGAAGAGTGTTTTCGATCTGTATTAAGGAGCAAGAACACATGTTCCTGAACTGCACTAAGATTCCATGAGTTACATGCTAAGCACCATGTGTAGATGCATCCGTAATCTTTGACTGTGCCGAAACTTGTTCAGATTGAGATTCATGAGGTGTGTTATTATGTTGTGTAACCTGTTGGCCCTGCATTACAACAAACCATCATCTAAAAACATGCATTTCAGGTCATCAACAACAAGTAAACATATTCGTGTTTCTGTTTTTTTCAAAAGGAACTTCTTTCCCAAAAAAGAGTTGTCTTGAAAAAGTCGTTGTCCCAAAAAGATAAGCCGACAAATAAATTTTAATAAAACTTGAGCTAGGGACAGTTACTCTTAGTTAGCACTACAAAAAATTCAATATGTAAATATATCTAACACAAATAAAAACTGATGCTGACTTATGCTAAAGTTATAGCGTGATTAAGATTCAAGCAGATATTGCTGCCTCACCTGATCGATCAGCTCCTGTTCTTGATGTAGCTGACCATGGGGATACCCTCCTTGTTCTTGCTGTACAGTGTGCGATGTTTGTTGATTTTGTTGATATAGCTGCATGTGTTGTTGATATGTTTGTAGATCCATTTGGTATTGGTAGGCAAGTGCTGGAGACTGGTTATATGACTGCAGTTGCTGATCATGTACTTGCAGGTACGGCTGCATTGGCTGCACCATCTGCGGATATTGCTGCGGAAATGTTTGTGCCATTTGCTGTAGATATGGCATCTGTTGCTGAAAGTGTTGATGCTGATATGTTTGCTGTAGATATTGTTGTTGCAGTTGTGGATGGGGGTAGGACTGCTGCATTTGCAGAAACTGCTGATATTGTTGCTGATAATGATATTGCCACATCTGATAATATGCTGATTGATCATGGTGTGTGGGCCAAACCTGCTGGTTAGTTTGCACTGGGCATTCTGCCGTATTTACTTGGGTGCAAGAAAGAGGTGAAGGAAACATTTGTGATATAATAGGACCACCTTGACTATTTTCTGTACCTAATGGATGGGTTTCAACACTTAAGTCTTCTTGCTGTGGGCGCAGCTGGTGATCAAGTTGTTCAAAATTATGGATGGTATCTGAACCTCCACTACTACTAGAAGGTCCTGCCATGTGTTTATTTCCATCCGTCACATTCTGAGGTTGAATAAAATCTGCAACTTTCTCTGGGATTGCAACAGAATGATCACAGCCACCATTACAATGTTCCTCCAAAGAAACTGATTCCATATGATGTTCAAACTCAAGTTCCTTTGGACAAATAGCATTTATTGACCTGTCTTCTTCCTGGGGTGTTTCTGTTGGCATATTTGGTCCTGATGGCTGTTCGAACTCTTGTAATTGCTCAAGTGATCTAGATGTATCCACTTTGGATTGACCAATAGAGTTAGCTGTCCACTCCATTTGATCAAAATCATCAGTTAATTTCAATTGTTTAGATGCATCAGTTTTAGATTCATCTTCGAGGTCAGCAGGAACCCTCCGGGATGGTTGATCATCATCATTCAGTGTTGAGATATGCTCCTCAGAAACACTGCTAGGCTGTTTATTATCTATCAGTGGAGGCAAAGGTAACATCTCCTGCTCCGGTTGCTGGATTAGACGTCCGGAACTTTCATTTTCAGATAGATTAGGCAGGACAGACTTAAAACTTTGACGCTCTTTAGATGTGGTGTGCTTAAATAATGGGCTGACCCTTATGAGCTGGGGAAACAATCTGATGTGAAGATTCCATGCCTTTCTGACATCATAGACTGTTCCACAAAGATCAACAAACTGCAATTGATTGATGTTAGATGACCAGAAATCTAAAAGGAAAGTAAGGGTGTTTAATTATCTTTTTTTTGGGGGGGGGGGGTTGATGTGACTTTTAGTCCATAAGTTATACACACGGTATATAACCTTGATCCCTCATAATTGCAGGCTCCTGAATGTATAGTGACTCTTTTCATACCTAAAGCAAGCTCTATTTTTTTTATCTAAAATGTTGAACTCTAGGTCCCTTACCCATGAAAATCACTACTCCATGATCAATTTGTGGAAGCCTACAATTTCTGAGGGACTGCATCTGTAGTCACGAATTAACCTGACAAAATTGTCATTTTCCCTTGTAAGTACTATATACAGAATAGAAACTTTCAGAAAATTGAAATTTTATCCATACTTCCAAAAATATCAAAAATATGCATGCAAGACTAAACAGGAGAAGACATCTCTAATAGCAAACCGCATAGGAGCACAAGCAAGTCATAATAGCAATGAACACCGTAACATGGCCTCATGTTTTAACTAATAGTTCTCCAGAAAATGAGACAACAATATATTATGATACTCCAGGAAAGAAATATTTCTCCTTCCCTTTCTAAAGTACAACATTAAATATTAAAGGGAAACAAAAGATACTCATGATGTCACAGCACGCACTTTAGTGCAAGACAGAACAAAACACGCACTCTCAAAGTAGACTCTAACCTCCAAAAATAAAGTTGATATACACTCTCTATCTTTTATATCCAAACCTCTAAATTGATCCGATGATGAAGAAATTGCTGTGGTTATAACTGACTCTATGAAGCTCAGTTGTTTAGCTCCATCATGCATCATTGCAAACCTAATCAGTTCCTGCACAAGTAAAATCCATACCAATTTTCTACATCAAACAGTTCGGTAACAGAAAGTTTTGGATGGTTCTTATTTTGATGCTTTTGCTGGTTGAAGAAAGTGAGAAGAGAGAAAAAAGAAGAGAAAGGAGGGTAGATTTTTTAAATTTGATTGGTAAAAGAGAAAGAGAAGATCAAGAAGTTGAAAAGCTTTTATCCCCTCTTTATCCCTAAATTGGGAAAGAAACAAAATGATAGTGGGTCCTGCATATTTTCTTCTCTCTTATACATGTCTTCCCTCAACCAAACAAGGGAGAGTCCTTGTTTTACCCCTGCTTATCTCTCTCTCTCTAAATCACCTCTACCACAAAAAGTACGTTTTTCATATGAACGCATATTCTCTACAGAACACAGTACATACCAGTAGGATCTGTCTTCGCCTATAAAAAATTTAAAAAGCAATAAAAAGAATCCATTAAGAAAGCCCACGTTTCTTTGAATCCAGGGCTACATTATGAGAACGATATTTTCATTATAAACTTTAATGGCTTGAAAGGCATAATCAGATTAAATAGTAGTCCTGGCAAACTAATTTGACATCCACCTGACAGAAGTGTTGTTTTGAAGGCTCATCCATAAGGACTATAATGCTGTAAGAATATACCTCGTAAAGAAGTCTGCAGTCTGGTACTTGTTGTATTCCTTTTATTAATACATCTCTAGAAGAATCTATATCATTTGTCATCTGAAGGAAAGTAGAAGTCAAAGAAATCCCAAAATAAATACCAAATGCAAAATAAAGTTACAGGATGGAACCTAGGAAGTGCCACATAAAAATAGTATCTGCTGATTTATATAGTATAGACACGAACACCTACAGATAGGTGCACTGATGATTAATTTACTTTTTAAATGATTTAAAGTCACCTAAATGAAAGTCAAAATATCCAACTGCCTTCCCTCTAACAGTTTTAAGGTCTCAATTCAGAAATAAATATTGAACTGGTCCACTAACCCTGAAAAGATGCAGTAAGTACTCAATGAACTGAAACTCTTTGTCCCCGTGGTTTCTTGATGTTTGGGGAAGAAATTAAGTAAAACTATAAAACTACAATTTGAGAAGATAATAATCAGTGCATAGAAAATTAAGTGACCCTAAAATTGAATACCATGAGTTTAAGATGGTAATAATTAATGTATAGCTTTGGAAGAAAAAGTTGTTTCCCCTGGTCTGAGGTTGCCAATCTAAGTGCTTTCTCGTAAGTCTCACAAGCAGCTTCTTGATTTCCCTGAAAATTCCGTGTTGAATTCATTAGTGAAAATGTCTTTCCAGTTGAGAGAAATTGAGAGAGCTTGACATGCACCAGTCGCCTTTCCATATTTGCTTGATTTACAACACTTTGAAGGAAATAGATATCACTCATGTCATAATTAGAATAGGACGCACGAGCACCATCCAAATCTCGAATTTGTTCCATGAATCTTGCAGAAAAGAGATGGATGCCAGGAATATTCTGTTGAATAAAAATTAAAATATGCAAGTCTTTTAGTCAATCTCAATGCACAAACTCACCTGGCTGATTTCTCTCTTCCCGTAATAAATAGCCCAAAAATCAATAACTTCACACAATAAATATTATGTTTAAAAGATTTGCATACAAGTAGCCCATGAATATTATTCATATTCAGCAAGAATGAGTATATGCTTGCTGTAAAGACTGGATTCTGTTGAATGACTATATGTTCCGGGTATGTCACACTCCGAAGTGCTGTCTAGGGAGGGTGAGATGTACAGACACCTTACCTCTATCACTTGGAGTAGAGACAAAACTACCCTCCCACACCCCCACCCATCTCAGGAGAACTTTATGAGGTTTAGAAAGATGCTATAAAAGCATGAGAAGAGTACAGACTAATCAACCAACTTTATGATGTATAGCAGATTATGTGCTCAAATAACTATGCTACCAAAGTGAATACTAATGTTAGAAATACCCAATACATTTTTATCCCCTTCACTTTAGAGCTTATCCACATACAGTACATTGACACACAACAGCTTCCTAGCCTCTATTAACCCTATATAATGATATGCTCTTCTCTTATCTTGTAGGAATCCTAATATCATGATTAATACTAATCATAGTACAATCTTCTTCTAGTAATAGTTTCTTATATTGTTTTAGCTATCTAAGCATCTAGCGGGTGGTGGCTAATTAACACAACATATCACAGTGCTCAACCCAGTATTAGAGCCATTGATTTAGGATCTTTTGAAAAAAATATTCCTCTATGTTCGGGGGTGAACACAGTGCCTAGCCCCTCCGACATGATGTCTAAAAAAACTTAACCTGCGAGCATGTTCGTTGCTCTGTCACGGCCCACCGTACCACCTAACCCAACCACCGTATTCTGAAAGCCCGTCTGACACTTCTGCTCTTAGAAGTGGTGGGCTTGGATGATTATATAATTGGATTCATGATATTCCGTTCTATGTTTTTCTATGGAGAGCTCATAGATTTGGTTATATTTCCCCCATGATGCTTCCTCAAGAACTCAAACAAGTCCATTATGTCCTGTTCTCATTACTTTTTTCTCTACCCACACCTCTGTATTTTCTTTAAGAGTAGTGAAATTTTGTAAAAAACATAGCTTGAAACCGAAGATGTCTCAGCTTGAGAGGCAGTGTTGAAACATTAGGATACAGTTTTATCCCCCTTAACTTAAGGGCTTATCCTCACACACATACAACTCATACACGGCACATTCAGAGCACCATGCTAGCCTCTGCAGTGCCTACATAATAGTGTGGCAAGTGTGCTCTTCTCAGATCTTGTGTTGCTTCATATATCATGAATTCAAGATTAATTCATATCCTATTAATATCAATATCTTATTCTACTACTAGCTTCATATATTATTTCAGCTATATTACAGGTGGTGGCTCATTAACATCACCTGGTAGTCCCCTAATATCACAATATTCAACACTTACACTCAAAAATACTTTTGTTGCCCGCTCTATAGCAAAAATTGCTAACTCTCGTCCCCCCTTGGCCTCCATGAAATTCACATAGCGCATCCAGAATTCAGGGTAACTAGCGCATGATATCATGCATCTCTCATAAAGTTTCAGTGCCTGCATACATCATATATTGAACTTAAAACTATGAACAGATGTCCCCAGATAAGCCTGATGAAAAATAAAGCCTACCCAGTCAAAATCCTCTTGCTTTTCAATAAAATCAAGATACTGATGCCAATTATTTAGTTGATCATCATCTAAAGGAGCTGCATCAAAATAACGCCTACGAATGTTTGACTCAAATCTTTTTATTTTTTCATCCAGCTGCGAAGCTTTCTGATACAGCTGATCTCCAATAGATTTGTACCTATGTAATGCTTTACACCTCACGCGTATATCAGAAGAATCCCAGATGTCATTGACAACCCGAGAGATTTCTTTGTCAGATAGTGAAGTTGCATCACTATACAACTCAGTGTGCATTTCAAGGTTTCCATTGTTGAGAGGTTGAATCTCTTCCTCCAAAACGGTTACATGGTCCTTAAAACTACAAAATGTATAACCCAACATTTTAATGAGGATGGTGTACACACTAACACATAGAACATTCAATAACCAGTACAACATCAGGACATCAGGTCATAGCATGAGATGATAGAAGCAAAAAGAAGACGTACATTTTGTAATATTTTTGTAGTTTTTGGGTAGGGAAGCGTAAAGCCTGAGCATAAACCTTAGCAAGATGGATCCACTTGTGCTGGGAGAATTCAAATAATATGTATTTGTCCCATAGCACATGACAATAATAATCCTTCCCTACAATAGTCATGCCTTTTTTAAACAATCTGTATATCACAAAATACACAGAGATGTATATTATTCAAATCATTATGGAAATGTAGCCAGGTAGACATGAGATAACCACACTAGCATGCACGGCCAATGATGACTGGGAGTCAAAAAGAGAGTTGACCCCAAAAGCACATGTTGGTTGCAGATGCAGGTTGGAAGTGATTTGAACGTGGATCCATGTCTTTAAAATAGTACTTAGGTTTCTTAAGGTGAGTAGATGGCTCTCATTGTCACAGAAGCAGAAAACCATTATGAAAAAGATAGTTTTCAACTTTGTACCTAATGATGCAAATTTTCTTAGGCATTTCATCGTTCATAAAGAGAGGTTCTTATTTTATGCAATTGGACATTATTCATGCACTAATATGTTGTCAACTTGTCAATTAGCTTCCCCTTCCCCTCTTTCCACTCTCTTGCTGACCACCCCACCTAAAATACATCTTTTAGTGTGAGTTTGTACTTCGAAACTCCAGAGAAAAATATCAAAACTCAAAGTTTCTTTTCTTTTATTGTTCAAACGCTTACAGTAAATAAAATATTACCAATTATGCATAAGTTGGAATTTCATAACCACAACATATAATTACAGCATGGCACTGTCCAAGAACTGACCTGCGAACATTATCTCGATCATCAGAATAAGTTATGGCAAAGTGGCAATATTCATACCACAAACCAACAGAGAAAGGTGTTAACTCAATTGCCTGCTCAAAGACTTCAACGGCCTTATTAGCATTGCATAGGCGTGCCTGATGATAAGCATATCGCTGCCAATACCAGTGACACAATGGGAACCTTGACAAGAGAGACTCATATGCTGTCGAAATAAGATCTATGTCATCCTGCATTCAAGAGGAGATTTCACTGGCCAATAGAGAGAGAGAGAGAGAGAGAGAGAGCAGGTTTCATTTGTGGCATTCATGAAACCATGAAAAAGAGTTGCCCCTATATACCAATGTCGGTCCACCTTTCCCACAAACTCACACTCACCCATGCTCAATGCATCAATATATATCCCTCTCCCATGGCCACAAAGCTTCTAGGGAGCAAGAGTAACATCAAGCAACAGTAAAAATGTGTAAATTTGTACGGTGTACACTTAAATACTCTTGAACAGTCAAACCACTTCTTCAAAGATGAGTGTGATATTGTAATGGCAAACACATTTCAGACGAAATTATAGACCTACAAATCTCTCCAAGTAGTGTCCTAGGTTTAAATCCCATCACCAACATCGTCCAATCAAATGTACTCCACAAATTAAGGTTAAATATAAATAAATTAGCTTTGCACAATTTTCATCACTTTGCAGAAACATATGTCAATAAAAGCATTGTCTTGGTGCTGACGTAACAGTATATAATGTACTTGTTACAAGTTCAGACAGAAAAGTGATCCTCTAAAATTTTAAAAAAAAATTCTAAGGCCTATTTTGGGGTTGAGGTTGTGGTTGGAAAATAGTTTTCATGGTGTCGTCAAGGAGACTGTCTCAGCAACGCTTAGGCATCGAGGCTATTGAGAATGCAAGCCTTATCTAGTGGACTGTACTAATTTATGATTTTCATTCTTGAACTGGAGTCTTCCTGAAACAGTCTCTACTTTTACTAGGTATGGTTTGCATCTGCTAAAACCCAACCCTCTCTCCAAGGCCCCACTTGTGCGATTTTAGAGGATAGGTTGAACATAAAACTCTTATTTATGTATAGTCAATATATATAAGTGAAGATGTACTTTGGTTGCCTTTCATACTCTTTTTTTCTCAGTTTCTTGAATAACGGTGAATCAGTGAATCTAGAGTTTCATTATTTATATCAGATTTATATCGATCCCTTTAAGTTCAAGGTTTTATAGTCGGAATGTTATGAATGTTATGCTATACCTAGATATGTGTAGCACCAACTGGAACAACTTTTTCTTCATTTTTCAATACAAGTCAGATGTTTTATTTTCTTACTTCTACCTTGTAACCCACTACTATGGCCAACCTCTAGGTGGACACATAAAGACAGAAATCAATATTCGAAATGCCTAAAAGCATTTTTAGCACAGTTCATTGTGCATGAGGCTTCACTTCTGTAAATGTGAGCAGGGGGGGCTGACATGATGACACCATCAACCAAAGCAATCCAAAATTTATCTTTAAAAACGTATTACGAATCATTCATATGTAAAGCCCAATATCAGACAAATTATCAGACACTATGGGTAGACAACTGACATGGTGAATTTTCTCAATTTCTGCGATCAGCTTCTTCCAATCACCAAAGTCTACTGAGCCTACATTTTTCAGCTGATGAAGTCTTTCACGGCAGTGTACTACAAAACAAGAAACATCTCTACAAGTAAGCATAAGGGACAGACTCAAAACTAAACACATGAAAAGCTTCTTTTTTTGTTAATATAAACTAAGATTTTTTATTAACATGAGTTATATGCTGCTCCTAACATTTTTTTACATAAAACTACCAGCGAAGTACCATTTTGGTTATTTACATCAGTACATGCACTTCAATATTTCAATGTATACTGTTTGCACATTTATCAAGTTGGAAAACTTTAAAATGAAAACAAATGCCAAAAGAAAAGTAAAAGAATAGAGTTAAGAGTCATGCTAGAAACCCACCAGGTTTGACACCAAGTGTTTGATAGACATAGACATATACCAACAGTCATTGTCTATGACACACAGAGTTAATATTTGGTGTCAAACTTGGTGGGTTTGTAACATTTTTGAAGAGTTAACTAGAATAAACTGAGTGCACCTGAATTAATCATTAAAAAAATTGACTGCTGATATATCAGCTTGATTGGTGGATTTCTTAGGGGGGGAAATTAGGTTATAATCCATATGATTGTTTAATTTTCCTTCACAACAACATTGATTTCTTGTTCCATTCACCATCTTTTTTCTCAAGGTCCAGTCAAAAGGAAAAAATACCTAATACTACGAACTAAGTTACATCTCGTGCTGCAAATATATGTGGTTTATACTTGATACAACAAAATAGGTATTAATGAGAAATCAAGCAATAAACACATTTTCCATTAAAAAAATCCATCATTTAAGTTTCTGCTTTACACACGAGCATCTTTAATAGAAAGATCATAAGGATTTGCTTAACTTTAAAAAATTGATGTGGAACCTAAGTGGAGCATGGGTTGCTTAATTTATCAAAGGAATTGCTAAGGGAAGCAACTGTTCCTTAATGTCCATCTTCAATGACAACTAAAAAAAGCCAGTAGCAAAAATCATTTGGATTGTAAACCTGTTGCAGAGATAGGTTCCTCCGAAGTGTTTTCCATTACGAGATCACCTTGAAATTTCGCACTTCCTGCATTAAATTGAAACACAGGAATGCAAACTCGTTAAGATCATCACAAAAAAACTGCAGATTTAAGCATGTCTATTCAAATAGCTTCTAGCATTCTTAATTTTCAGATCCCGGTAAAAAAAATCAGAATTTGATTGAAAAAAGATGAGAAGAACTTGAACCTTCAAAGAATTAGGGCCTGTCGTTTTCCCGCAGCATTGGAACTCTGAGCATCCATGCAAGAGAGAGCGAGAGAGAGATGAAACTGAAAGTAGATGTCCCAAACGAAAACTATAACAATTGGCGCATCATATTCGTACTGAAACTCTGAAAGGAAGCGGTGGCAGCTGCCGCTGCAACGCCGGCAGGAGAGTGTTCTAATAGGCAAATACTCCCTGAACTTGTGCCAAATATTTGAGGAATCTTAAGTGTCAAAGTATACACTTAAAAAAATAGAGTTACGGAGTATATAATTTTGAGCTCACATAAAATATTGTTTTACAATTTAAAGATATCGCTTTTAAAGATATGAAGAAGTAGTTGTAAGGGTTAAATCCAAAGATCTGATATTTTACAAAAAACTGCCGGATACCCCATGTTTTGTTGTAAGAACTGCCAGGTACTTCTATTTTTCAAAATATACTCTTAGGTACCCTGGATTTTGAAAAAATATACTAAGGTCCTTCCCCTTTCCGTCTTTCCCCCTTTCTCTGTTACATTGCACCATCATCATCATCCATCATCCATCATCACCATCGTCATCCATTTCATTCTTCCTCCTCTCTTCTTCTTTTTCTCTTTCTTCTTTTTCTTCTCCTCCACCCACTTCCAATCTCCCTACCCCACCCCTCACCCTTTATTTCTTCTTCTTCTCCTTTTATTATTATTATTATTATTATTATTATTATTATTATTATTATTATTATTATTATTAATATTATTATTATTAATATTATTTATTACAAAGTATTTTTTCTTCTTAATTATTATTGTTAATATTATGAAGTAATATTTTCTTCTTATTCTATTATTATTATTATTATTAAAAATTAATTTATAGTTTCACTGTAAAATTGAAGGTGCCCGACAGTTCTAAGCACAAAATTAAGGGTACCAAACAATAATTTTTTTTACATTAATATAGATTGTGAAAGATTAATGGAGCATCCAATTTTTTGGTGGGAGCTTTAGTTTTTTTGTTAAAAAATATAGTAGTAAAACAACTAAATAATAATAATAAGCATAAGAATAAGAATAATAATAATAATAATAATAATAATAATAATAATAGAAAGAGAAGAATGAGAAGTAAGGGTGAGTGGTGGGGGTCTAGAAGAATAAGAATAACAATAATAATAATGGTAATAATAATAATAATAATAATAATAGAATAAGAAGAAAATATTACTTCATAATATTAACAATAATAGTTTAGAAGAAAAAAAATACTTTGTAATAAATAATAATAATAATAATACTGTTTGGTACCCTTAATTTTGTAAAATACTTTGTAATAAATAATAATAATAACAATACTCCATTAATCTTTCACAATCTATATTAATGTAAAAAAAATTATTGTTTGGTACCCTTAATTTTGTGCTTAGAACTGTCGAGCACCTTCAATTTTACAGTGAAACTATAAATTAATTTTTAATAATAATAATAATAATAATAATAATAAGAAAATATTACTTCATAATATTAACAATAATAATTTAGAAGAAAAAATACTTTTTAATAAATAATAATAATAATAATACGTAGTAAAAATATAATAAGATTGATGGTTTTTTGTTAACAAAAAAGAAGGATGATGATGATACTAATAATAATAATAATAACAATAACAATAATAAAATAATAATAATAATAATAATAATAATAATAATAATAAAAGGAGAAGAAGAAGAAATAAAGGGTGAGGGGTGGGGCAGGGAGATTGGAAGTGGGTGGAGGAGAAGAAAAAGAAGAAAGAGAAAAAGAAGAAGAGAGGAGGAAGAATGAAATGGATGATGATGGTGATGATGGATGATGATGATGGTGCAATGTAACGGAGAAAGGGGGAAAGACGGAAAGGGGAAGGAAAATCTCCCCTTAGTATATTTTTTCAAAATTCAGGGTACCTAAGAGTATATTTTGAAAAATAGAGGTACCTGGCAGTTCTTACAACAAAATATGGGGTACCCGGCAGCAGTTTTTTGGATATTTTACTATGATTCAAACTTATAAATCACAAATGAAAGTTTATATTAATTAGTTTTTCTTTATTGTTGCATGATTTACATTTTACATGATTGGTTGGCATTATTAAAGTGTGAGATAAACGCATGCATCTTAGCAATACAAATATTTAGGGGTGATCGAGCGTGGTACGGTATTTGATTTGTAACGATGTCGTACCAAATTTTTTGGTTTGGTATGGTGCTTTACATCGTATCGATACCGATTTCAAAATATTGGTTCGGTATGGTTCAGTTTCGGCTTTGGTAAATTGGGATGTATATATATACGTACCTAGTTTACACTTTGAAATATCTAAAAACTTTTTATTTAAAAGAATTGAAAGTACATTCAAATAAGGAAAGATAAAAAATTGAAAAATGAATAATTAAATGCAAGAAACACTTATAAAACTTAGTTTAATTTATAATTCGTATTTCACAAACAAAAGAGAGTGAATGATAACAAAATAGTATTTCAAATGTTTGTTACGGAGTATTTTTTATATTCATCTACAAAAAGTTAAACTTCAAATAAATGATTATTTAAATAAAAGATTATTTGTAATTTATCTACACTTGAACTAATTTTTCAAAATCAAGTCATTATTTTATGAAGAAGTATAAAAACATTATTATTTTTATAACACACACAAATATATATATATATATATGTGTGTGTGTGTGTGTGTGTGTGTGTGTGTGTATGTATTCGGTTTCGGATTTTTCAGTATGGGAAGTTACCTCGTACCGATCTCAAATACCGGACCGACCATTCGGTTTGTTATATATGATTTTTTTATACTTTATCGGTTCGGCATTATTCGGTTCGGTAATCTCGATTTTTTGAGAAATTTCGAGATCCATTTGGTACTTGTTCACCCTTACAAACATTTATGCAATAGCACAATCTCTAACACATTACACGTCACCACTAAAAACCTTGAAATGCGGTGCCGTATATGAGTATAGACCTTTTGAATTAATAGAATGTCATTTTGAATTAACAGAATGTTCATTTACAACAGTAGTGTTCTTTTTGAAATTTGCTTAACATAGTATTCATTCTAAAACAACGTAGTGTTAATTTTAAAATAATGTAATGTTCATTCTGAAATAAATTTTAATTACAAGTTTATCATAATGTGAAATAATGATTGTACCATATAATTTACCAAAAACTACTTCAATTCGTATATTTGATGCAAACTAAAATAAAAATAAAATTGAAGGATTTGAGAAAAATAAGAGATGGAGAAGGAGAATGAAAAGCACGAATGACAACAGATCGAATTTTGGTCGGGTGGAATTTTACCCTCATCCATCTATCGATTCCATATTCATCAGTTGATCCATGTTACATTCTTACATACATCACCTATCACCCAATCCATCTATTACCTGCGGGCAAAACTAGTGAAAATGGGTGATATAAATACTCCATCCGTCCCAGAAAACACTTCCCATTTTGACTTTTTTTGGTTAAACAGTGATATATTTTGACTACAACTTGTGAGAATCGTATATTGAATTATAATATAAATTTAATATAATCGGATTCATCTTAGGATATAATTTTGATATATCAATTTTTTATAACATTTCTTTATTCAGATTATGTATAATTTATGGTAAAAAGAGTCACTGTTTGACCGAAAGAAGTCAAAATGAGAAATGTTTTCTGAGACGGGGAGAGTAATAAACTCTAAATCACTAATATAAAAACTTTTGAAGCATGTAACCACAAAAAATCTTAGATTGGTAAAATATTAATAATATTTACGATAAAATCTTGTAAAGAAATAATAATCTTCTAAGCTACAAACTAGGTTTTTATAAAATTAAACATTCAAAACTAGAAAAAAACTTATGTACCCAACAAAGACAATATTTTCAATTTTAGTTTCTTAAAAAATAAATAAGAATGTGTCGAGTGACGAATGAGAAACATCTCCACCCATATTCGATCTATTCTATAATTAGTCCATCCATTATCATTTTCTTTTCAGATTTTTATCCACAAGAGCGGATCAAATAGATGGATTATCAATCACGTCGGGTGGGAATTGTTACCCCCAATGAGAAAGAGGAGGAGAGACTTGAGTTGGGCGTAGGGATGAAAATTCTACCGAATCCGACCTTTACCGATCTGACCGGAGCTTATCATATTCGAATCTGAATCGAAAAATTAAATATCCGAAACCGACCCAAAAAAATTAAACCGAATCCGACTCTTGTCGGGTCGGGTTCGTGTCAATATATTTGACCGAACCGACGCGTAACCGACCCGACATGTACTCAACTTTCAATAAGTTTTAAAAACCCTAAATTCTTATATTCCATGTATTTTTGATACACATGTTTTGAATGTTTTAAAACTTATTACATTTCTTTGTGTTTTATTATTTATTGTGGATAAATCTTGTATGTTATCCTTATGTTATTTTCATTGTACTCCATATATTATTAGTTAAAACTTACTATTTAATATTTTGAGGGTCATTCGGTCATAATTATTTTTTTAATATCTTAAATTTTTAGTCGTCTTTAAAATTTCAAACTTTTAATGTATTTCAATCTAAAATTTTTCATGAATATTTTTATTTGTACTCAAACGCGAATTTGACCGTAACCGATCTGACCGAATCTTAAATCGAATCCGAACAAAAAAAATAAATATCCGAAATCGACCGGCTAAAATTAAACCCGAACCAAACCCAAATCGGATCGGATTTCAAAATACTCAAACCCGACCGGTTGCCATTGGTAGTTGGAGACGGTGGTGACGAAGACACCAATTTCACCTCCCCTACATGGGTCATGGGTGTGGTATTTCGCAGGCAATAAATGCGAGTGGAGGAAGGGAAGAAGATATGGGCATATGGATGCAATTCACAATTTGACTACTTCACCTGCACCCATTCATTGGTGTGCAACACACAGAGAGAGACACTGTAGTAGTGTGTACCAACCAGTGTAAAAATGGCGACTCTTTCCCTTTCAAGTTACTATTCGCCATGCTCCTCTCTTTACAAAAGAAATAACTATATTTCTTCCAAGTATTCCCATGGACCTCACCCCTTTAACCGATCCACCCTTTCTCGTTCATCTTCTCAACCCGTTTCGCAGCTAAACTACGGGTCTCTCAGCAGCTTTAAGTACAATCCCCTCGGGTAGATCTTATGAATTTCCTCCTTTTTTTATTTAGTTATATTTATAGCAAACAATTCTTGATTTGTTCAAAAGGGTTCTAATCTGCCCGCGAGCAATTCTTGGCTTGTTCTTTATTTCGGTTCGAAATGCTTTTGGTGCAGTGTTGCAATTGATCTGAAGGGTGGGATGAAGAAGAGACTGAGAAGTGGTGTGGTTTGTCACTACTCTACTGCTTTCGCTCCCCGAAATCTCCAATGGGTCTCTACTATCTCATCTGTGTAAGCAAGGGTTGTCTCTCATCCTCCATTTTTATTCTTCTAGATGTGATATGTGGTGTTGTTGCCAATGAACAAAATCAACCATAAGCTTAAGCTGATATTTAGAGCTTCAGGGAATGTTTCCCTCCTTACTCAAAGTGCAATCACATTTCAGTACTCATTATAATGGATGGGCAGATGCTCATTACAAGCAAAATGGTCATTCTGAATAAAAGATATATTTAAGGCTAGCGATAGGGGAGAGAGATTAATAATGCATGTGAGTCCTTTCTTTGCTGGTTTTGTAAAGCTAGACCCCCATCCATCTCTCGAGTCGTGGCATGCTTACTGTCCATTTTAAGTTACTTTTATTCCACTGCTCTTTAGACCTCACGTGTTTATTTACATGATCATTCCATTATCTTGTTTAGGGTTTTGATGCTTGCGAGGGGAACTTCTATTCACAAATCTTTTCTTGTTCCTTTATTTGTTTTACAAGCTCCTTTAACTCTTATCTCCTGGACCAAGTAAGCCTCTCTGCTTATCATCATCATCATTGTTGTTGTTGTTGTTGCTGTTGTTATTACAAAGTATTATTATTATTATTATTATAAGTAATAATAATAATAATACTCCATAATAAAAAATAATAAATGTTTGGTGTTTTATCATCATTGGGGGTAAAACACTACTCTCCTTATTAGAGCATTCACAATGGCAAGTAAGAAATAAAATGACACACGATGACATGGAAAGTTTCAACCAATAAAAAACAGTCTAGTCAGCGTGTGGCATGAGAGTGGAGTGGCATGTTATGCAGTGGCAAGTAATTGTTTTTATCAATTTTACTTTTTTTACACATTTTAATTTTAATTGTTTAAATTTATTCTAATTAAATTTTTTTCAAATAAAAAAATAAAAATATTTAAAAATTATTTAAATTATTTAAATTTATTTTGTTTATATTTTTATAAACTATACTCTTTTTAAAAATATTTCTTATTTAAAAAATAAACTAAAAAAATAAAAAAATTACGTTTTTTTTTTCAAATTTTACATTTTTTTACATGTCTTATTTTTACTACAAAGTATTAAAAATGAATTTACTTAGGTTTTTTCCAAAAAAAATATATCTACCTTTTAAAAATCTTCTATTTTATGGAGGAAAAAAGAAAAGAAAACAAAAATAGTTGCCTGACTTGCCTCGCCCATTACTTGCCATGCATGTCAAATTTCTACATTCTTGCGAGGCATTTTGCTTGCTTGGCTTATGTGGCAGGCGTGGCAGTGGCACAGCCACGCCACTGCCAGTGCTCTTACATTATGGGCTTTGATAAACTGATTGAACATTGGTTTGCAGGGGCGAGTACGGCATTTGGACAGCATTCTTGGCACTTCTTGTTCGCCTTTTCTTCTTCTTTCCTGGTCAGTTGAATGGAATTTCCTACACTTAGAACTACCGGAAATGGATTTTTCATCTTTCATTTGTTATGTCGGCCACAGTGATAGTAATATAGGTTATATAGCAATATGTGTGATGTTTTTCTTGTCCTTGTTGAACATACGACATGATCAAATAAACGCGAAGGACCTGATCAACATTGAAGCTTTGAGTCTACTTTGCTTTTATGTTTTTCTTTCATTTCTTGCACAAGTACAATGTTGTGTTTCTATTTGTGTCAGCATGAGCAACCTGAACAAGTCATACTATTCATTTTTCTAAAATATTCCCCCACCCCCACTAAAGAAACAACTTCTAAAGGAAAAGGATAATCATACCGATTGGCATTTAAGAATGATTAAGAATCAGCTGTCTTGCTGCATTACATGGAAACTAGACTGAATAAGCTGCAATACCGAATTTGTGTTGTCAAAGGTGTAAAATACTGATATGGGTATATACCTCATTGGATAGATGCTCTGAATAAATGAGTTTTCCAACTTATTTCCATTCATTTCAGGTGAACTCGAACTTCCATTAATTGCATTACTCATGGTGATTGTGTCCCCTTATCAAGTTTCAAGCTTAAGGTGTGTGTGTGTGTGTGTGTGCATGTGTGTGTGTGTGCTCAGTGCACACTGAATTTAAGCCTTCTGATTTGTTTTGGTGGTCTGTAATTCGTTTTTTGCTGTATTTGTCAGGGGGACAAAGGAGGGCATTATTCTTTCCCTGGTGATATCAGCTTATCTTGCTTTCCAGCACTTCTCACGTGCAGGAAGCTTGAAAACAGCATTTGACCAAGGTTCAATCATTGCCACCCTAGGCATATTGTGTATTGTCGTTGTACCTTGCTTGCTCTTGATCTAACTGAATAGAGAGAGAAGCATCATGAAAATGCCATCTTCTGAAAATTATCAGCCGAATAACTATACCCTTTCACTTTCTGGGAAATCTTGGGCCGGAAAATGATTTTACTCTTTGATGCTTATCTGTTTATAATGTGAATTGAAGGTAAATGGTCAGTTTGTTTATACTTGGGCTTGGTAAAAGTTTCACTGTCATCCTGGTGTGATACTTGAGTCTTGCTTGTGTTTGTTTGCTTTCTTTAAACATAATAATTGATGTTTGAAATAACATCTCAAGGGCCAAAGAGAGATTTGCTTGAATGAGACTCACATGGGAAATTGAAAATTCCCAGCCTTGTGTAGTTTAAATAATGATTATGATGCCACTGGCCCCAACTAGTTTTTATGATGATGATGAAGAAATAATTCTGGTTTAAAAATAAGAGCACAAAAGGGAAAATGACACTTTTAGTGTTCCCCAAAGAGGATTTTGTGTTCCCTAATATAATCAGAACCATGATGGATGAACACTAAAATGCCACTTCACCGAAAATTGGGAACTGGGAATGCATTAGTTATCCGATGACTAGGAAATAATGAGTTGAAAATTCTAAATCATCATCATAGTTTATTTCCACATGCTGTAGAATATCATGAGACTGCAATGAGGTAAGATATTTCTATTAATATGTTCATGTTTAGAATAATAAAATATTTATCGTGTGAAATTATAACTATAAAATGCTGACTACATCGAGATATTGTTCTTCACTGTCTATTGGCTTCCTACAGGAGCTAAAGCCCGTACAAAGGTGAAAGATACAACAATTGCCTCTTGGTTGAGGCCATAAGCTTTGAAGCATCACAATTGCTCCCTCTGCCTCTAAAGAGTTTGTAATGTGTGGAGGCACTAAATAAATCGGTGTCTTCTTGCATCTTCAATGAGCAAATCCTCTCTTCATTTATTCCAACTTTATATTTAGATATGAGTTGCGATGAATGAGAGAAAAGAAAACATGACTAGTATTAGGTTTCTTGAGAAGAGGTGCGCCGAGTTAGGGGAATCCGTTGGTGCTCCATAATCTGTTGGTTCTGGAACTGTTGGTTCGCCCGGTGGGTTTTGGGTGCTGCCGACAGGCGTAGGCGGGCTGCATTGGATAAATTCAAATCATTCCATCCATGTGGTAGCCCCCAAATGACAAAAAAACTTTTGTGAGACCATCTCATGCTAAGACAATGGTACCCCTCCGTCCCAAATTATGAGTCTCAATTGTTTTTTGCATGCATATTAACATATTAAGAAGATATCCGAGTAAGTGATGTTGGGTTGATTTTCCCAGTTTACCTTATAAAGAGTGGGTAACTTTGATAAAATGTTGTGCAAGTAGCTCGAAATGTGAAATAAGGGTGAAGTAGTACATTCAAGTTAGTGGAGTTCAATAAGATAAGTAGACATACTTGTGAGACCATTCAAAAAGGAATGTGTGACTTACAAAATGGGAGGGAGGGAGACTCTGGGAGAGTAGATTTTGCCAAGTTTGTAATATTTTTCAATTGACATGCCAAAAACAGGAACTATTTCAATTTTTGCTTAGAGTATAAAAGTATCATTGTCTCACTGCGTGGTGCTCCAATTAAGTATCATCCGTATTTGGCTAAGTCAAGATTTCCTTGTACTAAGTCAAGCATCATCAAGATTCAATGTGATTTTCAAATTTTACCTTAGTGATATGGGGCTTGGAGGTGTGTCAAGGGTTGGAGGCGGCATGAGTGTTGCAGGTGGCTCAAAGGTTGGAGACGGCTGTGCAGGGGTGGTGGGGGAAGCACCTCCCGATGTATAGTGGCAGTTCCCAGTACCTGTAAGAGGAATTTAAGTACAACCACAACAACAACAACAACAACAACAAACCTAGTAAAATCCCACAAAAGTAGGGTCTGGGTGGGTTGGGTGTGTGTACGCAGGCCTTACCCCTACTTGAAAGTAGGGAGGCTGTTTCCAAGAGACCCCTAGCCTGAGCAACACAAAAAGCACACAACCCCACAGTGTAGGAAAAAAATGTTATACCATCCAATAGACAGGGCATGATGAATAGTAAGTATACTATTTTCTTACTTGGATCTGTGCTAACAAGCTGTGCTGTTCCTCCAAAGTCACAGCTGGTAGGAGCTGGGTTCTTCTGGTAGTAGTCGTTGAATGCATAAGAGGCATGGTCTTTAACTGTGTTAGGGTCAAAACAACTTTGTCCTGTCTGAATAGCTGAACAATCTGCACCCCCGAGTCCACAAGCGTAGTCCAAAGCTACCTGTAAAGCAAGATCAGCAGCACCTTGCTTGGCAACACACCATTGTGATGCTCCGGATGGATTTGTTGGTGTCGGGTTTGGGTTTGGGTTCGGCGTCAGGTTTGGGTTCGGCGTCGGGTTTATGGTTGGAGAACCAGGAATGGTGGGTGTTGGGGGAATTGGAGTTATTGGAGAGCCTGGGTCGGGATTGGGAATAGTGGGTGTCGTGGGACCCGGAATCGTTGGAGAGCCCTGACTGGGAGGGGTGATTGGGTTTGTTGGAGGACCTGGTGGAATGGGAGTTATATTTGGGATTGTTGGATTGATGATGGGAACATCATCTAGTTGGGTACCATACATTGCATGTGAAAAGGTATGTTGTCTCTCTTGAAAATCTGTTCTCATGCTTTCTCTGATTGCTTCTAGGGGATGCTTCTCTGCCATGCTTGTGCCTGAAGAAATAAACCAGATATGGATTCTCCTCTTTCTAATAATGTTTCTTCTATTCTATTCTATTATATACCCTCTTCTGGAATTTCATTCATCTTTGAACACTAAAAATATAAAGAACTTGTAGACATGCAAGTCATAGTTTCCTAATTTCTCCCTCTCAGGCACTTGTATTATGACTTATAAGTAGTTTTTAACTTATAAGTCAGCTGATCACATGTTTCTCTGTGCTTATAAGTTGGCTTAAAAGCTGTTTATAAGTCAGAAAAAAAGTAGGTCTTACCTACTTATTTTTAAGTCAGTTTTTCTGTTTTTTTGTTTTGTCTAGATTATTTACAAAGTTATTCCTCACCACTTTACTTCCATGTAGCTTATAAGTTAAGAACTATTAATCAGTAATAAGCCAATAAGGACCAGTATAGAGAAACACCCCTTATATCTGTACAACAAAAACCTAGTATAATCCCAACTTTGTTGGGGTATGTGGGTTCAAGATATATAATCTCGCAAAAAAAAAAAATTCTCTTACAACCCGAAACTTCGTTGGAAGTTGGAACTAAGAAGCAAGGGATGCTCAATGGGCGGTTTTGATTTAGTCCATCGTTTACCCGAAGTTAAGACATTGTCAACGTTGATTCTCACAACCCGTTTTGGCAACAGACGCCTACGTTTACCTGAAAGTAGAAACAGGCAGCAGGAAAGATGCAAAATGGCAGTGCAAAGAAGTCTTGAGCTCATCCTTATAGCTGCAATGGGCTTCTGTTCTTCTTTGGTGTTGTGATGGAATTTGATTGATTTTCTCAAAGAGAAAGAGAGAGAAGAGAGATGTCTGCTGAGTGGGGGAGAAGATATTTTTTTTTGCAGAAGTTTGTATTTATATAAATAGGATAAAGGGTGAAGAATCAAAGCTTTCTTTGATTAGAGTAGAGGTTAGTGTTGTGGAATATAAAAGAAAACTTGAGAAAAGAGGCATTGGATAGCTGGGAACTGCAAGCAAGGGAAGGTGCCTAAATAGGACAGGGAAAAAAATGAGAAAAAAAATTGGAAATTTGCTAGGCATTAATTGAATTTTCAAATCTACAAAAACCAACTTGAGTCTATAAAAGCCATTAGGGTTCTTATACGTTCGGGAACGTTGTTTTTATAGCGTTTTGCATATTTTTTTTGTGGTGCGGGTGAATTTAGAAAATGTTTAAGTTAGTTTTATCGTTAAATTTTTTTTCAAAATGCTAAAGTTTAACATTGAGTCTTTTCCAAAATAGACGCAAAGCCTATTATTTCAAGAGTCTTTAGGAGCGTATAGAATTCTTAAGGAGTTTTGGGTTAGAATATAAAATTTGACGTGAATATATAACCATAAGTGTGAACTATTAATTGAGTTGGTTCTTTGATATTAGCAAGGGTAGGGTTAGGAAATAGTTTAGGTAATGGATGTGAATTACCATTGTATCCCTACACTACAAAAAGTACTATTCAAAATTTAATTAATAAAGAGTCGAGATAAATTTGCATACATTACCTAACTCATTTCCAACCGCCATCTTTGTAATATATATTTATATTTGAGTCAATATGGATTTTCTAATAAGGGTAAATGGAATAATTCTTTTGAAATCTACCATTTTAGGAGTCTTCAAAAGTTTCAATTGAATACAGCCTCCAAATATTTTAATTTGGGTTAGCAAGGATTTTTCTTAAAAGGTAAAATAGTTAAATGGATTTTTTAAAAAATATTACATTAAAAAAAGGTAGTATTCAACTAGCATTTTCATAAGGAATAATAGCAAATGTTACTCTACCTCTTGAGTCTCTTTAATTATTACACCCTTTTTTTGAATTGGAGGAGTGTAAAGTGGGATGGTAATCTTATAGCCTTGCAAAGGCAAACAATTGTCATAAGAAAGCATTCTAAATGGGACAATCTTAAGGAATTAAATATGCAAAATGTCTAAAGAGGAATTAAACAACGTTGTCAATTTAAGAAAGATTTCTAAGTCTAGTATTCTAACATTGCTTTCCTGATGCCATATTTGATGTAATGCACGGAGCCCAGAAGATTTAAATTTTGATATTTCTAATATAAGATTTTCTTTAACCGGACCGGGATCGAAAGAAAATAAGGGTCTTTGAAATGGAGATGTGTTGATGTTTCGTGTTCTTAAAAGATATTAATCTGTAGGGGTGTGTATTTGTCCAAACCCGAACCTAACCAAAACAAATTAAGGGTCTTTTCATGGACCTAGGACCAGACCGATAAGGTAATTGCAGTCCGGCCTGACATGGATCGAATAAAGTCAATTTTTTTATTTTTGAAATTTCATTTTATCTTTTTAATTTAAATGTGAAATTCTACAAATGTAATACTAGTCTTAATTTTTGATGCATAACCCTCCGTTCACTAAAATTCTTCTTTTTTTCGCTTTCACCAGAACACTTTTTTTATTAAAATGACTAATATATCCAAATAAAGTCAATGGAATATACTCCATCTATTTTGCATTGGTATAATAAGTTATTTAAGTAATTTGTATCTCTTTTTTTGTGAACGGAGGGAGTACTAAACATTGACAAACACTATTATCATTATTTTTTACTCGAGTAATACTTTAGATAAAATATATTCTCCATCCGTCTCATAAAAAACTTTAATTTTAACTTTACAAAGTTTAAGTGTCATTAGAGTACATTGAAGAAGATTTTATGTTCAAAGTCAATATAACATTAAACATAAGAAAAACTTCAAAATTAATATCATAAAATTTTTCGGAAAAAATAAAACTTAAAATTTTTTATCAGTCCATCGGTAGGGATTGAAACTCGGTGGATTAGATCTGACCATACCAAAACCGAAATAAAAAAAATTAGAGGATTGAGGATCAATTGGAAAGGGACTGGAGCAGTCTGATACTTTGATAAATACTCCTAGATATGAAACTTTTAGTCATAACAACTAAATGGATGGAATGTGCCTTTAGAGTATAATATTACAAATTTTAAAGACCCCATACTATATTTAGGATGATGTGGGATATGAAAATTTTTACCAAAAAATCTATGGCACCTCACGATATATTTTAGGTAATACAGGACATAAAAGTTATTACCAGAAAACTGAGGGTACTCCAGAATAGTTTTCTGTCAAATACGCTTCTATTTTGTTGTTGATGGAAATAAACAATGCAATGCCTACCGGGGAGATATTATGATCAGTTGATCTTTTCCCGATCAAATGCCCTCCCTTTTTAAGGAATGGGAGAGACTGCCTCAACAAAGAATGTGACCGCTAAAAAATCAGAAACACTAATCATTAAAAACCATCGTACAAGGGTTGTCATGCAAAGGCTGACAATATCTTATTTTACGAGTGATTAAAAATTTGATGTTCAAGATGTTCGAAAAGAATTTGGTGAAGATTTTAAAAGAATGACATTCATTTGCTCAATTAAATTATTCAACAGATTAAAAAAGATTGACGGTTTGTTGAAGTGTTTAGATTACAATTAGCCAATAGACAACGATTGTATGATTGTCTAATGCACAAGTTGAAGATTGTGATTTGCAATCTTTATGCTCCAACTTGAAGGAGGTGCTACGAGAATGACAAATTATTAACATGATTTACAAAATTATTTTACCTTTTTTTACATTTGATTTTCCTCGCCTATTTAAAGAACGGAAAATTTCCTTCAGCTCCTGTAAATTAGAACAAAATTCCCTATGGTTTTATCTAGAGTGTCCATGAAGAATTTCCCTATAAAATTAACGTATGAGATTTTTATTGCTGAAAAGATAGAAATATGTTAATGACATATTTTTACCCAATTTGTTTATATATCGCCATTTAGTTTATTAAAAAGTACACATCCCAACTATCCAAATGAAACCACAAACTCAACACACAGGTTTCTTGGCCTCATTTCAGCTTAGTTTTGTAGCTACCAGACTCGCCTTCAGAGACTCGGATGACTTAATCCTTTGACATGCATACTACCTTGCACTCTCACCCAGAAAAGATTATCAGACCATTTGAAAGAGAATGTTTAGCTTAAGCATCAAGAGAAATATAGTGTAATGGAATACGGCATTGAATCCGAAACACATAAAGGTGTATGTGTAGCCCTCACATGTATCAGTGTATTTATGTCAATGCTAAACTGTTGTGAATGGAGAATGAGATGAACTGTCCGTGCTTTGACGACCCTTACCTGTGTAGAACATAATATCTCCATATGAACAGTTGGCTTTTCAGTTTAGTGAAAAATAACCACCCGTCTCAGGCCAGCTTTTGACCCTATTTTGCAGTGAAAATGATCATTTTTTGTTAAATCAAAGAATTCCATGGGCTATCAAGATGTCAGAGGAAACAGCCAAGAGACGAGTCTATCAAATGGAGTAATACCACCCAGACATTGATTATGGATAGGGATTGGAAGAAGTGGAAGAGCCAAAGAACCAAGAAACCTGTGAGCACACAATGATTGGTCAAGGAGGAGTCATATAAGGGGTTTATTCTATGCCCGCGTGGATTCCTCACTGTTGATCACTTTCAGTGAGTTAGTGAGTGTGTGTGTGCGCATATCGGCGTGTATGTCATCTAACAGTCCCCGACCTCACTCGCGTGAGTAGCAATGTAGCACAGGTGTAAGAGTCTACTTGGATGTGCTTATGGGGATGCTCAAAAGCACTTCTTTTTTTTGAGGGATGTGCTTATGGGGATGCTCAAAAGCACTTCTAGTTACATTTTAAAGTCGCTTCTTAAGTAAAAGAACACTTACAAGTGCTTCTGAAATAAGCATGTGATCCATGCTTCTTCCAAATGTTTTAAAGATAAAAAGAGTATTCCTTTTGAAAATTTTCACCCAAAAACACTTTGTAGTTGTATTGTCAAACATTTTTTTCCTGTAAAACTGTTCTTATCAAAAGCACTTCTAAAAGCTGATAATAACAAAAGCACAACAGAGTGAGACCTATAATGGGGTGGGTTATATGGAGATGGAAAATCCAAGAAAGAAATTGGTAATTTCAAACCATCAAAAACCTTTGCTTTATCCTCAATTTGGTTTGTGACATTCAGACAGGCGTTTGGTGACTTCATTCCAAGCTGCAAGCAGTAGATGTTTATCGCTTATTAAAATATAGAAAGACTTTCTATTTCACATAAAGTAGGGCCAGAACATGTTTACCAGGGAGGTTCCTGAAATCAGGTTCGATACCATTGTCATTTATGTCCATATGATTTGGTGTAACATACTTCCCAATTGTAACAGCAATGCCTGACCCGTCTTGAAGCTCAAATACATGTTGAATCAAGCCCTGCAGAGTAAAGTAAACAATGTCTGAGACTCTGAGAATCATCGGATACTTGTCCCACTACTTTGTAGTTTGTATACTACTCCCTCCCTCCGGATTTAGTTGTCAGTATTTCCTTCTGTGGGGCGCCCAGAATCAATTGTACAGTTAGTACTTAGTATATCTGGAGAATAAAATATTGCTACAGACCATACTGCCATGTAAACGAATGATAATATTAGATCTCATGTCATGTCAATAAATAGGGCATGACTTGTTTTTATTGTCTTACATGGAGCGATGTGTCTACCTAAAAATTTATCCCATAAGAATATTCAGGATCATCAAACGAGGCAGATTAGAAACTTTTACTTGCAAGAGTCATAATTACAAAAACATTTCACTTTTTGAGGTATTTGATAAAGACAGATTAGAAACTTTTACTTGCAAGAGTCATAATTATATAAGCATCCACTTGGGCAGCTTTTTTTTTATCAGTGTTTTTTGACGCAAATGATAAGCCAAACAGGTACTAGAAGCATGCGGTGAAAAGCTTTTTCCAACAGCTTTTTGGTTAAAAAAACCGGATAAGAAAAAACTTGTTTCAAACATATTAGAGACGGCTTTTCTGGTCCACAATTTTTTGAACTTTAAAACATCAAACAATTAGCATAAAGAGCTCAATTATCAAATAGTTATTTCCTAAACAACTATCACAAAAATCCTAGCACAAACAGGCTAACACAAACATCTAATAGTTGTGTGCCAAGCAGGGCCTTGAGGTGGGTAAAGATATTGCTAGTATCTCTTTCCTGAGTCATAATAAATACTCAAAATTGGTGTAAATAAATGAAGATATTGAAATATCCATAAAAAATATCAAGACCTTTCCATAGGTCCGCTCCCCCGCGAGGACAGCTCTGCAGTTATCATGAAGTGCAGTGACAACCTGTGGTGAAAATCAAAATTTAGACACTATTCATTTTGATCAAATCTACCATATGATTATATGAGAAGAGTACAGTCCGAGTAGCAATAGCTCACAATTTCACTCGCGCTTGCTGTATTTTTATTCACCAGAATCTGCATTGGATGTCCGAAGCTGACATTAACGTATAGAGAATCAGACCTACCAAATAAGAAGACAGCTATATATGTAGAGTTTCATGGAAACATTCCTAGACTTGGGTCTCAACTTGCAGGGAAAATAATACAAACAAAACCATTATCAGCTTACGTTTCATCCACTTGCAAGGAAAATAACATGAGACAGCAATGAGTTGGAAACATTGTAGTCATGTCTCGTAACAAAATTGATATTGTAAAATCAATATGCATCAAGGCTATAGCAAGCAGGACATTTGAAAAAAGTCAAACCTTGGCTATAAGCCTATAAATAAAGACCAAACAAGTTTACTCACATATACTACATATAACAAAAACTTACTGACTATTTTAAGAAAAATATTGCTTACAATAACAGGGGTAGTAATTAGAGGTGGAGATTCTGCAACAATACTCTGCGTGTACTGTGGATCCCTTCCAACAGTATAAGTTACCTGTTCAAATTCACCAGGACAAACATGTTATGAAATATTAAGAATACAAGTACACACGCATGCACACCATTCCAATGAAGTTTCAGTATTGGCATCTATAATTCACAAATTGGCTCATACCAACTCCCCTTCATGTAGAAAAAGTTTAGCAATTTCAACACCAGCCTGAAATAAAGACAGTGCAAGTGGATAAAAATATAACTTCCGAAAAACAACAAAATAAACTTAGTCCCTAGCAAAATCATCCATTAAACTGACTAATTGCGTTCCGTTCGCCTGATGTGATCTGATTTTTTGAAGATTTGATCTGGTCTGATCTGATCTGATTGCAAATAATTAAAGTTGTTTCTGATCTAATCTAATCTGCTCTGGTCTGATTTGGTCTGGTCTGATCTAATTATAGTAAGAATAAGTAATACAACAACAACAACAAAGCCTTATCCATAAACAATAAGAATAAGTAATAAATAGAAAAAATAAGTTGAACGAAATGCTGCCTAATTGAGCATGCCATGCAGAGGGAAAATAGGATAGCTCCATCATGAAACATGATGCGCATGAAACGAAGAGATTATATTGGCAATTCACATTCTCAATCTACACACAGACGGACAAGATACACACACACACACATCTACACACATATTTCAACTTAGCCCATTATCCCTATGGCTACACATTACATAGCACTGAAGTTGGAGTACTTATATTTATCATACACAATTTGTTACATATACAATCCATCTCTATTAAACTTTTCCACAGATAAATCCGCCAAGTGATCTTCAATGCATACAAGAAAATGTCGAGATCAAACAACACTGAAATTTTTCTCGATCTAAAAAATCTCAATTAAAATGACAACCTTCTTCAATATGCTCAGTGCATCCATGAAACACTGGATTGTTTGCAATATCATTGATTTTCACATCATTATCTCAACAGTTCATGTACTTCAACACCGATGTCTTTGAGAAATGTGTACCCATACTATTAGATATATGTATACAGTATACACATTTAGAAACATATTTGGGCATGTTCCACTACTCATATGAATAGGCACTGCGTGATAGAACTTGTAACAACTAACAAGTTGAAGCCATTTTCTGCAACCTACTCTTGATGAAGAAAGAGAAAGGGACTAAAAAAAATTGTCGAAGCATAATGTTTAGCGTGAGTGTTTGTGTGGATGGGACAAGGGATGGAGGGACAGAAAGAGTGTGTGTGACTGTGTCGGTGTGGGTGTGTGAATGAGAAAGAGAGCACATGTTCATCAAATTGTAATCAAGTATATGCGCTCACCAATCTCTTATGAGTTCTTGGGGACAATTCATACATCAATGGAGGAAGAGGTCAATCAGGACAGAGTTTCACAGAACAAAAGTGGAAGAAGGCCAATGTATGCAACAGTGCAACACTAGCATGAAATTAGTTAAGGCAGAGTCAAATTGCATACCATTACGTGTAAGCTATGACGTAAGTTGCAACTTTGTCCTTTGGTTTCTTTTTCACTTAACTCCATGTATTAGAGAAAATGATGACTTTGTAGTGCATACAGAATGCCTCATTTACTCCTCTAACCCATTTTTACTACAGGTGCATCATTTTTCCCTTCTGCTTGATTTTCAATTACTACGGTAACTACACTTTGTTCCTCCTTAAATGGGGCACTAAATGTCTAGAATGGCAACATGCAATAATATAGGAAGCCTACAATGCCAGTTAAAATGAATATTCGGTATACCAAACTCAACAGGTACTGAAATTTACCGCTAGTCACACCAATTGGCAAACAAACCTGTACAGATCCGCCAAGATTATCTCTAAGATCAAGAACAAAAGATGAGGCACCCATGTCATGGAGTCGCTTCATTGCTGAATCATTTTTTGCAATCATCAAACAAATAGAAAATGAGAATATGAGAACGTAATATAACAATTAATCAAGTTAACAGCTAACATAAGGCGCTCAAGGTTAACTACTCACAATACTTGTTCTGCCAGCCTCTCTCCATTGTTCTTATTGAAGACATGATTGTGTGTTAGTACTGTAATTATATATCCTTGACTCATAAATCATAATTGTGCCGACCAGATAATATTAGTTGACTAATAGTGCATTGCAACTTATGCAAGTGTGAGATCAATGATACAGTCATATTTTATAAAGAAGCTATAAAATGTATCCCGTAATTTATGAGAATAAAAACTATAGAAGTTGATTATCACTCCATCACAAAAAAAAATATCTAGATCACTCATAATTTGCTAAATTAGAAAAATTAGAGGGACTAAAATCAAAATTTTCTAATTTTACATGGAGCAAAAAAACATACTCCTTCCATCCCTAAATAATTTACTCTTTACGCAAAACGAAGTAAAATCCCAAACCTTTTTAATTCATTTTATTTAAATATTGGTATATAAATAAAAAGTAAAATTTATATACTTAAAAAGTATATCAAAAGTTTTACAAAACAAGATGTGACAAGAATATTTTATTTCATCAAATGATCAATGGAAACACACAAATAAACAAAAGTTCCCGTGATTTTTGAATAGTAAAGTGTGTAAATCATTTAGGGACAGAGGGAGTATGTAGTAATTTTGGTCTCCGATGAAAGCATAAACGAGCGGTGGAAGAGCTACTTCAATGATCTGTTCAATGAGGAGCATGAGAACTAGTCGGCTACACACTAGAAAGGAGGACAAAAACTTCAATTATTATCCAAAAAATCGAGATATTGAAGTTAAGGAGGTCCCAAAACGAATGAAGAATAGCAGTACAGTGGGCCCAAACAACATCCCGGTTGACATTTGGAAAGGTTTAGGAGGAAAAGGCATTTGGTGGCTAACTAAGCTTTTTAATGAGATTCTAATATCTAAGAAGATGCCTAACGAATGGAGGAAGAGCATTTTAACCCCTATATACAAGAATAAGGGGAATATTCAGAGTTGTGGAAACTACAGAGAGATCAAGCTCATACGATGAAGTTGTGGGAAGGAATGGTTGAAGGGTATTTGAGAGAAGACACTCCGGTGTCAGAAAACCAATTTGGTTTTATGCTAGGAAGATCAACTACGAAGGCTATATACTTCGTGAGCAGAAAGATGGAGATGTGCCGAAGTAAGAAGAAAGATTTACACACGGCTTTTATTCATGCAATTAAGAACATTTGATGGTGCTAAAACGAGTGTGAGAAGTCAAAGTGGGGTAACAAAGGAATTTCTCATCAGTGTAGGATTACACCAAGGGTCATCGTTAAGGCCAAACCTTTTTACACTAGTATTGGACGTTCTTACCAAGCATATCCAAGAACTTGTACCATGGTGCATGCTTTTTGCGGATGACATCACCCTTATGGGTGAATCACAAGAGGATTTGAATGGAAGTTGAATTTGTGGAGACAGGCGGCTTGCGTATGAATCGCTTCAAAAATAGAGTATATGGAGTGCAAGTTTGGCAACAAAAGAAAAAATAGTAACATCAAGGTGAAAGTCGGAAAAAATGCTATACTGCAAGTAATGAAATTTAAATATCTCAGGCGTATCATTCAAGACAATGGAGAAATTAAGGATGATGTTAGCCACAGGATTCAAGCCGGTTGGTCAAGATGGCGGATTACGTCGGGCTTTACATATGGCAAAAAAGTACCTTTAAAACTAAAGGGAAATTTTTACCATATTGTGACTAGACCAACTATATTGTATAAAACAAAAGCAAATGAAGAACATGAACACAAGATTAGTTTGGCAAAAATGAAGATTTTTCGATGGATGAGCGATCATACGCGTATGGATAGAATAAGGAATGAACATATGAGAGCTAAAGTTAGAGTGACACCTATTGTAGAAAAGATGGTGGAAACTCGTCTAAGGTGGTTTGGACATGTGGAGAGAAGAATAATAGAGCATTTAGTGAAAGGGGTTAATCAAATGGTGAATTGACATGTGGCTAGAGGAAGAGGTAGACCTAAGAAAACGTGGCAAGCAGTAATCAAAGGGGACCTTCGCGTGAATGATCTCTACATGATAGGGCGCAATGGCGTCGTTTGATCATGTAGCCAACCCCACCTAGTGTGGTGTTATTGATTATTTCTAATTTACGTGCAATAATGCTTAAAATATGAAGTCAAAAATAAGAACATAAAGAACTTATCAACTAACGAGTCTGGTTAAAATTAAGGCAAAAAGAACGGACCCTAAGTAGAGAATGCAATTCTTTTCGTCCTCATATAAAAATATGAGGATAGAATATGATGTTGTAGAAGTGTTAAACACGCCAAAACAATTGCAACGAAGTATAAATCTAACACTCCGTACTACCTAATTGACTCTGACTAATCATATACAAAGGTTGGAGAGTCATTACATTATAAGTAATTATACCTGTTACTAAATCCTTTCTGGCCAATGCATTGAATTCTTTAAGGCGCACGTAGCCAACAAAACTCGAACTATTTCCAATCTGCTCCATCCGATAATAAACTGGAGTCCTTGCAATAGACTGTCTTTCAATATCAATTGATTGCACCGGTCCACATCTACCATGTTTGACCTAAAATCATATTACGGACCATTAAGATGGGAAAGATTATCATTAGAGCAACTACCACATTGGTTCAGACAAATGATCTAGAAAGACACATAAAATTAAAAATAATACCATGATGTTCACCAATGTTCCACTTGAACCATGAATTAGCGATGATGCTTCAAAAGCAGATTTTCCCGTAACATCTATACCATTAACTGACAGTAATTCATCCCCCTAACAAACATATAAAATAAGGTGCATGTTTTTACTGCTCACAAGATTAAAACCATATATTAAGGGAAGTAATAATTTCAAAGAATCGGAATAAAGGGAACCTAGTTGTTGTGGAAAATAAAGACAATTCTTCTATACCTTTTTTTAAAATGTTCATATATACCTTTTAGTGTGCCATTTTTTGACATGGCACTTGTTTCTTCTTTTCTATACAAATTCAAAATGACAAAGTGCCTCAACTTTTTCCCTCCATTGCTAGAGTAGTATACAGACATTGGGATAGAATTGTAAAAAAGCATTTGAACTATTCCACACACAACCCCCACAAAAATACATGTGCATGCATCCGTACAGTTCTATGTGTAAGAGTACATGTATGTATGCATCTCAACATGGTTAAGATAAGCCACATACCTGCCTTACACCAGCACTATGGGCAGGTCCATGCAAGAGGAGCCCTATGACTTTAAGTTTCAGACCTTGATTGTCATCTAGAACCTCCCTGAGATTTATTCCAATCCCAGTCATATCATATCTTGCCAACTTGGCAAACTATTAGAGGTGATGAAAGCAAGCAATGCCATGCAATAAAAACAATGAAATATTTGTTACCAGAAACAATGTCTATAATAGTAATAAAAAATTGTTGAAAGACTTTCTAGATTATTAATGATAATCAAATGATGAAGATGCTAGCAGTTGAGATAGAACCATTCAAAACCATACTAAAAATTATAAAGACAATTTAATAAAAAAATGGTGCAAACGTACAAGAATATAACAGAAAAAAGTGTCTCTTAAAGTGATTTGTTGCTTTAATGTTCTACTAGATTAGTGTTTTTATTTGCAAGTAAAATATTATGTCTTCATATCGAATGAATAAGAAATTGAATTTTTGTGTCCGCAACCCCAAGATAGCCGCATTGAAAAATAAAATAACAAATATAGTACGAACTACAGAGTAAGGTCTATGTACACCTCTCTTGGAATCAGCCTCTCTACTTTTGAGTACGGGCAAGATCAGCGTACACACACCCTGGTGGGATCCAATTGGGTTGTTGTTCTACGAAGTAATTGGCAACCAGCCTATTCATTACTTTTAAGTATCCCATAGACCCATATTAGTTATTTATTGGGTTCTGGTATAGTATATAAATGTGAAGTAAACATCATCTCTTGAGGATCTAAGTGAGTTCGGCCCAATTTAACTGTCAAACACACCCTAGTTTGTTTGGATATGAGTGGTACGACATACAAATATTTTGTAAAAATAGGGTATGGATACAACTATGTGTAGCATAAATTTTCATAGAATAAAACCTAAAATTCCATGCTGATAAATTTGAGAACACACTAGCTTCAGCATAAAATAAGACAAAATTCTTGCATGAACAACAACAACAACCCAGTTGAATCCCACAAGAGTAGGGTTTGGGGAGGGTGTGTGCACGCAGACCTTACCCCTACTCGAAAGTAGAGAGGTTGTTTCCAAAGAGACCCCCGGCTCAACGTTGAAAGTTGCATTGCTTGACTAACTGCTACTTCATTAATTAAAGAAGCGCAGACAGTTTAGAAATCCATTTTGATTTATTCCATCACACTCCAAAGCCAAAAAATGGTGAAATTTTGGCTCCATCGGAGATGAATAATAACTAAATAAAAATTCAAATTGAACCAAAAACCAAAATTGGCCCATCAATTAGGCTAAAGGCTATAAAGGAAATTGTATGTTCACTCTCAAGAACTCGAGTTGTGCTTTAATGTGAGGTGTGCGCAATATAATGAAAGAAAAATGGTTAGGATTCTGAAATAGAAAAACAGTCAAATGCCATTTGATTCTTTGTTTCCTTTGTGTGCATCGGGACTGTAAATTTATGTGCTTTCCTGCATACATTGAGTCAAAGTAAATGAGCCTTAAACCTCTGCAGGAGAAAGAAAACGTGTGTAGGGGTCACCCAAGCTGGTCAACATCCGCCTTATAATGTCATGAGCTCTTGATCTTGACTGAATTGGTGTACTCAAGATGTCATCTTTCTTAGTCTGGTGCAGAGATTAGAAAAGAAAATTATTTATGCAATGCAATTTTAAGCAATGTTAAGACCTTATATCATTCAATAGTGAATGCATGACAGCTGTGGGGAGGGAGTGGATTATGAAGCACAGTTTTTGCAACAGAAACTCATGAACCATAATAATCAAAGCATTTTATCCACATATGAAAATATTTAGCACTACAGTAAATGCAAAGTTTCATTTCATCCAAATTACAAGTTTTTTGAACTCGTGTGCTAGTTATCTGGTGCTCTCGATCAAAATGAACCCCTTGAACAGTAAATCATGAGTCTCTTTGTTAACTCCTTTTAACACCAATACATAGAAAACTTTCTTCTTCTCTTTTTGTATTCCAATTTACTACTCCCTCCGTTTCTTAAAAGCATTCCTCTTTTTTTTGTTTTCCTTAAAATATTTTCACTTTCTATTAAAAAGCCACTTTTATCCCTACATTTCCCGCCGCATACCTATCACATCAAACTTTTTCACTAATAATCTATTCATCACCTCTTAGTTTTACTCATCACATCAAGGCCAAAATTGGAAAGTCAGCTCCAAATAATCCTTCCTTGTTTTCGTCCAAAGTCAAAATTGGAATTGATTATTGAAACGGAGGGAGTATATATTATTACTCTGTTCCCAATTTAGGTTCTAGTTTGCTTCAAAAAGTTATTTTTTTCAAGGGGAAAACAGAGGAATATAGTATGAAAAACACGTTCTTCACAAGAAGAAAACTGAGAACTTGAATTAGGGACAGGAGTTTTAACCATTCCTAGTATGAAATATGAAAAACAAAATCTTTATGATTTACCATTATACATAATAAATAAGAAGAAGACAATTGCACAGTAAAGAGCCTCACAAGCCATGATTCGGGAGACCAAGAGCCACGGCCAGTGCTGAAAAACTTATCATTGACAATCTGCCACGCCTCCGCCACAATTCCATCATCCGTTACCGGTTCAGATTCCACCGCATCCGTGTTCAGCTCCAACTCGTCTCGGCGGCAATCTAGCTGGTCCTTGTCATTCCTCGGTATCAGAGAAACGGCGGGCGATTGATTTAAGGGAAATTCGGAGGCGACCGATGGCGGATCAATGAAAAGCCCCAGCGAGAGCGCGACGGAGACTCCGGTAGTGACGAATGCTTTGTGATGAAAGGCCGCGGTTAGCCGGGCCGGCGGCGGGGAAGAATATGACTGAGGGAAGAAGCGGGTGTGGCATAGCGTTAATTTCATCTCGCAGCGTCTTCCTCTGTAATGGTGTAACGGATAGGTTCATAGAATGGGTCTCTTTGGTCACATTTCAAAGTCATCAATCATCCAATTCAACCTTGAAAATGATGCTAATGAATAGAATGGGTCTCTTTGGTCACATTTCGTCCACCTAAGATCTTTCCATTACGCGTCACGAGGTTTGACCGACTTTATTTTCAATTTAATTTAATTGATTATAAGAGTAAAATTTTATTCGCAAACTATATGAAAAGTTCTACAAAACTAGAGGTGACAAGATTATATTCTTTTACAAAATGACTAGTAAAAATGAGCAAACAAAGTGAGTAAAATTTGACACTGTAAATAGTGTCTGGGAAGATCTATGGTGAATAGAAGGAGTAATTTGTAATACTTCATCTATTGCATAAAGATATGGACATATTGACCAGAGTGGTAAAAAATATAGTTGAATAATTAAAGAAGTGAAGTCGGTTCCCTCCCATTGTTTGGTTTCAAAAAAGTGAAGGGGAGAGAGTCTTGAATTTTAGCTTCAAAGTCCTCCCATTTCTTCCCAATCATTCTCTTTGTTATTTATTCTTTTCTTTTGTCAATTTTCTCTCCTTCATGACATTAAAAATTAAATTTAAATTAAGAATAATAAATAAAATAAAACTAAAATAAATAATAAAAATTATATATTATAAAATAAAAATAAAAGAAAATAGAAAATAAAAAATATACTACATAATAATAAATAAAAAATATTAAATTAATAATTATAATAAATTTAAAAAAATATAAATAAAAGAATTAATAAATAACAAAAAAATAAATATTTAGAATAAATAACTAAATAAATAATAGTAATTATTATTATTGTAATAATAATAGTTATAGTTACAGTAATGGTAATTGTAATAATGATAATGATAATGATAATAAAAAAATAAAAATAAAAATTATAAGTATAAAAAATTAAAATTAAAATCAATGTTTTCTTTCATTCTTCCAACTAAACAGGGTGAATGGAAATCTTTCATACCCTTCCCATTCTTTCTCATCATTTCCTTCTCATCTCCTCCATCCCAATCAAAAATGCCCTTGGTGTTAATTAACCTATGGTCCCATTTTTTGTTTTTACAAAAGCTATGATGTCGTACACACTAGTCAAAAACTCTATGGTTTAACGACAACAATATCATTCTCCTAATTGGGAGGTTACAGGTTCGTAGCCGAGTGGTGTAGTAATTTTATGTGCTTCAATAGATTAAAATGTATGAACATATCGTCTAGCAGACTTATAGCCAAAACAAATGATCGAAAATAGTTTATTATTTTCATTTGAAAGCTTATACTTATTCTTTTTTAGCAACACAATTCCATTTCTACCCCTTTACTTGATACCGGAGTATCACATTAAACCAATACCTCTTATTGCCAAATTTAAACTACCTCCCTTTTCATTACCACTTTTAAATTCGCATTAAACCAATACCTCTTATTACAACGTAGTATCTGTTCATGCATTAAATGTTTTTTGAAAAGCAACAAAATACGTAATGATGTACTTTTAACCTTCTTAAATTTCATAATTTTTCTTTGCTAACTTTTGAATGAGATAAAGGGATATCAATAAAAATATAAAAGCTAAACATTAAACTTAAATACTCATATTTTTCAACAAATCCATGAGATTTAATAGCTTATTTGGTGAGATTTGGAGATATGATATGGTATAGATTTTAATATTTGAGAGAAAAGATATGAATTTTAAAATATGAAATGAAATTGTTTAGAGAATTTTACAACAATAGTTTAATTAATGATAGATGGGGGTGACCAGTTGCCTTGTCAATGGGTCGGGCTCGGGGCGGTCAATAGTGTTCTATACTCGTACCTTTTTTAAAAAAATTAATCCTGACCCGTACCCGTTTACCTGATGGTCTTGAAGTTTAATCCTAGATTTAGATCTATCGGGTCTCGATATCGGGTCGAGTATACCCGTGATAAAAGTTGATGTCTTTTATTTTTCTATAATTGAAAAAAAATTAGTGAAAAATAATATGAATGAAAACATTTTAATTGTATACAAATAAAAATAAAACTAATACGTTATTGCGAAAAAATCAACCTTCTTTACCAAGAATCTACAACAAAATCTTAGATTCGCATTCAACCTTCTTGTCACATTCATTCATGTTGCAAGAACGTTCTTTGTAACATTACAACTAATTCCAAACTATTTTTTATACTATTGCATAAATCAACATGTACATGCCTCTAATGTGGTAAAATAAATACAAATAGATTTGGAAGCCACGCAACCAGCGAACAAAGGGAGCAGCGAATAAGAGGGATGGGGTTTTGTATTTTTTAATATTATCTATTTATTTAAACGATATAGGCTTTAAACAGGTCGGGACCACTCATCCTATACCTGACCCTTAATTTTTTTTAAAATAACGGGTACGAGTAAACTGAATTTTTTATACTCCTAAACATGCTAAAAAATTACGGGTATTATTTGGGTTCGGGTCAATACCTGACCCGGTGACAGGCCTAGTGACCAACAATGAGGGTGATTGGCGGTGATAGTGGCAAGCGGTGACGAGGGGTGATCGATGGTTGAGAGAGATACCAAACCCTATATTGATAGTACATATACTATACATTCAGATATATGATGTTGAGTGATTGAATACTTATTTCGACTAACTGAATATTCGTGTTCGAATAACTAAATGCTCATTTTCAAAATTTGTATTAAGTTACTCGAAAATAAATATTCAGTTGCTCGAAAATTAGTATTCAGTTACTCGTAAATGAGAGTATTTGCCGCATATGTACGAGAAACAGAGTTGACCTTATAACATAGTATATGATATATATTGTGGCATATTGGTACATCTTATATTTGAGAAACGTCAAAATCTTACTATCGAAAGATTTGTGATATTTAGAAAAAACACACTCAAGTTCTTCTTATGCCCTCACCAAATAATAAAAAAAGTGATTTTGGAAAAATCATATTAGAAATCATCCTAAATAAGACCTAAACATAGAAAAAAGTTCAAAATAGAAGTTTTATGTTTTTATTCTCGAAGTAAGAGTTCACATTGTGGTAATGTAGAACTATACGTGTGCACATTGGTAATATACATGATCATGTTTGACAATGTAAATACATTTTAATTCCTATTTCAAAAATTAAAATATGAAAATCCTATTTTATTATATTTTTAATGTTTAATCCGAGAGTATTTCACTATTTCATATGCTAATCAAACGGTATAGGAAATGTGAACAGTAATAAATTCTCACCGAGGGTTTATGAAAGAGAAGTTACTTCTGTGTATCTTTTTTCAGAGAGACTAATCTGCACCAGATCGGAGGGAATATATACTCATCATTCGTATATTATCTCTTCTTAGATAGACAGAGAGGGAGAAAGAAAGATTACGATAGTGAGAAGAAGATGAGCGGCAAAGGGAAACTTAACAATGGCGGCGGCGCCGGACTTGGCGCGATTCCCGCCGGGTCTCGGAAGATGGTGGATAGCTTGAAGGAGATAGTGAGCAACTATTCCGATTCTGAGATCTACGCTGTTCTCAAGGAGTGTAATATGGACCCTAATGAAGCCGTCAATAGGCTCCTCTCTCAAGGTCAATTTATCTGTGACAAACCCTAAAAAAACTACATTTAGCCTTGGTTCTTTCACGGCGCCTGATGCAAATATATCTGGGATTTTGGAGTTTTTACTCTCTGTGTGATCTTATTAGTTCCCTCTTTCTCGTGACATAATTCAAGATTGAAAAAGTACTACTGTGTGTTGTTTGAGTTCAGTTGTACAAAGTTCCCATCTTTATTACTCGGGGAACATCTTGTTTTGCTTTCTTTTTTATCAAGATTTTATTTCTTTTTTTATTTCTAAATATCTTTTGCTACCCAGTTCAAGATTGCATACATTAACAATCACTTAAGCTTGATTTTGTTGAAGTTATATCTTTTGGGTGGGCAGGATTACTTTGATAAGGGAACTCTGAATGAAGAAACTAGGCCAAATCTTCTCCCATTGGTGATTGGGATAAGGACCCACTTTTTTTTAAAAAAATATATCTTTAATTATTATTATTTGTTACGCTAAAATTTATGGACATTGTATTGTACTTTAAGTTCCAATTCAATTTCATGCATCTTTTGTTGCGCCTGTTTTGTTGAATTCACCTGGGCTAACGAATTGTGGATGCTAAATCAACTTGACAATAACCTGATTAACTTATACGTAGTAATCTAAAGACTTGTTTTTTGCACACCAGCATTATGCACCTAAAACCCTATATGTGCGTACATAGTTAAAGATTTAATGTATTTGTTTATTTCCCACATCCTGGCTTCTTACTGAAAAGAATTTCCCACTCCATTACTTGATGGTTATTTTTGGTCTTTTGTGTTGAGATGAAAAGTAAGGCATTCTATTTCTTTAGTCACCAATAGAAGTTGCCACATTAGCATAGTCACTTTCCAACACAGCAGTGTTATTCTTTTGCTCTAATCCTGTTTCTCCACTTCTTAAGGTCAAGTTGTAGTACTTTGTGTTTACAGTTTTGTAACTAAAGCAGGCTTATGAGCTTATGAACTTAATTTTTCTCGTGGGTTATTGAACTTTTTCCTAATTTGAAATTTATTGATGGTCTAGATCCTTTTCATGAGGTGAAAAGCAAACGTGAGAAAAGAAAAGAGGTGCGTGATTTTATCGAAGAGCATTCCATGTTACTGATGCTCTACTTTCTTTTTTCTTCACATTTTTAAATTCCTTTTAAGCTAAAATTTTTGTGTGAATGCCTTCATTCATTCTCTTTGTCACTATTGATGTTCTTTGCATTCATTTGTTGAGATTTTTAGGATTACTGATGGAGGATTCATATATGTTTCTCATCTTTTTTTGGCATTATATCCTCCCATTTTGTCTCACTGTGTGTTTCAGAATAAGGGCTCTACTGAATTTAGGGTACATGGTGGTAGCAGTCTAAGCCGTGGAGGCAGGGGAGGCACAGACCGATTTGTTGGGCGTGGTGGCTCAGGTATTTTCTACTGAAAAATTATCTTAACGTGTATGGACTATTGTTCTAGTTGAAATAGTGCATAAAATCATGATTCATAGAAGAAATGCTGCTAATGTTTCCACATCTTGTTCCAGACTCTACGATGCATGGAAATTATACTTCTTCTAAGAAGGAAAATGGGCCTAGTACAACTATGGCTACTGGATATTCTGGAAGCAACAACAATTGGCAGCCTCCAACCACGAGGTTAGTTTTGTGGAAATGTTAAATTAATGCAGTCAACTGAAGTTTTATGGTGGTTAGACAATGTCATGTTTTATGAAATCTCTTGCAAAGTTTCAGTTTTTTTATTTTTTACCTGCACACTATGAACACATTCTTCAACCTAATACTTCGTATTTGATAATTGATAGCTTATTCCCATCAATAAACTTGACCTCACATTATTATCTTTCCTCTAATATTGGATCGGTGTAAGTGTTTGGACATAATTTTTGTTAGGTGCACAATGAACCACTGATTTACGTGAAATTTATTGCCTAGTCAGGCCTCTAGAGTATAACTGGGCTCTGTTAGAGCTTTACACTTTTTCTGGTTACCCCTCTTTTGTTGTCCTGTAAATCTTAATGAAAATCTATTATTCTTAAATTGAAATATTTGAAGACTTGCAGTTAACTCTCCACTTTACTTATTTTATCCCCTTCCCTGAGAGTATATTCTTCCAGGTGGATGCTCGTGTGAGTATATGGTTATATGTTTGTCAATCTGCCTATAGTTGATTTGTTCTATTTTGCATCTTGAACAGTTCCACATTGATCGTTACCTGGTTGCCCATGGTATTTTTATTTTTTGGTTTCGTAATCCTGTATGCTAATTGTTTCAGTTATTTCATTGGCAATGAAAATAAAAAGTCATTGGCTGTTGCAACTGATCACATTTCATCGGCTCCACATCCCTCTGCTGGACATCAAACTGCTTGGGGGGTGGGCACCCCAGGTCAAGTTTCAATGGCTGATATAGTCAAAATGGGAAGGCCTCACAACAAAGATGCCAATACCAATCACAATTATGGTCATGGACCTTCCTACCATGAGACACATCAGTTTTCTAACTATCATGATTCTAAAGATTCTGAAATACACCTGGATTCAGAAGTTTGCTCTACTCAACATGATTCTAATAATGATGAATGGCCTTTAATTGAGCAGCCATCAGCTTCTATTTTCCCTCCTAACCCGGAGCCTGCTTTAGAGCATCAACCATATCCAGACTCTTTTAACCTTGCCTATGATAGAACTGACCAGCATGTTCAGGAGGAGGGTGAGGTTCAGGAAATAGAAGATCATGGCTTAAATATTGGTCTGAGACGAGTGCCATCTGGGCCTAATCCAAACAAAATGTTAGAGGACGATTCGGGTGTTCAGTCCCTATATGACAATGGCATTGACACTTATGGACACAACGATCATAGTCGTTCTTTTGCTGATCATGATGGTGTGAGACATGTGCCGTCTCGTCCTAATCCAAACAAAATATTAGAATGCAATTCTGGCGTTCAGTCTCTATATGACAATGACATTGACACTTACGGACACAAAGATCATAATCGTTCTTTTGCTGAGCATGAATGTGAGTAGTTTACAGCTTACCATATGTGCATTTAGAATGCTGCTTCTGTTATTTTACCCGAGTTAGTGTATTCATAGAGGGATCAAATTTATTAACGAATCAACATAAGACACATTATCTGAATTCAGCCCTTTTTGTTTAAGACATAAATTTTGAAGATCTTTCTTAGCATGCCGTTCAGTCAGATTGGGAAGGAATTCCTTTTTTAAGCTGGCTTTGAATAAAAAGGTATTCTGTATATTACATCCTAAAATTTTCTTCTTGTTTAAATTTTGTGGTCGGGTTTTATTTAAAATATGAGAGAAATAATAGTATCCACACAAATCCTTAAAAGGAAAAAGGAAGAAAACTTTGTTACAACCTAAAAATGAAAACAAGAAAATTTCAGGTAGGAGGGACCAGTATAATTATCTACTCCGAGATATGCAGGGATACAATTTTATGTTCCTGTGCACGTGCTTGTTGTTTGCATCTTCATTTACAACTTTGCTAGTTTGTGGGGTATAAACCTTATGCTTTGTCTATTTATTTTGTTACAGTTGATGTGAACACTTCAGTTTCTTTAGCTGCTGAACACATGCAACACTTGACTATACACAAGGATCAAACTCAGCCTCCCGAAGATGAGGAAGGGCCTTCTGTTGTTATTCCAGATCACCTACAAGTTCAAAGTGTAGATTGTTCCCGTCTGAGCTTTGGCAGCTTTGGGTCAATCAATGCTACTCTTTCTGGTCATTCAGCCTCTTCTGCTAAAAATCATGTGGAAGAGGTGCCTGTAGATGCAGAGCAACAACCAATGGGCCACTTGCCAAAAAGGTATACCCTTATTTTGAATATCGGGTTTCATTTGATGGTGTCCTATGGGTCTTCACTCTTCTTTACTCGTATATTGTGAAAAAAGAAATGTACATTATAACTCTTTAATTTTGTGGCAGAAACTCTGAACACTTTGGTGGTGAAACAAATGCACCGGATGGTGATTTATTCCGCATGACTAGGAACTATGAGTCACCTGCTGATTTACAATCTGATGCATTGAGTGTTGATCACAGTGAAGTCCCTCGTGCAAATCAATACAACTATCCCTCTTCGGAATCTGACTATAAATATGAGAATGCTCAACAGTTGAATGGGGACTTTAGTCAACCACAGACAAGCTCACAACAGGTTCCGAACCTTGCACCTTTCAATACAATGGTAAGCTTGTGTGATACCTTTAAAAAAACTGCAATGACTTGTAGTCTTTCAGTATCTAGTGCCTGATATATATAGTGGGTGTTTCTGTGTGTGCTGGTGCTTATTGGCTTATTGTTGATAAGGAGTTTTTTACTTATAAGCAACTTATAAGTCAAATATTCTTTCATGGAAGTAAAATGACTTAAATGATAGATAAGTCACTTGGAAGTATTCATAAATGGTGAGGAACAATTTGTAAAGAATTTGGTCAAAACAGAGAAATGAAAAAACTGGGTTAAAAATAAGTAGCTAAGACTACTTATTTTTTCTAGCTTACAAGCAGCTTATAAGTCAGCTTATAAGCACACAAAAACATGTCATATGCTGACTTATAAGTTAATTAATGCTTATAAGCAGTTTTGACCAACTTATAAGCACAGAGAAACACCCACATAAAAATAGGATCAAAATGTGTTACAGAAAGATGCTCAACTTTGATTTTTCTTAACATCTTGATACACATTCACACAAACAAATTCTTCAATTTTTTTTTCTTTCTTATAGGCAGCCATCTGGCAGATGAAAATTTTTCCAACAAAATTTTCTTTCAATTGCTTGTATTACTATACAAACAGTAGACATCAGTACCTTTGTACTTTGATTCACTTGTCTACTTGGAAATTTTGTTGTAATCAGGGATACTCAAGTTCTTTACCAAGCAACTTGTTGGCAGCTAATGTCCATGCTCCTCGGGAGTCTGATATTTCATACTCAATATTTCCTACGCATGCAATGCCCCCAAAGTATGGCAACACAGTTTCTTCCACTGGTAGTTCGTCATTTTCTATTCCAGAGGTGGACATTCATGAAGTTGGCCTTCCATTAGATATTTATATAAATTTTCTCCCCCTTTTTTACTTTGTTACTAACAGTTGCCTTCCATTAGCTGCAGGCTTTGCAAATGGTTGGCTCATCAATTTCCATGCCAGAGGTGCTCCTTCTTGAAACTTAATCCTTGGTTGTAGGGCTATAGGTTAAAGTTCAATGGATTTCTTTTGGATATTTGTTGATACTTATTCCATATTTGTCTACTCTGTGCTATATGAGGACTAAGGAGTCTAAATATATGTAAATTTAATTTGAATTATTAACAATCATATGTTTCATTTTCTTTGTAATTTCTAAGTTAAAACCTAAAGAAAGTGAAAAAACACAAGAAAGTAATTTTCCTCTTCTGCACCCACCTAATTTGACTTGGAGTAGGCCTCGATGTGCCGCCTAACCTAGTCTTTTTTATTTGAAGTTGATTTTGTCATCAATATGCTGCAGGGTTTGAAAAATGTTGGTATGTCGTCAACACAGCCGCCTAGTCAGCAGGACCTAAGTCTTAACGGGACCGGACTTGCAACAGGACCTGCTCTACATCAACACCTTAATTTACATCCATATTCACAACATGCACTTTCAGCAGTGAGTCCCTTTGGGAACATGATTGGCTATCCTTTTCTGCCACAGAGTTATGCATACATGCCCTCTGCTTTCCAACAAGCATTTGCAGGTAACAGTGCTTACCATCAATCACTGGCTGCAATGCACCCTCAGTATAAGAATAGTGTATCAGTCAGCAGCTTGTCCCCTCAGTCTGCAGCTGGTGTTCCCTCTGGCTATGGGTTTGGGAATACCGCTGCAGTTTCTGCAAACTTTCAAATGAATAACCCCACAGCTCCATCCGTGTCATCCTTAAGTTATGATGATTCACCAATTCCTCACTATAAGGACACCACTAATCTATTGTCTCTTCAGCAGGTAAATATTGTTATGGTTGTGCTTACTGTTTTACGTTTTTATTTTCGTTTTCGAATTTCCTAAGGTAGTGTTTGGCAACTAGCATTTCATTTCAATTCATGCATTTCAATTCCAAAATTTGAAATCTTGAATTTCAAATGACAAGGGGAGGTGCATGGATTTCAAAATAAGCTTTGTTATGAATGAGAAGAATTTGACTCAAATCCAAATTCAAAATTTTTAAGTTTCCCAAACATCAAATTTGAGGCAAATCCGGATTTGAAATCCAAATCCATGTTCCCAAACATACCATAAATGAAATTGTGTTTTGTCTATCTTGTTTATATTGCTCTACCCCATCCCAAAAAAGAGGTGTTTCACCATGGTGCATTTTTTTAATTATAGTAAGGTAGAACTTTTATATTACACGTATATAAAATTACATTTAGGGTGCATTTGGGTTGGGTTCTGTTTTTTGAAAGGATCAACCAGGTGATTCTTTTGTTGATTCTAGAATCAAGCAATTTTTGTTTCTAAAAATCGAATTCAGGTGATTCTTTTGCTGATTCTAGAATCAGTCAATTGTTTGATTCTAATTCCAGTGATTCTTTTGCTGATTCTAGAATCAAGCAGTTTGCTTTTGAAAATTAGATTCTGGTGAGCATAATCGATTCCCCACGAGTCTTGATCCTCAGAATTAGCTAAAAAAATATAATCTAAACACAATGGACCCTTCTGGATGGGGGAGCATTTGCAATGAAAATACAGTATATGATTTTGTAGACAGTAATTAAATTTTACATTCTTAACGAGCCCCGGATCTTTTTTGTGAAAAAAATTGCCTTGTTTCAAAGAGTACTCCTTTTATGGACAGATAGTTATTATTATGAAAATATATTATTTTTATTGAGGGAATATTGGCATTTTAAATGTTTTTGTGAATATTGTAAAAAATGGAAACCAATTTTCCAAAACAAAGAGATCTATTTATCCGCAATAGTTAACATTCTGTGTCTTCAGTAATGGAAGGCAAAATCATTATTGTCAAAGCACATTCCATTCTTTCTAAATGAAACAGAACAAAAACATAACCAAAGGAACCTATGTTTGGGGTGGTTGCCAGTTTCCAGTTTTGAAAATTACAAGCACCAAACTGAAACTTTTTTTCCAAGATCTGCCATTTTTTTAGAAAAATAGTGAAAACAAAAAAAGAATATCACCTAATCTCCCACTTTTGGTAAATGTGTCTTAAACTATGCCAATGGGTAATGGGTATGCTCTCATTTGTGAGTTTATGTGTGTGTGCGTGTGAGTTGATATATTTAATCCTTTTTGTTTGTTTTGTTCATTCCAGAGCGATAATTCAGCTGCATCCTGGCTACAAGGACCTAATTCTAGAACAATGTCGGCCATTCCGGCCGCAAGTAACTACTACAACTTTCAGGGACAGAGCCAGCAGCAATCCGGCGGTGGAGGATTCAGACAAGCTCAACAACAGCTACAACAACAGCAACAACCATCATCACAGAATTACGGATCTTTGGGTCACTCGAACTTCTACCATTCCCAAACCGGATTGTCAATGGACCACCATCACCATTATCAACAGCAGCAGCAGCAGCAGCAGCTTCAAAACCCCAGAGATGGTGTCCAAGTTGGGCAGCACCAGCAGCAGCAGACTAATCAGTCCCAACAGATATGGCATAACAACTACTAATCTTACCAGTGGTTTTCTGGAGGGTGTGTCTTGTAATGAGAGAGTGTGAAAGTGGCCTTTTTTCAAGCTAACCAGTTGCCCTTCCCCAGCAGTGATTTGAGAGTTAATCTTCTTATGTCCCAAAGGGACTTGACTGGTTGGTTACTGCATGCCTGCCTGCCTGCCCTTTTCCCAGAGAGGATGTACTTCACATATTCATTCTGTTTAGTGTAACCTAGGACGCTATCTGTTTTTCCTTTTTTTTATTTACTCCCGTCTTATAGCTCTCTTTTTTCTCGGTTGGGAATTGTGTTTTTCATTTTTCATCTTTTGTATGAACCGGTGTGATTGCCTTATTGTTGCTAACCAATTTCAATTCCTTGCTGGTTTAGTTTCCCCATGCTGAAGCGATATACTATATGGGTTTCTCAGTGTTTCTTTCATTTCAATGGCATTTCCCCCCCATAAAAGATACCAATGAACAAGTTAAAAATGTAGTTAAATTATGAGTAAATTCCTGAATTAGTCTTCTGTAATAAGTGTTTTTTTTCCAATTTCGTTCTTTTTAAAGAGTAATGCACAATATAGTCCTTTTTCCAAATTGCCACCAACCCACTGTTAAGTATGTAGGCAGTTTTGTAATTTTCACTACCCCCTCTCACTTAACCTCTCATGTACCTGAAGTACTTTGTAGACAAAATAAATTGACCAAAGCATAATGGAAGAAATGGGAGAAAACTTTGAAAGCCAATTTGGGTATTCAATTGCTGGTGTTGGAACACTACTGATGAAGAACGGAAGAGAGGGAGTTGATACGCTTAGGAGACGATGCAACTTATATTGTAGACGGATGAAGCCAATGCTGTATACGGTGGGAAGATGGGAGTAATGTTTTTTAGGAGCATTTACGTATTCATGGAGTAATTTTTTTAACTAATGGAATGCAAATGGAAAAGATTTGACGAGAGTGATGGCATTCGTATACATGGATGGTGAAAATTAAGGCTATTTTGTAGGATATAGAAAATGGTAATTCTATTCCTCATTTAACCGAAAATTAATGTGTTCTTTAACCGGAAGACTACTTGTTCATGAGTCTGTCGTGAAGTTGGCCATGGCCACGAAAGATGAGGTTCATTTATTTTCTTATTTTTAGTTTTTTTTATTTAATTTTTGCACCATTATAAATTCATCCCAAAATAAGGTTTGACGTTTCATATTTGGCAAACTTTTTTTGCCTTACATCATTGACTTTTCAACCACACAATTTCTCTTTTCTTAATATCCGTATCCGGTCAACTACGAAACATCAATACAGGACCCCCCCCCCTCCCCAGAAAAACACAAAGTTAACTGATTTTAGAGTTATTACCAATCTTAGAGCTCCATAAAAATGGTTTGAAAGTTGTTTGCACAAATTTTTGCAGTGTCTCCGCTTCATGTGGACCCTGGCTCCAATGGGTTAGACACACAGAGGCATATGTACTGAGCTTCTTAGGATAACAGGCTTCTTACATAGCTCATTTATTACTAGGTTAAGGGTATAATAGGGATTAAAATTAATTTGAGCACCTCCGAGGCTCCGATCCATTACTCACTGGAACTTAAGAGGATGACACCGTAATGTGCCTCTTTATACATCAATTTAATGACCTTTGTCGAGTTAAAAAAAAATATAGAGGGACCTGTGAGTCTTTACACAAATGTCAACCTTTACTTCTACCCAGAATGAGAAGATTTGAAAGGTGCTCGAGAGGGCTCTCGAGAGTTGAAATGCAGCATTTTCATCATAAATTCAAAGACCGGACATATAGTAAAACTGGAGGCGTCGGTGAAACATTAAGACAATCCTAGAAAGACCCATCTGAGATGTCGTAAACGGGCACAAGGGCAGGGAGTGGAAAACTAAGAATCCAAGAATATGTTTTTATTTTATAACAAATACATTACACAATATGTCTCTCAAGTCTCCTTAAGCATGAAACGACACTAGAATGCAGGAAGAAGAACCTTTTAGAGAAGCTTTTAGCAGCCTGCAGGAGTTGAAAGTGCGATGGAAGCTTTTGATATTGCAGCATCTTCTCAACATCTCTTGTCTGTTCATCATTGTATCACTTCAAAAGAGATCTTGTGAGATGTTCACGAGCAGTAGCCAGTGCCTGACTAATAGTCTGTTGAAATTCAGGAAAATAAATTCTTTCATTATTCCGTACTTCCCATCTAATGGTGATAGTTCTCTATATTTCTATGCTTTTATATTTCAATTTCTAAATATTTAAACCATGCACATCAGTGAGAAGCCAAAGTGAGATTGGCAAGAGTTTGGGGATTACCTGTTCAGACAAAGGTGCTCCAGGATCCATAGTGTTACTAGAAACTTTTGCAACTATGTCGTCTCCATCAGTCTCAAGAACAATTCTGCAGAAACGTTAATTACACATAAATGTGAATCTGTTGCATCATAAATGAAATCGGGTGCTAACTAGGCAGAGACAGTTTTAGATAATAATCTTACCCGCCATCAACAATTTCATCAAGGCACAAAAGAATGAGGTCCAAATTCTCAAGTGCCTCCCTCTTGTCAACATTACCCCTGATTAAGTGTGCATTTGCAATGAGATGGGCTCATGATACAAGTATCACCTATTTAAAGAATACTCCGTAAGCAAATGGTCTGATGTTGCACCTACCTCAGAAGAGAATTAACTGCTTCGAAGAATGCATGGAGAACCGTGGCCAGTATGAGTTCATTTTCATCTTCACCCCCAGTGACAAAGAAATGAAGATCTTGAATAAATTTGTAAACAACGATGTTGTTTTCAAACATTGTTATCTCAGCTAAACAAAACAGCATAAGAGTTAGTTTTGACAGACCAAATCAGGGTTGGAAATTTTATTGTTTTTTCCTAGGGAAAGAAGGAAAAATAAAAAAGCAATTTTAAGTGTCAACAACTATCACTGTACAAAGCAAATGACAAAAGTATACACAAACAGATAATGCTTTAAAGACCGTCAAAATCAGTGTTATTGTGTTGGACATGGCAACCACAATAAGTCAAAAACGGCGTGCAAGTAATGTAAGTAAAGATGTAACATGAAAAACAGAAACGCCCCAGGTGTATAATGGTTCCACCTTCCGTCCTCGCATTAGTCTTTTGAGTCTTGACAAAAACAGCCTTCTCATATGCATCTTTTGCTGCATTTGTTGGCCATTCATCTGAATAGTACTTGACAGCAACACGCTTTCCTTCAGAGTCTAGGAGGAGAATGTTCTTAACTGAAGGGCAGGAAACCTGCAGAAAAGATAAACATTATAACACATGACACCTTAGTGCACAACAAGTCACAGACTCAATGGAGTAACAAATCATTCTTTATTAGTTTATTAGTTGCATTTCAAAATTGAATGGGGAAAATCCCTTGTGCGCACAGCTATATCATATTTTCCGACACTAACTCCCCTCAATCTCCGGTCAGTCTTTTTCCTCTTCTTACTTCTCAATTCATGACATCCAAATAAGTTCCAGCTTCCAAGTAGGGGTAAGGTCTCTGCACACACGCCCTCCCAATACCCTACTTTTTGGGGGATTTTAGTGATATAGTGTTATTGTTGACATTCAAACAATCGAGCGCCAATCATTTCTCTTTGCTTTCACTGTTATTTTATTGAATAAAATGTAAAGGCAACCCTGAAATTATGAAAAATCTAGCAGCTTCACCACCAAGCATAAGACAAAGCAATCAGACCAATGGAAGTTTTAATTTGAAGAACTTGAATAACACTCCCTCTGTCCCAAATTAAATTGTCTGTTTCGGTTTATGATGTTTAACTGAAATTATTTTCAATGCAACTTATTTAAAAATTGAGGTGGAATAAAAAAACAAAAATTACACAAAAAATTCTACGAGACAAGACGTGACATGACTATATTATTTTATTAAGTAACGAAAATAGATAAAGAAAGTGAATAAAGTTTGACCCTATGAATAGTAAACATGAAACTAAAATTGGGACGGAGGGAGTACATACTAAATCAAGGCAAATTTCTAACGGTGGAGATCATTTTGGATGACAAATAACTAAATGAAGCAAAAGAGAAAAAATAATAGAGAAATTTTAAAAAAAAATCACATCAAAGCACCCATCTTTCAATGAGGTAGACATGATTACGTGAAGAACCATTGCCCAATAAAACAACCCTCTGCTTCATTTCCAAGGTTACAAAATGAACAACACTTCCCTCACGTCTTATTTTACTTCCATTTCAAACTAATGCAAACAACAATAATAAAATATCAGTAATGTGTTCAATTCCCCTGGTTTTTTTCATGTTTCAACCATTCGCCCATCTCACATTGCCTTCCAAATACTGCCTAAAAAGGTAGCATCTCGCCACCTAGATCCTAACCTCTGCTGCAAAATGCAACTTCTGAAAGATAAAAAATTGAGATCCAAGCACAAAATGGCTGGACGAAGGGAATGCCAGATCCTGGCAAGTCTAAACACTGGCCAGCGGAACCCCTAAAATCTACGCCAGATCACATACCGCTTCTAAACCTTTCCCTTCCGAAGCCTCAAAACAGTCGTCCCCGCAGATCGATCCATTACACTAATTCATGATACTGCGTATTTCAAAAACGATCTATGCACTAAAAAGGTGAAATCTTAAAAGAGATCGATTACTGTCCAAAATCAAAACTGTTTACGAATTCAGAAAGGTAATGAGCGTAAGGAGCAAATCCGAGTTTGTTTGTAGGCATGTACTAATAAAGAGAGCTCACCATCTTGAGACAGCCAGAGAAATTTGAGGAAATGAGCTGTGCAGCTTCAGATCGCGCGACCTCCAGAGCTGGGACAAGAGAGAGATGGGATATTTTTAAGAGGCTAGTGCCATCATTTTATTTTTGTTTAATTAATTAATCAATTAGTCCCTCGGTCCCATATATTTTTCTTTGCAGAATATTATTCTAATTTCACGTTAATTTTTATAATTTATTTAATAAAATAAAATATTCTTATCATAATTCTTTTATAACTTTTGATTTAGTTTTTAAATATATAAATTTCATATTTTGTTTCTATACAAATATTTCAATAAAATAGATTGAGTCATTCAAAATTTTTCTTCGTTTTGCGCAACACGAAAAAAGATATGAACGGAGGAAGTACTAACTTTAGTAATCAGTTACTCTGTATTTTTTTTAGTAATCAGTTATTTAAAATTGCATTGTATGTTAATCCAATAAAATATAGAGTAATATTTTGCAAGTTTTATGTAGGAAAAATTGATGAGCTCTTTTTTAAAATTACATAATAGCCACACATTTGAAGGGGGTTTTAAGGTGGGGGGGGGGGTTAGGGGGTGAACTTATGGAGATAGGAACCATTAAATTTTTAAGGACGGATAACTGAAAATTTATTACCGTCTGTATTTGTATCCGTTTATATGGAATNTTTGTTAAAAGTGGTTATTATCCATATCCGACTAAGGATAAGCGATTGCTAAACGGATACAGATTTGGTAATCATACATCCGATCTGTTTATAATCCACTCCGCATTGACGTCTGTTTAAATAACTGTTTGTCCGTGTATCTAAGCCGTTATTTATAGTTTTTCCGAATTTTTTATTTTTATACTTTATTTCTCTATTGATATCTAAAAGAATACAACGTTTTTATATGTAAAATAAATATGTAGACACATAAAAATATGTGTAGACATTTAAAAATATGTGTATATATATAATGTGTATATATTTTTATGATATGAAGTCATCGTAGAATATAATAAATAATAAAAAATAAGAAAATAATTATCCCATAAAAATTATAGTTGATTTAATAATATTTTGATTTAGTTTAATTGAAAATTAAAGTATTGTTTAATAAAAATTAGAAATGGATACAGATATATCTGATATCCGATTGGTGCGGATACGATTTTGATTTTCAGTATTCGTCAAGATCCGTATCCTAATTCGATATTTGACAAAACTAAACGGATACGGATTTGGTAATGACACATATAATTCGATTGATATCCGTTTACACCCTTAAAATTTTCGAACGGAGCACTGAAGTACTTAAAAAACACAGTGACACCGCTATTGGCACCGTTGGCCAATTGTAAACCGAAGCGTGCCCACTTTACAAACAAAACACTCAAAAGTACTCCAATTGTGTTGTTATGCGAATTGCAATGCAAGTGTTGTTCGATTAATTTCAATCTTTTCCATCTATGCAAGTGACATATGTTATTGGTTTAAAATTGTATGGTTGTATTTTGAATTTTTTGAACACTAATAATTCTACGACAATTGTAAAAATTATTTATTTTTGTACCAATATTTGCTCAAAATACAATATTCAATATATTTTAGTTGCTCTTGTGAAGAAACATAATATACTGTAATTCGTCCTTTTAAGTTGCTAACTCAATTCAATAAGACACTTTTTTTTAATTAATTACTCCACAATTTACAAAGTACTCTGTTTAAAATAAATGAATAGTTTTTTTCTAATTTCTACACTAATATGAGATTTTTTTTCAAAAAAGGGTGAGATTTTATTTTCTTCTTCTAGTTTATTTTACTTTCATTTTTTTCTTCGACCATTTTTCTTATCTCATGTAACCAAACAACACGTTTTCCATTTCATTTTCTTAAAAAAAGACTAAAATATGTAAAATTTTCACGATGTAAACTACTATTTTAGAGATAAAAATGCGCCATTCCCATTTTAAGAATAAAGTCCATATTTTACTCTGTAGTTTATTCTGCGTCATTTTTCTTTTTGTTTGAAATTGCTTGACTCGTGCATGAAAATAGGGAAGTAGAAAAATTAGGGGTGAGCAAGTACCGAATCGATATTGAAAAATTCTAAAAAAATCCAGAAAAATGAACAGAAATATATTGCTAAAATACCAAACCGTATAGAACTGAATATTTAGTTTTGTATTTGGGAACGGTACGAAGTAACTTTCGATACTGAAAATCCAAAATTGAATAGATACACTAATATATTATAAATATAATAATATCTTTAAATTTATTAATTGAATGATAAGTTTATTTTTAGATTTTGGCTTTAATTTAATTAGGTGTACATTATACTTTTATTTTAGTTTTAATTTTTTGTAGAAGAATTTAAAAATATCAACACACATTTGAAATTACATTTTGTCATCACCCGTTCACTGTAGTTTGTGAGACATAAACTAAATTTCAAAAACATTTATTGCATTTACAATTTTTTGTTTCTAAGTTTTTTATATTTAAATATAGTTTCAGTTATAAGAAAAATAAATATTTTTTGGAACTTTAAAATTTAAATTAGGCGAGTATCTATTCATCCTAAAATTTATACCGAACCAATTGAAATTTCAGAATCAAAATCAATAAGGTCTCGTTTGATACATAGAATTCAAACTATGAAATTAGAATTGAAGGCTTCAATTCTAATTTTGGTGTTTGGTAGCACAAAATTAAAATTATGTGGATTTGAATTGATAGTGTAAAAAAGAATTGAGATTTGCAGAATTCAACTATGGATCCGTTTGGTATACGAAATTGGTGAAATTAGAATTGAAATGGAATTGAAATTCTATGGGATTCAATTCAATATAATTGAATTTTGCCAATTTCAATTCATTTTTTGCAATTTGAATTCCAAATCCACATAATTTTTGTGCTACCAAACAACAGAATTGGAATTGAAGTCACCAATTCCAATTCCATAGTTTGAATTTCATGTACCTAACGGGACCTATATGAAATAGAATCTCATAGAATTTCAATTCTAATTTAATTTCAAAACTACCAATTCCGTATATCAAACGGACCTTAAGACTTAAAATCTGATATGGAATTAAAATACCGGAGTATTTAATAATATGGGTGGGCACGGGCCGGTCCGAGCCAAGATTTGTATAAATCGTACTCGGCTTGTTTTTGTTAAAACAGTCTGGGCTGGAACGGGTTTTCAAAATTTTAAAATTGGAACCGGACCTAACATGGCTTGTTTGAAATGGGCCGATTCCATGGGTCAACGGGTCCGAACCTATCATGATACTTACATTCTCCAAAAAAATAGAAATTATAGAATAATGCCTTCAAAGTTCAAAGTTCAAAGGGTAATTGGATGGTGTGAATAATAGTGCCACACGTCCACTGCCCAGTTCCTAGAGTTCAGGCACAAATATTAATATGAAGTACTTTGACATGTTTGGTACCAAGAGATAATATGAAGTCCACTGTCTAGTTCCTCACTCATTTCATAAAGTACTTTGACATGTTTGGTACCAAGACATAAGAATTATTATGTTAAAAAAACTTTCAAAAGCTTAAAGTCATCCAATAGGTGAAGGCTGCAAATCGCGAACTTGGAAACTTCCCCTTCAGACTCTCTGTTTTCTCACTTCTGCGGTTCTGCATGCGTTTGGAATATGGAAGGACTAAAAGATTTACTAAAATTAATTGGAATAGGCGGGTATACAGTATATCCGTATATTTACTAAAAATAATAGTATTAAAAATAATATTAGTATTTAAAAAAATGGTCTGGTCTGGGTCCCAAACAATTTCAAAATGGGGAACCAGATCGATCCTAAAATCTATAAGGACCAGTCCGATCCGAACCGTTTTAAATTTTTGAAAAGACGACCCGGACCTAACTCGACCCTAACCTAGCGGTCCGGTTCAGACTCCCGATTCCTAGATCCCATTGCCCACTCCTATTTAATACCGGAGTACATTAACCCTACAGTCTAAATACGGTACGTGTCACTCCGAAACACAAACGGAAGACAGTAACCCTAATAATCCTCTCCCAAACAGATCTGAGTCCCTGACTACGACCCGCGAGCGTAGAGCTTCCCTCTCGTCGCCGTCATCGCGAGTTCATCGCCGGAATCATCTCCGCCGACTTATTTCCGACCTGAACCCCAACCGCCTATACTACGTTTGCTTTTTGATCCCGCTCCTGCCCGAAGAATCTCCACTCCGAACTCCGCACTTTTCTCTCCTAGCCCCATCCTATCTGGGGGTATACCGACGGCGTCTGTGACCTCGTTACCGATCGACTGCTGTCCATTTGAACCGACATGGTTTGTTTCAATTGATAATACTAATATCTTAATAAAATTTGAATTCGTCATCATTAAAGGTTGGTGAGTGTTCTTTCTTTCTTTCTTTCAGGCGGATCCTGAATTAGAAGCTATCCGGCAAAGGAGAATGCAGGAGCTGATGGCTCAACGCAGTGCTGTAAGAGCATTTTCTAATACTTGAATATTGTTTATCTGAGATATGCATTACTTGTAAAGAAGAAGATATATACAGAGTATATATTTGCTGATAAAAGAGTTGTCTGCAATTAGGGAAACCCTGATCAACAAAAGGCCCAAGAAGATGCTAAAAGGTTACTGCACTAATCTCGATGCAGCTTTTAAATCGAGCTATTTGCAGACATTCTGTTCTATTATTGATTTAAATTTAACATTGTTGATGCAATTTAGGGAGGCGGATGAGGAGAGAAGGCAATTGATGCTCAGTCAGATCCTTACCTCTGAAGCAAGGGAAAGAGGCAAGTTCATTTTGGGATTACTTCTTTATATTTGTGCTTAATATGTCATTTCATGAGTTCAAATCTTATTAGTGGATTTTTCATCAAAAGTGTTTACATGAGTGATGCATCAATTTTGGCATAAAGCAAATGTCAAACACTACTATTTCATAGTATTGTTATTTTATTAATTTCAATATACAACTCGGAGTCATGATTACTTAACACTCTTAGTTGACTGCATATCTCCTTCAAAAGAAATCATTAATTTTGTGTGATAAGCAACTCGCCCTACCCCCCTCTATTTTGTCATCATAGTTTCATTAAATGACCGTTAAGTTAGTAATAGTTTAAGGATACTTACTCTGTCCCACTTTTCTGTCCTACTATTTTTGTACCATATCATACTTGCTTGTAAACTTGTAATTGTGTGGTTCATATTCATTTTACTTTATCTTACTTTTTAAACATCAATATCTCCCAAGCAATATGTATATGTATATGTATATGTTACAATCTTCCGTGTTATGATCATTCTTTAGATGATATGCACACCATTTACCTTTTTCCTCAACGTTACACACCTTCAGGGAGTAAGTGGGGTAGGTCAGCATTTCCCCCATTGGGATAGTGAACACTGGATTATGTGACTTGACGGTATTGGAAAATTTGATTGGTTGGCTCTTTGGCCCATCCAAGAAACCTGACTTCTTTGCTTTATGCGGCTTCCCCTTCTGCTTGTTCTACGCTGGGGGTTTTCTTTCTTTTCCTCCATGCCCTCTTCAAGGGTGATGTACCTCCTGACCCGGACCATCGCTTCTTCAAAGGTGTGTTCGGGGGATGGGTCGTCAAATCCGTGTGGAGAAGCCCTTCCTAAAGAGCGGCAGTAAACATCGCCGGGCGAGCCTTGTTGTCGGCACTTTTTACTTCCCTGGACTTCTTCTCCAGCGCGTAAGGAAATTCCCCCGCTCTTCTAACGTATGGATGCCAGGTGCGTGAAATGTTTCTTTGGGCGGCAGTCCCAGCAAAATGCTCCAAGAAGCGCAGACCCAACTGGTCCCAAGTCCGGATCGACCCGAAGGGAATATGGTTAACCTAATCTGCCACCTTACTAATTGATGGCTTAGAAGAAATGACACATTAGGGCGTCTATTGCATCCACGCCTATCATCATCTGTATGTAGCTATTTACATTATCATGGGGATTTGACTCCCCATCATATCTTCTGACAAATGAAACCTTAATTCCCACGGGATAGGGTTCTGCAAACATCTCCAAGGCCAATGGGGTGTTTGACCGGGTGGTGAAGACTCGGCCATGGTTGAACCTTAGCTGCATCTTTTGAATTTGTGTTTGTAAATCTTGGAGGTCCCCCATTCTAGGATTAGGCAAGCGCTGGGACGCCGAGATCCAGACTTGGTTGTGAGCCTCATCTTCTACCATCTGTCTTGGATCAACTCGTCCCGGAATAACGTGGGTCCCGGTTTGACGATTCTACGTCACTCGGCTGGGCGGCTCCAACCAAAGTGGAGCTTTCTCCGCATTCTTTCCCAACCGTGCGCTGAGTGGTATCCTTCCTTGTATCATTCAATTAAAGACTAAAACCCCTGGGGTTCCTGGTCTCCGCATGGTGCGGCTGGCTAGCTGCATGTCTAACAGTTGGGTCCTAAGTTTTTGCCTGGGTTAGCTTTTCGCACTCCCGAGTGTTCGAGCCAACTCTTCCTCAAGACGTCTTCTCACTTTCTCTTTCTCGCTCGATCTCCTCCGTAACATGGGTTCCTGCAGAATGGGATTCATCTAATATGTCTGGGGAATCTGCCTTGGAATCCCAGGTTCTTTAACGCCACTTCAACACCATTAGGTTGTGTAACGATTGGTTGTTCAGGAACTCTTGGCGTGGCTGAAGACTGCCGAGGATTTGCAGAACTGCGCCTAGAGTTTCTCGTCTTTCAGCCAACCATATTCTCAATGAAAGCACCGATTGCAATTAGCCGAACAACTATGGCAGTGATGAACGAATGATAATTGGTAATTGACTAATCTCACAATATTTCTATTAATAATTGTGTTTCAGTATTTTTCAGGGCTCTCCCCCTATTTACATACATAAAGGGCACTCATTGTGCACACCATTCTTGCCATTATCGCTCTCCCCCCAATCGTGGTGGTTCACCATATTTCCCTTAATCTTTCCACGTCCTTGCACTATTTTGGGCCTTTGCTTTATGCTTGGGCCAATTGACTAGAATCTGGGCTTTTCCCCATACCGGCGGGGCTGTTCATTTGCGTTCTCTGGGCCCGAATATCCATCAATATTATAATATAAATATATAATATATTAGTAATATACTAATATATGATTATATATTTATATTATATAATATATATAAATGTAAAATATATAAATATAAAATATAAAAGAGAGAATTTAGTAAAATCTAAATAAAATAGGCTCACAAAAAAACTTGAGATTTTTCTTTGTTTTGAAGAAAGATATGACACAAAGAGAGTATATACATACATACATACATATATAAATATATATACATATATACATGCACACACACACACATATATATACACACTCATGTCCTCATTTTTATATTAATATTGTTGCTAAGAAGTGTAGGAACCTTGAAGCACATTATACTTTTTCAAGTAGAATTTAAATAGGACTTCTACAAGTTGGTGCATTTGGTTTTTAGAAATGTATGTATAATTAAGTGAAATATGCCAAATGGTTAGTTAAGTAAAAAAGGAAATCTCTATTTATTTTTTTATTGAAGTAATGTAGAAATTATATTTGATAGTCAACTTGTGCAATATGATTCTAATTGCATTGATGAAAGGTAGCAAGGCCGCGTTAAAATATGTAACTCTTTATTTTCTCGTAATTTCTTTGGCATAGTGGAATTTCTAGAAGACTAAGATTTGCACAAAGGTAACATGAAATCAGTTTATGTGCTTTTTATTTTCATTGCATGTCAAGGAAAACTATTAATATGATTTAAAATTGATGCTTTGTAGACATATTTTTAAGCACGACAACACACACACACATACATAGAATTACACTTGATTGCTCAAAGAAATAGGGCCGGCTCGAGCCCGTTATTCAAGGACCCAATACACACACACACATACACACACACACATACACACAAACACATACATACATACATACATATACATACATATATATATATACTCCCTCCGTCCCGGAGTATTCGTCCAGTTTTGACTTTTGGAACTGTTCATCTAAGCACCTTGACTCATCAAATTCTCTCAATGTGTAAGCTTAAATATAGTCATGTGTGATCTTGTTTGATTTGTCTTAACATATAGATTATTAATATATGATTTCTATAATTTTTTAATATACAAATTACAAGGTAAAATGGATTAAAGAAGTGTATTGGATGGTGTATAAAAATGAAAGTGAACAAATACTCTGGGACGGAGGTAGTATAATATAACATTGCCTTTGAGAGAGCCGAGCAGACCTCTGTCTTCTTCGGCAGCCATGGTGCTCGTGTTCCATTGCCGGCATACATCAAAACACTTCTTTGGCACCTTTCTTCTAAAAGTTAGAGATTGCATTTCTTCTCTCTCGACATGAAGATAGGTTTTACAGCAAAGCCTTTCTCTAAATCTTTCGCGATTACGAAATATGGCCGATCCAATGGGCTCTCGCTTGATATTTTGACATCTGCAAAGGCTCAATTTCATCCGGCCAAAATTTACTTCACTTAATTATTTTTGAGGGGGCAATCTTCACTGATGACGTAGTTTATCGTGCTGTGTTCGGTGCAGGGAAACTGCCCTATATCTATACTCTCTGTTTGAAATATGATCCCAAGGCGAGGCCATTATGGTTCTTTGATGCCTTTGACAATTTAATTATCAATTCATATCTGCAAAACTATTCATTATTTTCTAAGATATGTATCGCCATCCCCTTCCCGATCCAACTCGCCTGTAGAATCACAAAATCCAGTGGACTCGTCCAGATTGATGATTCGGCTCGTGAAATCGCAGGATCACAATCAAAATGCAGCGTTGCTTCAAAATCCACTTCTAATCGCAACTTTGAATTTGTCGGAAATTCAATTGCAAACTCGTGTCCGTCGCGATTCCCAAAGATCAAACGCAGCATGTGTAGCGACTCCCAATTCCAGTCGCGACCCCTTTCCAATTCCAGGCTATCATTTACGGGAGTATGTGCTTCTATTTATTTGGGACTCCCAATTTGCTTCTAATCGCGACTCCCAATCGCTTCTATTATTTATGTGCCGATTTGGGACTCTTATTTATCAGCCTTCCTTTTCTGCTTCCTTCTGCGATTATTTATCCCTTGCGACTCCCTTAAGTCATTTGTTATCCAACTGGAACTTGTGTTATGTTTTATTAAAAATTAATTAACACACACACACACACACACAAACATATATATATATATAGAGTATGATCTTACGATCTGAGTCACGATCTTCATTATGCTTATCGATCCTACGTAGAATTTATAGTTTGACTACCATGTATGTATGTATGTACGTACGTATGTGTGTATGTGTGTATGTGTCTGTGTGGATGGATGGATGGGTGGATGGATGCACGTACTTTGACCGCCCGCCTCTCGCCATTAATAATTATTGTCTTCCCACTCACTCACCCCCTCCCCCTTGCACCTCACACTAATGAAACCTCATGCTCCGATACGCTCTCAAGTCATACTATTTGTGAACTTCATGATCTTTTCTTAACAATTTAAATAAAAATGTCTTACAAATACTTTCTTGTAATATTCCAATATATGGAGCTTATTAACAATCTTTATGGGTTTAGTTGATTTGTGCAGCCAGGCAAGATTTATGTAATTAGTTATTCGGCTATGCTATATGTACAACACATTTACACCACAATTGTACGACATCCTAAAATTTTAACTACCACTCGTCTGTTTTACACATTCTATATACTCTATCGAGGCCAGTTCCAAAGCGACTGGAATCCAGTGGCTACGGAAGCCATTGTCCCCCTACGGAGTTCCGTTCATGAAATCAATGATTACCCCTACCCCCGGTAAACCCCCCCGCCAAGTCTCGAACCAAACTAGTCTCCCCACCTACGTCAATTGCACCTCGTAAGTATAAAGTCAAAAATTTTGACTTTAAAGTCAATTATACTTGCGAGGTGCAATTGACGTAGGTGGGGGGAGTAGTTTGGGTCGAGACTTGGCGGGAGGGTATATCGGGGGGTTAGGAGGGGTAAGAATCATCAATTTCATGAACGGATCTCCGTAGGAGGGCAGTGGCTTCCGTAGCCACTGGATTCCAGTGGCTACGGAACCGGCCTCTACTCTATATACTGACAAAGTTTGTCTCAGTAGTTTAAAAATTGAGGTGTTGTGTAAGTTCTCTTTAAATGTAGTTTACATGTAACATTTCTTTATTCTTGTTTAAAATTTGAGGTGTGGTGTAAGTTCTCTCTAAATGTAGTGTACATGTAACATTTCTTTATTTTTTAAATAATGTATAATTGAATATGCCATTTGTCCCAAAATAATTTACCTACTTTTCTTTTTCCTCTGTTTAAAAATATTATATCCTTTTTTTCTCATTTCCTTTTTGGAAAAGAATATGAGATAAAAAATATTTCTCTTTAAAACAAATTTTAACTACACATTTGTCAGAACTTTTCTTAATATCTGTTAAATCAAAATGGGTAAACTATTCAGAAACAGAGGAAGTACTTCATTACTAGTATTTATTACACGTCATAAGTGCATAAATTTATATGCTCCCTCCGCCCTAAATATATATTAGTTAGTGTCATATTATGACACTTTCCCAAATTGAGCATATAAGTGTATGCATGTCTATGCCTTAAGTATTTGTTTTTTGCTAATGACATTAAAGAGAATTTCTTGGGAGGCAACCCAAGCATTTGTTTTTGCTTCTAATATATGATTGTATAACATTTCAATTACCTTTGTTTTCATTTTTAAAAGCTTTCTGTTTATGTGCTATTGTGATATTGGTAAGTTCAGAGGGGATACTCCCTCCGTCCCACTATTTTTTGAACATGAGGGAGTTGCACGAGAATTAAGGAAAGTAAGATTGTGAGGTTAATAATGTTAAAAAGTATGAATTTGAACCACACAAATATGGTGACAGAAAAAGTACAATATGGGACAAAAAAATCGTGGTGGGGGGGGGGGGTGGGTGTACATATCTTTTGAGGCATGAATGATGAACTACTTCTTGAATCAATCCGTTCTCAACAATGTCAATAGTCAAACTCACCAAATCCAAAGACTAACCTCTCCATCTTTTGCTCTTAGATCTCTAAAAAGAATTGTGTTTTTCTACAATTGTGTATTTTCTGTCCAGTTGCCCGGATTTCATTAGTGAAGCCTGAGAAGGCCAGAGGTGTTGAAGATATAATACTTAGAGCTGCTCAAATGGGCCAGATTGTGGAGAAGGTGCATATACACTTGAATCTGCATTCATTTTTTAATTATTTACTCCTACTAGAAAAAGATAATTGTTCTTGTTTGTAATAATGTTCTGGGCAAGGTCTTGAGAGGCAAAATCAGGGCTGGAGGCGGGCAGCCTTTTGCGTCACGAGGCCTAAGCCTCAATCAAATTTATATAAATAAAATAATCTGAATAATAATAATAAGGATACAAACAGAAAATTCATAACGATAGTTCAAGGGCATACAAATCTGTCACGTTGAAATAAAAAAAGCACAATATTGTTCTGCGAAGGAAAAAACCATAGTTATCAAGGCGTTGCCTAGGCGACGCTTAGGCGTCTGGGCGAGGGTTGGTGGACGCCTAATTGGTCGCCTAGCTTTTTTTTCCCTGGGCGACTGTGTTGTACAGTGACTGTGTCACCATCTCTGAGACGCGTCTCCATTTTAGAAGCGCAATGGAACGGAGGAGGAGAGCGAGAGAAGACGGAGGAGATAGAGAGAAGACGGAGGAGAGGGAGAGAAGACTTATCTTTATCGCTGATTATTTGTCGTGGTGCGGCTTCCAGATCTGCGACCTCCACTGCCTCTTCCTATCTCTCTATCATTTAGACTAGTGGACTAGGTCAAATAACTGGGCTAGATTCATTAATAGACTATTGGACCTTCACACAGGAGTATAAGGCCCAAAATTTAATAGGCCTTTTTAAAGCACACTTTATTGGAGTAGGCTTATATATATATATATATATATATATATATATATATATATATATATATCAGTGTTCATTTTAATTAATTATTTCATACTATATGCTTTAACATTAGTACCTATAAAATTATTATGGTCGCCATAGCCTACTCGCCTAGCGGACGCCTAGGCGGGCGCCTAATCGCCTAGGCGACTGGAAGGTGCTCTAGCGCCCAGCCTCGCCTAGCCGCCTTAACAACTATGGATAAAACACCAAGTCAATAGGATATGAAAGGATAAAATATGCATGCCAAACCATATCAAAAACTTAAAACCTGTGTTAGACTTAAAGATTTTCTGACTACTTATCCAAAAAATGAATATAATCTTCTGTTGTACTCTGTATCATGTATCCTAGATTGTAATTTCAACCTCATTTCCATCTTTTGTATCATGAGCCTCACAATCATCATCTGCGCCTCTTAACAAGCTACTTAAAAAGGACAAATGGGTTGTACAGAAGGAGAGGAGATTATCTAGATACTGAGTTCTAGTAGAGAGGATTAAAATAGAAAAAAGATGAAAACAAAAAGGATCTACAGAGGGATAAAGACAAACAATTAATATGGTGGTAGCTGAAGGATTGCTCAGTGCTCGCTTATTAGTGAAAATTAAGAGGCGAGGTATCAGGGTTATGTCTTGAATGGTCTATGGGATGAAGGAAGAAAGACGACAATGATTCTCATTTTTAAAACAAAAAATAAAATGAAAAAGACATGATATTCGTATTTGGAAGATAATGAGGCCCTAAAAGAAAGAAGACAATGGTTCTTTGTTTAAATTTTGCAAACAAAATATTACTTCAGTAATAAGGGAACTTGCATGTCTTTGTTGAACAAAAAAGAAAAGCTGTCCCACTCTGCACTTTCCACATACATAAACATACACATCCTTTATGCAAAACACAATCTCTCATGCTTTGGAACTAAAATTCATCATCCTATAAAGTTCCTTTCTGCTGATCTTGCAGGTGTCACAAGAAAAGCTCATTGAGTTGCTTGAGCAGATCAACACTCAAACCACCAAACAAACAAAAGTAACCGTAAGTCTCTGTAAACCAGCCACATTGGATTTTGATTTTGAAGTCTGGTATGGTTCCTGAACTCATCTGTTTTGATCTTTCCTCAGATCCAGAGGCGTCGCTTTGAGGATGATGATTAGTTCCATTCCTCCTGCTCCCGTATTGGGTGATGATTATACAGCGCTTCATATTTATGTTAAAAGATTAATCTTAGGTGTAAGTACTGTGTTCAATGGCTATATTTGTAATTTGTGTAGTGAGTGCTACTCTTTGGTGTGTATTTTGATCTTCTGCTTGTTTTCGAGTGGCGTTGTTTTAAGAGAAAATATATATGCTTCAAAACATTTCTCTCCCTAGGCCCTTCTATTCAAATTCTAACCAGCCACTTTTTATTTAATCAAGTTTTAGAACTCGGTTAAGTTGAAGTGCAAGTTTATTTTAGGGATGAAAGCAATTTTTTTAGACCAAAGGCTTATTGCTATGGAAAATGCTCACTTCATCTTGTTTGTATTTGTTATTCTACTTATTCTTTTGATATAAATCATTACTCTCTTCGTTCTAAATTAAGTTATCTTAATTTTTTAGAGATAAATTTTGTTCACTTAATTTTCTAATTATTATTAGTAGTATTTTAAAGTGTAATGCTCGTTTTATGTTGTTAAATGCTAATGCGTAGGCCCGTCAGTGGCTCGGGCCCGTATAATACTCATAATTTTTTAGCGGGTTTAAGAGTATAAAATTTTTTTACCCGTACCCAAATGCGTACTTGTTATTTAAAAAAAACAGTCGAGCATAGGATGAGTAGTCCCGACCATTTAAAACTCCTAACGTTTAAATAAATAGATAATCTTAAAAATTACTCCGGTACAAAATCTTGCCCCTCTTATTTTTATTCAATGGAATTAATTTTTGTTCATAGCATTTTCATTAATTTTTTTCATTTATAGAAAAAACAAGACGTCAATTTTTATCACGACTATACCCGACCCAATGCTAAGACCCAAAGGGTCAAAATTTAGGATTTAACTTTAAGATCCATTGGATAAACAGGTATGGGTCAGGATCAATTTTTTTAAAAAAGATACGAGTGTAGAACACTAAAAATCAAACCGAATGCGACCTATTGACAGACCTACTAATGGGTATAGCTCTATCTAGATGAATAGTGAAAGAATAAAAACATCATTTGTACATTATGTGTTGCATCGAAAATCATTTTGGTCCCTATGTGACTTTTATGTTTGCTATATATGGGTTTAAAATTTGACCATTTTTTTCATATTTTCATTATTTATTTTATAAAACAATAAAATTATTCTTGTTTTGTACTGGAGTAGAAGTTTTGATGTGTTTTTTGAAGGTTTCATTTTTTTTATTTAACATCAAATTTTATATAAATAGAATAACAAATAATTTAAGTCAAGTCTGGTAATGTGTAACTAGGAAATTTATTGACCATTTTCTCACAGTTATGATTTCACAATGAAACCGTATTTAGGACTCAAAATGTACTTTGTTTTGTCTAAATTGATTTTTTTGAGAATAAAATTTATTTCTGAAGTACTCTTTCCGTTCCAAATTAAATTATTTGTTTATTATTTATAGGGTCAAATTTCATACTTTTTTCTCTGTTTTCACTAGTTATTTGATAAAATAACTAGTCTTGTAGATTTTTAGAAGTAGTTTTTAAATATGTATTTTTTATTTTTTTAATTATACATCATTTTTCATAAAAAATAAATTAAAAATAGTTTCAGTCAAACATAGTAAACTGAAACAAACGATTTAAAGAAGCGAGTACATATTTTGCATTGTATACTATTACAATGAATTAAGTTTCTAAAAGGTTTCTATAAGATAAAATCAATTTTGTACTATATTGCAATAAAATTTAACAAATTATCCTAAAAGAAGTAAAATATACTCCCTCCGTTCTGAAGTATTCGTCCAGTTTTGACTTTTAAAACTGTTAATCTAAGCACTTTGACTCATCCAATTCTCTCAATGTGTAAGCCTAAATATAGTCATGAGTGATCTTGTTTGATTTGTCTTAACATATAGATTATTAATATATAATTTCTATAATTTTTTAATATACAAATTACAAGATAAAATGGATTAAAGAAGTGCATTGAATGGTGTGTAAAAATGAAAGTAGACAAATACTCTGGGACGGAGGTAGTAACATTTATAATTAAAATAAGAATTTCATGTTTTTATCTCCAAAATAAAAATTTATACTGTGACATTATGACATTTTATAGTGATATTTTACTATCTTTTTTGGTACTATATATTGGAGTAGTATTATTGGCATTGTACTTCAATTTTGATGATAAAAAATTTGAAAGTTCTATTTTTGATATTTTTTTATGTTTTACTCCAGTTTAGCCATTTTGCATAAATTTTCTATAAAATAGATGAACAAATTTGTCTCCAAAAAATGTAATTGCATGAATACTTTGATACAAATCATGTTGGGCAAACAAGTTCTATTCTAGAAGAAAACAACTTGAAGAACCTCACTTGGTGTAGACTAAATGTACACCAAAGTAAAAATTATATGCAACCATGACTTGTCCAGATAGTTGTCAACCATCTTCACCTCCACCATCTCCTTTCCATAAATTCTTCATCAAACTCTACTGTTATAAAAAGTTGGGAAGGAAATGGTGTTGAAGTAATTTTTTTCTTCGAACTTCATGTCTCTAGAATAGTTTATAAATTATTTCATTTTTTCTGTTTTTATTTATTTACTTGTCAATTTTTTTGGGAATTCTATGTTTTTAATTATTTAAAATTATTTTAATTTGTCTACGTAGATTCGACATATGCATATTAATTTTTTTAATCAAAAAGTACATCCTTACTTAATTATTTAACAAAATTTGATAATATTAGAGAAAAGTAATTCAATTACTTCAGAAAAGAAAATTAAAAAAATAGATGTGGACACATTCAAAACAAATGCATATAACATATAGAGTGTAATTATAATTATACTCTCTATTATTTATAATAAATACTGCATAAACAAATTGAGGTGTAACCACTAAATAAATTTTTAAAATGTAACATTTTAATATTTTATACTAACTTTATTATATTAATTAAATATTTTTCCAGAAGTATGAAATATTCTTTTGTATAAATTATGAAGTAAATTAATTTTGTTAATTTTATATACATTGATTACGAGCATAATAATAGCAGAGTAATATAAAAAATACACCTAAATAATGTTGGAAATTTAAGAAAAAAATTAGAAAAAACTAGAAGTTATTTTTTCAGCCCGAAAGAACATGATTTTAGTATCATACTTGTTCACTTAGGTATTTATTTCGAGCAATGCTAGAGTCATAAAAATAAACCACAAAGCTTATATTTCTATTTTAACAAAAAATGAAAAACAAAATACTCTATAATAAACAATTATAGACCAATAAGTAGTTGTCAACAAGAAATGATATGTGAAAGAAATGAAAAATTATATACTCCTTTGTAAGTTTATTTATGTGACGGAGCTCTCCTTTTTGTGACATTGAGAACCCATGTAGTTCGACTTCTAATTAGGACACTTACGATATTTCAATTGAAAATTAAGAGTTCTTATATCTCTCAACTTGGTAAATCTCTCTTATCTTGATTTGAAATGATCACTCTACCCGCTTTAATTAGTTGATTTTGATGTTAAAATTCTCGATACAAAATCAACTAGACTTGAGTGATCCAATTAAATGAAGTGATGTGATCAATTTACGTCGGACTATGATAGAATTTATGGAAAAGTTAGAGGGTACAAAAGGTTAATTTTACCATTGGACTAGTAGATGTTCCAATGAGTGTTAGTGTGATATTATGACATTTCACATTTGACCCTAATCAAGATCAAGAAGCAAACTGTGTTCTTTTCGTCTTTTTTGGGCATTCTGTGATGGGAGAGGAGTTCCCAAAATCTGGTAATTCTGATATCCAAAAGTTGACATTACGGTTTCGTGTCAGCATTTCACGGCTTACATTTGATTCTCTGGTCGACCCCAGTGTTATCAATCACCACAGCCGGCAATCTTCTTCTCCGGCGACCCACACTCCGGCGATTCCAGATGGAGAAAGAACCTCTCCTTCCCATGTCCACACCCAGAATTTCACTCCCAATTCCCATTTCCCTTTGCCCTTTGCCGGAAGACGATGAAATCACAGTTCCTCCCTTGACCCCTTCCGAATTCAAAGACCGGCTAATCTTCGGTTCCGCTTCTCCTCCTTCTTCCTCCTCCTTCACAAACCCCTTCCGAGACCCAAACTCCAATCTCGATGCTTTCGATTTTCCCTCCCAGCCTTTTGCTTCGGACCCGAATTCCAATATTGATTTGAATGCGTCGGACCCTAAATCCAGTTTTGATCGGAAATCAAATTGCAGCTCATGGTCGAAGAGTAATCTTCACAGATCCAAGACTGCCCCTGCCTTGGCCACCATCAATGATATTGAGAACCACCAGTCTTCCACTCCCAAGCCACCAGTTAAGCTGCCAATTGTGAGGCAAGCTGTTTTGCTTTTGGGTCTCTACTTGATTCTTGGGGTGGCTATATATTCTTTGTTCAAGGAAAATTTTAGGGGGTCTGAGACCCACCCTGTGGTTGATGCTCTTTACTTCTGCATTGTCACAATGTGTACTATTGGTTATGGGGACATAACTCCCGATAGTCCTGCTACAAAGCTATTCTCTGTCATGTTTGTGCTTGTGGGTTTCGGGTTTATTGACATTCTGTTGAGTGGGATGGTTAGTTATGTTCTTGATTTGCAAGAGTCTTATCTGTTGAAGGCTATTAAGGGTAAGGGCAGGCATGACCCTGGTTCTTACATATTCGATGTGAAGAAAGGGAGGATGAGGATTCGAATGAAGGTCACACTGGCATTGGGTGTTGTGGTTCTCTGCATTGGGGTGGGGGTTCTAGTGATGCACTTTGTTGAAAGGCTTGGGTGGTTAGATTCGCTCTACTTATCAGTTATGTCTGTTACTACCGTTGGGTATGGCGACAGGGCATTCGAATCCATGCCTGGTAGGATTTTTGCGTCCTTTTGGTTGCTTGTGTCAACTCTTGCTGTCGCGAGAGCCTTTCTTTACCTGGCCGAGGCAAGAGTGGATAAAAGGCATAGGATGATGGCAAAATGGGTGCTTGATCAGGATTTGACCGTTTCACAGTTTTTTGCTGCCGACATTGATAACAATGGTTTTGTCACGTAAGACATCTCCCTTTTTCTTCTACTTTATTGCTCTCTTGTTTCCTGTTTTCTCTCTACTTGTTAAATCTTAGATGACATTTTATGAGGATAAGTTAAGGAGAAGTTAGGTTTAATCTTATATGTAGTGTTGCTCTTATGTACTGGCTGGTGCACTGGTGCATGATTGAATAGTGTTCTTAACAACCACAAACATAAGTTACTCCCTGTTTTTTAATGCTCCCTCCGTCAGTCCGTCTTCAAACCAATTTGATACTTTGACTTCACGGAGTTTAAAAACGTTTTGAAAAGTGAAAGATGTTTGGTGAAAAGTGAAAAACTCGAGTGTTCATTCAACTTTGATATTGTTTACTGATTGTCATTAGTTTTATCTGTCCATTATTTTGCATCTACTGGAAATCATGTTATTTATTTGCGTGATGAAACCCCTATGCTTTTTGCTTGGATTAATGACCTTTTTACCCTTGGAGTTGGAGTCCTATCCTAAATCATATCATCTTATGCCCCTGACCAGAAATGACATTTTCATGTGGACGTATTTTAATTGGAGTTACTTGCCTTCCATTATCTTCTCCATCGCATTAGCCTCCTCGGAGATTTCTACCATTCATCTCATGTGAGGGCTGTAAGAAGAAGTTGAATCGTAGTATAAAATTCAGAAGATTCTAAGGGACCATTTGGAACTCGGAAAATACTAGTGAAAGAAAATAGGAAGGAAACCAGCAACAACAAACCCAGAAGAATCCCACAAGAAAAAAAGGGTCTAAAATATGAAGGAAACCATAATGAAAGAAAATGCGGGGAAAATAACAGATATGCTAAATCTCTATTAACTGAACGTAGATGCTTGTTGATTTTAGTCATGCCAATTATATAAAGACCTGGAAATCTTGATCTCATTAGACTTGAGCATTTTTGGGGACCAAAACTCCCCCTAAATTCAAGTCTTAGTACTGAAGGTAAGTATGCTTTCGTTAACCTGTTTGCTCAATTCCACAAGGAAAAAGTTGTCCAATCTGTCAGAAGTCATAACTATGGGGGAGGGCTTGTAGTGTGATTAAGTAAACAGTCTAGTGATTTATGGCGAGTTTTGCCAAGAATAAGGCGTCTTTAATGAATAGATGGTGATATTGCATTCACACTGCATAAACATTCAGCTTCACAAGCCTTCATATTCTATTAGTAAGTTGATGGAACTTTGATACCGTAGCCTGTAGGAGAAGTCTAATGAGATTCTTCGTTAAAGAAGTTTCTGTTTGCTCTTTCACCAACTTTTAGAAAAAGTGAAATTGTATGGTGGAAGTTTATGCAAAGGAGACAGAAATAATGCGAGCCATTCATTTCTTTCCCTAAATAGATTGAGAACTTTTTTGGGACACCTGAAAAAGGAAAGCAAGAAGTTTTTTAGGGAAAGAGTAATATTTATGACCAAATGGTGAGATCAAATTTTTTTCCTTGTGTGATTTCTGGCAGTAAATCTGAATACATAGTATACAAGCTGAAGGAGATGGGAAAGATATCCGAGAAAGATATTTTTCTGGTCTGCAAACAATTTGAAAGGTTGGATTCGGGCAATTGTGGGAGGATCACCCTTGCTGATCTAATGGAAAGCCACCATTGAACAATCACCACATTTGCCCAGCCGAGACCAAAAGATTAAACCGGAAAGAAAGCTGGCCATGACAGTTGCGCTTTCAATTGTCTGAGATTTTTGGTGGTGCAGAAGAAAAAATCTTCATTTAAAGGTTAAGATGGGATGAGACATTAGAAGCTTCAGAAACCAGAATCAGATCATAATTGTGTCATTTCAGTTCTTTGAAACGTATATACCATTACCAGGTAGATATATATATTTAGACATTTGTCTGCCACAAGTTTTGCTCTCACCATTGTTGTTACCTGTGGTTGTGAATATTCTTGTAAACACTAACATATTAAGCCTTTTTCATGAACATAAGTATTGTATTGATTTATCTGATTTTGGGGTGGTCGGAATACGAACATCACAATATTATATTGGCCATTGCCAAAGAATCTCATAGTCTAATGTAAAAATTACTTCTTTTTTTTTCCATTCTCATTGTCTAATGTGAATGCTTTTGCTTTCTATACTCTTGTGAGAAAAAAAAGAGGCAGGGATGAGCCCTTTTAACATTTGTACTATTTTGCTGTTTTTGCCTTCTTTGTATTATGATACATTTTTATCTGAATCTTAGGTCTATATATAAGTTATAGTATGAGCCTTTTTTTTCTAAATTCTGGTTAAGCTCCTGCTTGCTTTTATTATGGGGGAGTTTGGCAAGCAGATGTTTTTGCTGTCATCTTTTTTTCTTCCTTTCTTTTTGAGGCAAATGATTAATCTAAGCATTATTAGAAGTAGGTTCTTTTGACATTGATGGCTAATGTATGGTGCCTTAGGGCCTATTTGGTTGGAGGGGAAGGGAGGGGGGTGAAAATGAATCCCCCCCTTGTTTGGTTAGAAAAATAAGGAAGGAAGGGAACTCAAAATTCTAATTCAAAATCCCTCCTCTACCCTCGTATTTGTGCCCTCCAAATCGGGGGATTCCAGTTTCCTTTGTCCAACAACAATGTTTTGGTCGACAACAGAAGTGATTGGCGGTAACAATGATAACCGGCATCAGAGAACCTTCATTTTGATATCTTCCAAATTCGAGATATATCAACCCTTCATTTAGAAAAATTTATGAAATCTGGGGATATTAATATCTATATCTCTTTTGCTCACTAAACACATCCAGTTTTAACTAAGAGTAGTGGCAGTTGCGAGTAGGGTAGTTGCCTCGCCTTGCTACATCAGTAAATAGCTATGAAAATTTGAGCGTGGCTTTGTCGTTCCACCCCACAAACCATTCAAGGGCGGGGCATCCCAAAATATTTTCTCTTTTCTATTTTCTTTTTATTTTTTTAAATCTTTTTTTTTTTGAAGAAAGAGGAAGCTTTTTTTTTATAGAAATATAAGTTTTTTTGTGAAAAAGTAGATAACCAAAATAATTTTTAATAATTAAAATATGCAAAAAAAGAGAGAAAAGTGAACCATTGGGACTGGACAAAAAAATCGAACTAGCATGGTATCATACTGGATTGTAACGGTACCAAATTGTTTGTAGTATTTTTCAAACGAGATTGATTTTTTTCATCCTAAACCAAAACCGAAACCGAACTGATATCAAACAGAACGTGACCATGATACAAATATTTGAAATCGATAATCACGGATCGAAATGTTCTAAGCTATCAGAGGAGTATCTCAAATACTTATTTATCTATTTCATCTTACCATATATGGGGTACTTCGTATTGTATTACTTCGGGGTGTTCTTTTTTAAATATTTTTTCATTATTATTTTTGTTACTATATTTGTTACTACTATTAGCATTATTTTTTGGAGTTATTAATAGTCAGATATTGTATGAATTGAAAAAAAATATTTTTAAAGTTTGGACACGTTATATTTTATTCTTTATGTTTATGATTATTTTAAATTCGAAATCAATACCTTTTTTATAAAGTTGTACTTTTTTATACAAAATGATGTTATTTTTTGAATAATATTCCATACATGTTTAATTTTTTGACACAATCTGAACATGGATATAGTATTGTACCATTATATTTCAAAATGGAATGATACTAAATGATTTTGGGGGTCATTTCGTACTGATATCGGACCGTTTGAATAAGAACAAGAGAAATTTACCTAAATGGGACTAAAACATAATGACTTTCTTAATATAGGACCATATGTTTTTATTTCCCAATGTTGGACCTTTGTTCATTATCAATTAATCATCATTCAAGTAAATGTTCATCAATATTGGACATTATTCCTTCCCTAGACATTATCAAGTCCTATTTAGGGAATAAAAAAGTTTAACTCCTACATTCTGAAATGACTTACGGAGTATATTTTAGTCATATTTAGTGTAAATTTTTGTTAACGTACCAACACTTGTGTCGGTATAAACCATCAAAATGTTTGTGCATAACTATGGTGTGTGTGGGGTACATTTTTTGGGTTAGATGCAGAAATCATCAAATTGCCGGTGAATAGTACAAATTCAGGGTTTCCATTGTCGCCTGACACAAGGAATTCACACCCTCAGAATGCAACCGCCTTCCCCCCATTCCCATTTCTTCTCTTCCCTCAAGCGGTTGGAGAAAAGATTGAAACTTGAAACCCCACAAAACCAGCGAGAAATCGTATCCGGGACTTCTTCTGAGTCTCTGAGCAGTCCTTTGTACCTCAATTCCTTAACCCAACCCACAACCACTTCAAATATCCAGGAAAGCGAAGTTCCCCAAGAGTTCTTGAGTTCCCCAGATTTCGTCCCGACCCGTGTAGAGGAAGACCCACCTAAAGAAACAGCAGTCAAAGCTGAAGGGAATGTGATTGATGATATAGATCTGCTCATGCAGCTTTTGGGCTTTTCTGGGCCTGAAGAGGGAGGGTCCCACCAAAGGGCTGTGCAGAAATTGGGCTGTGATGATGGGTTCTATGGGAATGTTGTTGGGGTGAAGGGTGTGAAGAGTAGGAAGGAATTTGAGAGGTTGGATGGGTGGATCAAACATTTCTTGAATGGTGAGGGAGAGAGGAGAGAGCCTCTGAGGTTGGCTCATTTGCTCTTGGGAAAAGCTGCATTTTTGAATTCTATGAACAATGAGGAATCTGATGGCATTGAGTTCCCTTCTACCATTGATGAGTTCTTGCAGAATGACCCACCACACGAATGAGGTATACTCTTGCTTCTTAGTTGGTTTCAATCTTATATGTATATTGTCATTGCTTTAAGAGTGTTTGCTGGTTTAAAGGAAGAAGATTTATATTCGTCTCACTTGTGGTCTTGTCCCTCGTGATATATATGGAGTATGATATATCAGCATTTGTATAACTTCATATGAAACAAATCTTCACCCTATAGTTTATAAATATTGACGGTAATGTTTTTATGGATGCAAATTTTAGCTTCTCCATGGTTTTTATGTTTTCTTGAGCTGAGGGCCTTTGAAACAATCTTCTCTACCTTTTTAGATAGGGGTCAAGGTCTGTGTACACCTACCCTCCCCAAAATCCACTTCTGTGATCATAAGTTGTTGTTCTTGTTAAATCCAATCTATAATTGAGATAGAACCTAGAGAATAGTACAGTAATCTTGAGCTAACCTGATAATTAACCCACAAGTGAATGTACAATATAACATCATGGTCATGAAAACATGAACTGAACAATCTTTTACATTATATTAAACCTAAATGGAGTTTCTTTCTGTTAACAAAAAAAGCTTTTGTTCAAGTTCAAACCAATTACTATGTATAATTGTGTCCAGAACATTTAGTGTAGTGGATGATCTGAGAGACATTATTAGTGTTGGAAAATGAGGCCAAGCAGGCTTATAGTAGGCCATTTTTGAGTTTTAATATCAATGTGATCCCTTAACAATTTGGACCATTATGAAATAGAAGTGTGTTCTACCACGTGAGATTAAATGTTTTGATATATAATGCGCCAAAAATGATTAAGAGACTCAAATTTGGGGCATGTGTCGTTCCTTACTCAATTTGATGTGTGTTTGATTTCCAATTAGGTGCAAGTTCACTATGCATCTGATGCCAATACGCCATTATGGAGAGATCATAGGTCTGAAGGCTGGTATAACAACCCATATTGCACTTGATCGTATTGATCTTCTGCCAGTCTTCTAATTGACCCAATATTTGAAATGTCATGTATAAATATGGGTTTTGTTGTATTGTACTCCCTCTGCCCAGAATCAGTTTCCCATTGTCACAACCCCTTAAATTAAGGATTTGATATTGGTTTAAAAAAAGGATTTGATATAAAATGACAAAATTTTTCAACTAAAATCAGGTTCTTCCCCTAGTAATTGTAGTAAACTTCATGCTGTGACAGTTGTGGTTATTAGTAAAGACAAGTAGACAACTAATCTTTCACATCTTTAAAATGAAAGGTGGACTGATTTTCTTAGCCCCATTAGTCCAAAATTACATTTGGTTTGTCACCCTGTATAAAATGTGGGATCTTGAGAATTTGTTATTACTAGTAAAAGTCTCTCTACTCTATGTACTTAGAGTAAGGTCTGCATATACCTACTCTTACAGACCCCATTTTTGGGACCTCATTGGGTTTCTTTTGGTACATTGGAGTTCCTCTATTTCGGTAATAAGTCGTAATATATCTTCCCTTAAACTCATTGCTTGTAAATTTAGAAAAATAATATAACTTTTTTAATATTCAACTATTATTAACCTGAAATAAGGAAACTGTTTAATCATCTCACATGATTAACAAATATGTTTGTGTTTGTTTTCGTTTTTCTTTCCTTTTGATGTTCAACAAATATGTTTTTGTTTGTTTTCGTTTTTCTTTCCTTTTGATGTTCAATCCAACCTCTTTTAGCCTCAAACTACTGTGTTTTCTTCACAAAAAAAAGAAGAAAGAAATAGGGCACTTCTTTATTGCATTTCAGTTTTATTATCTATCTAATTTATCATCTATGAATACCATTTTAGGGTGACATTGGGTGTCAATAAGTATTTTTTTATTAGGTTTATTGTTTTGTTGTTGCTTTGGAATTGCTTGGCACTCATATGGTATGACCTAACTAATCCGAAAAGATAAATACAATGAATGAGTACTCATGTTTAATAAAAAAACCAGTGCCAGTATTTCTAAAGAAAGGAATGCTTTTTTTTAATGGAACGTGACAATAACTCTAATAAATTCATTTTTATATTAAAATACATTACAATTTTTATTTAATTAATGCTCAAAGTTTGTCCAGTTTGACTCAAAAAAGTCAAACTGAACAAAAATACACTGGGACGGAGGGAGTACATCTCATTATTTCATGTTCTGAAGGTTCCCACGGGGAAGGGCATCCATCATCCAACACAAAACATTGCCACCATTTTTTTTTTTGCATCTGTGTATAGTGTTACTTAATTTTATACAATTAAATGGAGCCATAAATTTAATGCCACCGAGTATTTTTAAGCCATTCTACATCAGCTAAATATCAAAAATATGGGGTAAACTTACATTGGACATAAGTTTTATATGCTATGCTTGTAAAACTGGTGACAAAGGTGAATCATAACTTCTGTGTGCATGCATGAGTTTATGGACTTTCTGCGGGCATTTTGCATGCTATAAATGTGATTCTGTTAGGAATCAGAGATCAGAGGCGGTCAAGCGGAAGCGAACAAACACACACACACAAATAGCAGAAAATAAGAACACGAGATTTAACGTGGTTCGGTCAGTAACCTCCACGGGTTGCAGCTAGGGTTTATCTTTTATTAGGTGCTCGCAGATTATAGTTACATGATTGGGTATTTATAAGATATAAACTAGGGTTAACAACTTGCTAAACAAGAAACAACTAATGGGCCCTTTAATTAATAACTAAAACCGGCCCCCCATGTTTCTTCCCTTTAGCCGACCAGGCTTAAAGCCCACAGCTCTAAAGCCTTCACCGAATAACCCAACAATCTCCCACTTGAAGGATTTCGCATAGACACAAATGCCATCCAAGTAAACCCATCATGAGTAACTCAGTAATCTTCACTGCCAAGTCCTCCAAGCCTCCAGTTCCCAAGAACAAGCTAAGACTCCAGTTATATCCCCTAGTTGCAACCACCCCCTTCATTAATAACATGAAAGGACAGTTGAAGCTCCACCGAGCTCCAACCCAGTCGTGACTGTAACCGCCACAGCCTCTGTCTCAACCGGCTTGCACAATCCACCGGATCCAGAGATACACCGAGGACCATTACCACTCTCCAAATCCAGCAAACTATTCCCAGGAGAGATTTTAACGTTCGGATTCTTGGTCCTCAAAACCCAACGACGTTTCAGAACTGTACTCGGAACACGTCCTATGCTCCCACTGTCACGAAACCCCTGACCTGATTCAGACCTCCGAACACACTCAACTGTCATCCCCAAAACTCCAAGATTCACGTTTGCAAAATGAACCTT